CTTAAAGGGAAATCCTACCTTAATAGAATATTAATCTAATAGAAAACCAAAGAGATACTCTATGAGAAAACAGAATAATCAGAGAATCACACAGGTGAAAGTTTGAACGAAATCTGAAACAAGATGAGAATTTTAAAAATTTGTAATGGTTTGAGGGATTTTAAATTGCCTCAATCGGTAATGTCACTGTTACGTAGTCGTGACAACTTTCCCATTTGCTTCAACAAACACAATCAATAAATACAGTTTTTTTTCTTCATATAATGTAAACCTTTAGAGTGTCTTTTCTTTTTAGAGGACTTGTAATAATATGACCTGTAATAATATGACCTGTATTATATGTCGGGCCGTGCTCGAAGGGAGAACGCGCTTAGGTCAGGATAGAAAAACAGAAATTGATGGTATTTTTTTACAGGACAAACGGGATAGTCTGTAGTCCGTCTATATATCATAATTCACTGATCAAATTGCCGATTTGAGATTTTATCATCATTATAGGTCGGATTTAATTCAAATTTTCGCCCTTTTGTTTCTCTCATAATTTATTTCTGCTTTCGTATATATTAACTTCTCAGTACAAAGATAGGATTGCCCTTTAAGAGGAAAAGTGAATGAATATTGAGTTAATGAATGAATAAACGAATGAGTGAATGGATGAATGAATGATTGAGTGAATGTCTCAATGAATGAATGAATGATTGAGTGAATGTCTCAATGAATGAATGAATGATTGAGTGAATGTCTCAATGAATGAATGAATGAGTAAATTAATGTACATGTATGAATCAATAAATCAGTGAGTGAATGAATAAATGAGTGAATGTCTGAAAGAATTAATGAGTGATTCTCTGAATGAATAAATGAATGAACAAGTGATATGTCAGAAAGATTGAATAAGTGAATGTTTGAATGAATGAGTGAGTGAATGTCTGATTGAATGAACGAGTTAATGGCTGAATGAATGAATGAATGAGTAAATTTCTTAATTTAATAATTAGTGAAATAATGAATTAATGCCTATCTGCGCTTGTTCGGCCAGAAGGGACTAGACCTCCCTGTGTGGTCACTGGCAGGTGGTTATCTCATAACATCATCTCTCATTTAACATAAGAAAAAGGGGACCATAGGGGATCAACGGGTAACGCGTAGGCATTGGGCCGTATGCATAAAAAGTAGCAATTGCTTGTGCTAGCCTTTTACTTGAATCCGTATGCATAAACATAAGCAATTGCTTGCAAGCAAATGCTTTTGCTAGCAAGCACAAGCAATTGCTTGATGTCCGCAAGCAATTGCTTAAAGATCAAGCAATTGCTTAAAAACGTATGCATAAAACGAACCTTTTGCTTGTTCTTATAAGCAATTGCTTACGTTTTTTCAAGCTCCGTCATAGCAGCTTGAGCTCTTGCTTAATCGGGACGTTCGCGGTTAAGCATCATGTTTATGCTCGTTAGAGAAAAACCAAAGTTGTACAGGAGTAGAATAAATCGAGAAGAAATTGCTCCCGAGACCTATCGGAAACTATTCCGTTTCGACAAAGAGAACGTTGAGTGGTTAGCACACAGGTTCATACCTGAACATGATGAAAAACGGGGAGGATGTCTGACAACGGTGGAGAGCATGTTATACTGCCATGTCAGGAAAGGCTACCCCACACGCATTACATTTGAATACACTACTAGTATGCGAAACCCGCCTTTGTTCTCCCATGAATGATGTTCGCACCGGCGTGACGTCGCTATTGTTGAGATCGTAAGCAATTGCTTGCTGGAGGCAAGCAAAAGGTTTGAGCACAAGCAAAATGTTATGCATACGGATTTAAGCAGTTGCTTGAGCTTGATCTTTTGCTTGACAAGCAATTGCTTGTGCTTGAAGCAATTGCTTGCAAGCAATTGCTACTTTTTATGCATACGGCCCATTGTCGGATATATCGAGGGCCCAAGTATATAGCTACAAGTAGTGCAGTCCCGCTTTTTAACATGGCGGACAAAGAAAGGGGACAAAACAAAACTGTGTAGAACAGGTGTCACATGCATATTCACCTGTTCTACACAGTTTTACATAATAGCAGTGAAGGGATGTTCCTTTTAAGTTCTTGGTCTACCTTAGCAATTGTTGAGGGTAGAGTGAGGAACTGAATATTTTGTCCTCTGTCTTTGTCCGTCATGTTCATAGTGTTAATGAAGTAGTGAATATTTGAATGAGTGAATGTCTGAATGAATGAATAATTTCATAAATGAACAAGGGATGTGTCTGAATAAACGAACGAACGAACAAAGACACTATCAGGAAGCAAGGGTCTTTAAACTACATGCACGTACCATCCCAGCATGATCAGGATCGTGATGAAGTTAAATTGTTTGCCAGATTTCATGCACGAACAGCGTCCCATAAAGTTTGCATGAAGTATGATCAGTATCGAAGAGGATGGCAATTTAAATTGCATTGCAATACGAATTGTATTACAGTAGTGTCTATCTCCATGGTTGCTGGCCAAAAAGCCACAGAATCGTCATTTCAAATCGTTTGATCTTGATTCTCGGTCATTGTAATTGTGTGGCTTTATGCCCCATTTAATTTGAGACAACGGGGTTTTTTTAACAAAGAATATGGGTTAATTTCCAGTCTAGCAACGTGACGACTTTTTGTCTCCAATTAGGACAAAATAAAAAAGAAGATTAAGGAAAAATCAGAATGAACTGTGGTGTGTACTGTGCACTATCATGATCCCGGTAGGATGCGAACGTTAATGTGTTTAGATGAGCAAATGTGCGCTTGTAAAATGTAAAATGTAAAATGTAAAATGGCGACTGGTTGGAATGCTCACCAGAGAGTGAAGGATGTGCGGGTAAGCCTGAATCCGATGACATGGGTAATAATATATCTGTAAAGCGCTTATAGACACATCGTTGCATCGATATATTGGGCGCTATATAAAAGCGGGATATTATTATTATTATTAGTAGTAGTAGTAGTATTATGATGAACATCCATCCCCTCTCCTCCCTCCGTACTCCCCGCACCCATCGTGCGAAGGTTTGTGAGCCCAACGTTCTTTACTGTTCCAGCGAACTTACATTTTGTAGGTTTTAGAAGAAAAACAAAAACATGTAACCAAGTTCGTGAAGTTCAAGTGCATTTTGTCACACAAATATTATAAATTTACATATGTTTTATGATTGGGATTATTCTAGCCATTTGCAGCTCATCCGCTGTTTTTGAGTTGGGGTCACCCCAGAAGACCGGTCATCGGTTGTCAGTCTCGCCGGTCGGTCTAGCCGGCCCTCAAAATTGTTAAAAAGCTGTCGGAATGCCAACGGACTCATGGGCTGTCGGTCTTTTGGTTTCGTAATCTGTCGGTCTTTCGGTCTCGTAAACTGTCGGTCTCTTGGTCTCGTAAACTGTCGGCCTCTTGGTCTCGTAAACTTTCGGTCTCTTGGTCTCGTAAACTGTCGGTCTCATAAACTGCTGGTCTCTTGGTCTCGTTGATTGTCGACCTCGTGGCCTGTCGGTCTCATCAAGGAGCTTCCTTCGTCTCATGGGTTGTAGGTCTAATTGGCTGACGGTCTCCAATTTTTTTTTCTTCTGTTTTGTTGTCATGGCTCTCATGATTTATCCTCCAAAAGATTGACTGTTATCCAGGAAAAATAACACACCTGTAAATAAGGTTTTGGACAGCTGCATGCGTTTTGGCCCGTTCTATAATCTTATTTTCTGAGGTAAAAGGTGACCTCGACCCATCATCCGTAATTTAGTTATTTTGATGCATGGAAGAGATCAAGTAAATATCATATCAAGGTTCAACGAATCAGCAATGACAACATCCAAATCTAATAATGAGAATTAAAAACTCGGCTGACCAACAGCTGTCTGTTTATTAGTAATTCTTGTTCACATCATTTCTAGTTCGTTATGGCGGTACTCGCTATAACAAGGTTCCACTTTATTGCCTTGGCCCTCGAAGTCGAACCTCTCCTAACGACTAGAATACGATCGGACCCATAAGAATAATACCTCTTTTGTATTGTGATCTGTTTCCATCATGACCTTGTGTCACGTTCTTCACCAAGATGAAACATAGGAAACCATTAAACCAATCATTGACCAAAATCCTTATTCAAGTTTTCCCACGTTTCCCATCCCATTCATCGTGGCTTTCCACTTCCGAGGTACGAAATCATTGACTAGAATAGCAGATTGTACTTCCGGATTAGGTCACGTAAGGTCTTGATTTTTGGCGTGGGTTTAGACAATTGGAGGGCTCGCGTCTTCAAGTTAAAGTTTAAGAATACACAGTTGTATTATTACTTAAATTCGACCAAGGACCGAGGCGAAGGGAAGCGAGGAACAGATTAGAAGCCACAGTTTTATTGTTTTTGTGTGTTTGGTGTTGTTTGATTATGTTTGTATTATCTATTATTTATGTAATTATTTATTTGTTCATTTATTTATCTAACTGTTCATTTTTTTTTATTCATCGATTTATTCATTTTATTTGTTTATTCATTTATTTGTTTATTAACTTATTTATTTATATATGTGAGTACGTAAAGGGCATATGTAAACGTTGACCTACATAAGGGAGGGTGTCTTTACGTATGCATGTATGAATTATAATGTATTTATGAACAACACGCTCACACCACGCAAGCGCATTTCATAATTTAATCGGAATAAACCAAGTTTCAAACGTGATAAGTCAAGTTATACAATTAAATCAGTTTTCGCTACCCTTATCTAGAAAAAAATACATTTAATGGTGAAAAATGTTGTGCGTTTTGCTGACCACGATGCATTCTTTAATGTAAGACATCAAACGATAGATCAGAGGCTAAACTTAGTAAAGAAATATATGACTCTTCGTCGTTATATATTGTAAATCATTTTCATCCGTCTGTCATTGTGTTTATTGTTACGACAAGTGAGTTGTCAGATTTGATATAGCTTGCACCTATAGTTGATTTTGACAATGATTTATCTTCTTGTTTTTTCTTTTCTTATAGTACTTGGAGAGACGGTTTAACAAGGTTGTGAGAATATGTGGGATGCTAACGTTCGTGCTTCAGACGGTAAGATTTCTTTTTGTTTCTGGTGATTTACGAACACCGTAGTCTATTCTCTTATCATTTGTATTATCCAGCATCTTCAGTTGGAGAGGGTTGCGGGGGGGGGGGGGGGGGGGGGGGGGGGGGGGGGGGGGGGCAAGGGACCGATCTCTGTTGAGCGAGAATGGGTGAGTGAGACAGTGAGTGACTGGATGAGAGATAATATAAGGTTGGATGGATACATGTAGAGAGAGAGAAAGAGAGAGAGAGAGAGAGAGAGAGAGAAAGAAAGAGAGAGAAAGAAGGGGGAGGGGGTGAATAATAATAATAAGAAGAAGAAGATCAACATTTTAGAAACGCCGGCGGACCCTCCTCCTCCTCCCCCGCCTTCTAAATAAAGTAAGAGGAATCTCGCTACTCTGTAGGTTGCCTTCAAATATAAAGATCAGTCCACGAGTCTTAGCATAGACCTATTAGATTGTCAATATTGAAAGACCAATTATAGAACTAATTAGCTTTGCACTTGATATCGTTCACCTGAATGTTCGCATTAATGTTCAGGGGTCAAAATTTGGCCAACACCCAGTGGCGTGTCCAGAAATTGTTACCATGAGGGTGGGGGAGGGGGCGGAATGTTCAGAGTTCAAACACGTCCCGCTTGCATTTTAATTGACTATAATTTATATGGGACGTATGAAGTGTATGAGGAGAGGCTATGCCAGCAATCCTCTTGCTGGACACGCTATACTGTCATGTTATTATTGGTATTCCCCATGAACCGTTTGGTATTTTAATGATTTCCTGCCTACATCACGAACAGAAACATGCTTGCCAAACGCTCATGAGTACTTTGGATCATTGAACTATATTTTGGATCACTGAACTTCAACTATGGTTATAGTGGAAGTAAAACGAGTGAAAAGCCGCGGAGTTTACAACAGTTCATTGAAGTTCCTGCTTTTGTATAGGTATTTACATGGCCATCGACTTTTCAAAACTTTTACAATCCGAGATAAAGATTACTCGCCCGCGTGTTTGCATAGCTCTTGAACCAGTGGCGTAGCTGCATACTTGGGGCACGGGAGTATATGGGCATGTACCCCCCCCCCCCCCCTCCGTCAAATTATGAAAAAAGACAACAAGTATAAAGAAGGGGGAGAAAGGGGGAGGGGAAAGGCCTCCTCCCGTCACTGGGTAGCCGCATTCTTTCATCCTTTGTCAAGACCTGTGCAACATCTTGCTCCCCCCCCCCCCCTCCTCCAATGACACGAGTGCCCCCTCAGTGGCCCAACAAAAGTACGCTATATGCCATTGTCGTTAACATGTGTTAATCGCCTTCTTTGGTATTTAAAGTGTGGTAATAGCTAGGCAGATTGCGAACATAAAAGTGGCACTATCTTTTCATATCTTGTTTATTATTTGTTTATATTGATTATTACCTCACCCTCTCCCCACCTCAACACACACAACGCAAGTATCCCCCCCCCCCCTCAATAGATGGATCCACGACATCCAACTGTGCTTAACACATGGCTATATTTAGTACTTAAAGGGGGGTCTAACATTGATCGCAAACTACTCTAGAAGACAACAGAAACAAATCAGAGAAGCATATTGCTTGGTGAAAGTTTGTATGAAATCGGACCCCCAAAATGAGAAAATTATGATTTTTGAAAGTTGCAATCACAATAGGTAAGTGCTTTTAAAATTGGTGGACAACTTTCCCATTTTTACAACTCACACAAATAAACTATAATTGTATTTTTTTTGTATTTGTATGACTCGGGATAATCTTTTCTTTTTAGACGATGTTTAATAACTTAATTTACATAACATAATTTGAGTAATGCCCGAAGGCCAGGGTGTAGGCACTTGCAAGAATAGAAAGAAATCAGTGAGTTATCCGTTACTGCGTCACAATCCACCGCCCATACTGCCAAAAGATAATGAGATAAATGAGATTCGCATATCTGTAGTGATCTCATATTTCAAATATTCAGAACTTTCTCATCATTGGTCCGAACGATTTCAGACTTTCGCCATTCTGTTTCTCTTACTTTCTGTTTTCATTCATATGAACTTACTTCAATGGTTGGATCGCCCTTGACGTATGGCTATAGCGAGGTTGCGATCATAACAGTGGAGCTATCTTGTCATCTCCTTTCATTATTTGTTTGATAATGATGTTGATTAGGCTACCCCTCCCAATTTCACCACCCTCCCCCCCCCCCCCCCCCCACCCCCGGCCCCGCCCAATGTCACGCTATGTCCCAATGCCGCCTCTTATCTTGGTACTTCCAGATGTCTTTAGCCAAGCTCTTGAACATTTAAAGTGGTAATTGCACCATATCGTCACACATTCATGATTTGTTTGCTATTAGTTTGGCCACGAACCGTGTAACAGGTATAATCGGAACTATGCGCAGCTGCCAAGCGGCCAAGTGGCCCAAATGGCAGCCTTGGCCGAATTTCCGCTGTATAATTTGTTTCATGCCCTTATATGGATCAGTCCAGGACAAAGGTTGTGTCAAGGTGTGGTTGATTGCTGGGTTAACACCGGGAAAAGTGTAAAGTTACTTCGCAAAGATAAAAGTTGTTATATTAATTCTTTTTTTAATGCATTTTGTTTTCGTATTTTGCTATACAATCGCAAACTTGCCTTAGACGTATTGAAACACCACTCCTAAATAAAAGAGATAAAGTGTGTATGACCGTGATTCCCTAGCTTTTTGAATGATTTATCTTTTTTTTTTTTTTTGCAGACCTGCGAAACATTATTTGGAAGTATCTGAACATAAATCGCTATGGATCAATATGATGTTGACAGCAGTAGGAGATAATACATATTATAAACCTGCAGTGTAATCATAATTTCATGAATGTCGACGAGAAAATGTTTCAACTGTTACAAACCCTTACATACAATTGAATTACTTTTATTTCTATTATTTTTTGTTATGTTGAGCTGACAGAGCAAGAAGTTTCTCATCTTTTATGCTTCAGAATCAAACAAAGCGTGGACATAAATTATTGTCATTTTTAAATAAATCGTCGCCAAATAATTTTTTGAGGAAATGTTGCAAAATTATGTTCTCTGGAAAAAAAGGTAGCATTATGCCCTTTAGAATTATTTCAGTACATCATTCTATAATTGTAAGGACGTAGATACACGTGGTGGCAGGTCGCATTTATAAAATCATCCTTACATTGTTAGAGCGTTTGATCAGTCCATGGTTTGATATGGTGTGAACTTTTAGACTTTAGTCCTTTGGTTGAACTCTACAAAGCAAATACAGTTTTTATGTTCTACAATCATGAATAGGTCTGGAGTTATCACCGAGTGTTGCGATTACTACTTATTTATAGCATTAAACTATTATCTCGATGCCTCAATTTTCTTTCTTTTCTAATCGGATCATGTCAGGGAAAACCTTAACGAGAAGGTTGAGTTCTGGGAAGAGTTGAAAAATAATTTGTAAGCGTTATCATTGTTATAATGCAAGTGTGGAAGAACATCAGATAAACAATGTTCCCTGAAAAACATGGCTCTTCAAATGCTTTCATATTCCAAATATGGCATGTAACAACATAAAAATGTCGTCGGAGATTTAGGATCAGGGTGATGGCAGCTGTGGTTTTATCTTAGGCTAAGTTTAGGGTTAGGGTTAGGAGTTGGGTTTGGGTTTAGGGTTAAGCTGGGAGGCGGGAGAATTCCGTTGATATTTGGTTGATGAAATTGGTCCCGACTTCTGAAACAACTGTCGCGGAGCAGGTAATAAAGTAATTTATATAAATATGTCTCATGCTTTATATGTATCATGCTATATATGGTCTCGACAATCTGCCCCTAATTCTCACACCAGTAGATACAATTATTGCCATTTATCATTACCTTCTTCATCATGATCCGAACTGGACGACAAGTACACAGTTGCCCATAAAGTTGATATTTTTTTGTCATACCTCTTTTCATGAAGTGAATGTGACAATACGTTTTATTGTTGTCGTTGTTGTTTGAATTGGGCAAGTTAGTCAGTTTATGACCATTATTGCTGAATACTAACAAAAAATTGAATGTATAAACATTCTCATAATATGCGTTTGCATATATATGTATATATTTTTTTCTTCTTAAAAAAAAACAATAACAAAAGAGGGAAGATAATGATATCATGTTGGATTAACGATCCCTGTCCCTCTTTTGCGCTATCCTGTTGAATAGAGTTTATATATTATCATAACGCATTGACCAATCTAAAGAGTCATAGAGATTAATGGAAAAACATTTCTGAGAAGATATAAACCTTATATATTAAGAATAAACCATATTATCACATTCATTACATAAAAAGTGGTAAGAAATTAGTATTCCAGCTTTATGGGCACCAGTGAAGGCCTACTATGGCCTATTTATCTATTACATTATCATAACTTTTCCTCTTCATAATTGTTTTGCTCGTTTACAGGTTATCTACATGGGCATTGTGATCTATGCACCGGCCCTGGCCCTGAGCGCAGGTGAGATGCTGAAAAAGATTGAAATATGAATCAATAAATAAATTCAACAAAATCAATGAAAGTTCGATTATTTACAAGTAATGTCATGATAACATGGCTATAATTCATTCTGGATTGTTTATCCTGCAGTAGATTGATTGTTTGAACCAGTAAAATAAAAAGAACCACACACAATCTTGCTGGAAATCATCTTCAATACAAACCACAACTCTCATTTGCACATAAGGACCTGTGTTAAGCACATGGTGTCGGGCCTACTTACCTGGATTTCCTTAACTTTCTATGCTCATTACTCAGCCCCTATACATTTCTACCATGATAATCCTATGGCACTTGTCATTTATTTGTTATCTTGAACATTCAGTGTAAGTTTCGTTTGATTCTGTGATAATTTATTTTCTATATTTACCAGAACTGAAGTTAATATTTAACTGTTAATATGTCTTGCTTGCAGTAACTGGTCTCAATCTATGGGGGTCTGTGCTCGCCATTGGAATAGTGTGTACCTTCTACACAACCATCGTAAGTATCTTTTTGTTAACACCATCTTTAATAACAGCTATGAACGTGATCGCAAAGAGTTATTCAAATATTACATTGTATACGCTCCTTCTCTCCCCTTTCCTTTTCTTCTCTGCAAGTCACTCTTTTTATTTGTATTGTTGTATCTAAGTTGAGGGCTGCGGGCACGTCAAGCTACTTTGCCTATTTCTGTAGCCCTCTTGCATATTATGTTAATTATGCATTCAATTTTGTTTAAATTCGTTTATTATCTGTATAAAATTATAAACACTTAAAATATTGTATCAAACCATATTATGTTCATGAAAATGTATGATGAAAAAGGGAAAAGATACATAAACCAATAAATCAAATCAAATCAAATCAAAACATGATTGTAAATGATTACGTAATCCGAACTTGATTTGTATCGATATGGTCGATTTCCTGAAAATAGTTTGACCAAAATATTACCAGGGTGTTATCCCCCAGTCTACCCGAGTGATAACTAGGCCTATCCTAGGGTTGAACTCGACCATGGTTTACCCCCAGGCTACCCGAAGCCTTTCACACTTAGGCTTTGGGTCATGGGGCACCCGGATTAACCACTTTCACACATGAGTACACTGTATCGTATGATGAAAATGTTTTAACTGTAGCTAGATTATAATCCCGAAGCCAGCTTATGAATCACAGCGCACAGTTGCAAACCGTGTACTGTCATAAACTCACATGTGAATTGATATGATGTGATGTGGTGTGATGTGAAATTATGTGATGCCGTGCGATGCGATGCAGTACGATGTGATGTGCGACCTGATGCGATGCGATGAGATGCGATGCGATGCGATACGATGCGATACGATACGATGCGATACGATGCGATACGATGTGATATGCGACATGATGAGATGCGATGCGATGCGATGCGATGCGATGCGATGTGATGCGATATGCGATGTGATGCGATGCGATGCGATGTGATGCGATGTGATGTGCGACATGGGTTGCGTTTATCGACCAAATTTTTGGCTAGAATCAGGTTTCTCAAACGTCTTTCAGGCAAATTTAGAAGGTGATAAACGCAAAGCCCTTTTTTAAAGGGCTTTAGATATGGGCATATCTAAAAACGCAAAAAGGTGTGTTTTGAATGTGACATACAGCCAGAATCACGTTTCTGAGAGATCGATAAACGCAAAGCTGTTTTGAACCTCACATACAAATAGGAATTCCCAGGCTAGTTTCCGGTTCGGAGAAATAGCGCTTAGCAGCTGCGAAGAGACAAGGCCTTTATTGTGAATCGTGAAGAGTCGATAAACGCGACATCCCGCATATTACGATCGTATAGTGGGGTTCGATAGTGGGGTATGATAGTGGGGTACGATATGTACATATCTAGTGGCAAGCCCCGATAAACGCGCCCATGATGCAATGCGATGATGTGCGGTGCGAAGAGATGCGACGCGATGCGATGCGATATGAAATGCGATGCGATGTGGTGTGAAATGATATGTGATGGTGTTGGGTGATACAGTGTGATGTTCCGCGATAAGATATATGGTGTGACGTGAAAAAACGCTGAAAAATCACTCATGTCTCGATACGTATTTGCTTGAATCATGCTATGATTATCTTTTGTTCAAGAAAACAAATAAAGAAATACAAAACAAGAAATAAAGAAATACAAGACACTTCCTAATGAAAAGCTTCACCATCTCATTCGCAGGGAGGCATGAAGGCAGTATTGTGGACCGATGTTTTCCAGGTCATCGTAATGATGATTGGTTTCCTGGCTATCGTGATCGAGACAAGCAGACGACTCGGTGGTATCAAAGAGGCGTGGAGAATAGCTGATGAAGGAGGAAGAATTGATTTCATCGAGTAAGGATATTTTATTATTCTTTTAAAGGCATCGTTTAACAATGTTTAATCTGAGATACACGGCCCTACGTGTCGTCAGTGTCTGTGCTATGGTGTAATATTGAAGCCCTAAAAAAAGTCGCGCTTCAAAATGATCAAGAAGTGCTTCAAAATAACCTTTAAGTGATCGGTTTTTCCCCATTCGTTTTCCCCAATAGACTGTAGTGTTATGAAAACCGTTTGGCAAACGCAAAATTCGGTTTCGATTTTCAATCATAAATATCTTGATAATCAGACTGGCAATCGGCTTGTAAAAGTCATGGGGTTCCGGACTGACTGAGGTTTATAATTATAATTGCAGCATGAGCATGGATATAGATATGATTGATGTTCGTAATATTATCGTCAATTAAAAATATTTATGTAGTACTACATATGATTTATTTCATTTTATTTAATATTTGTTATGTTGTTTTTATTTCTGTTTGCACATAACGTTGCCATTTCCATTTTAACCAATCTTCTTGCCTATATATAGCTGAGGCGATGAGCCATGATTAATTAATGCAAAGCCATTGTGAATATGCGTACTCCACATAATTCATGTGTTCTAGACAAGTCGATAGCTAGTTTCTAGGTCGACAACTTCCAATTTTTTCAAAGCTTTAGATTTCGAGTTTGCAGAGAGCTGCCTGCTTCTCCTCTGACAAACACTAAAATGGAATATAATTGATGTTATATTGTAATCTTATGGCGTATAAGCTTTCCGTTGATATATAATTCATTTATTTCGTTTTGTTCACTTCCGAAAGGGTCTTTAACCCAACTTGAGCATGTTTAGCCGTCATCCCGATACTGTACTCGCTACTCTTGAGTCACAGCGGCTGTCTCATTTATATTCTAAATGTCACGATAACTTGAGGTGACAATTTCATTACTTCTAACTTATACGATTCAGGTTTCCAGAGCATGACGGAATGCAATTATAGTTTAAAGAGAATAATCAAGTTCAAACTACATTTAGAAAATGTGCTGCACTAAGGAGGCACTATAGCTTAGTTGGTAGAGCAAGTGGTCTCGTAATCCGGCGACCCGGGTTCGAAACAAAGTCGAGGCATTGATCCTCATTACCGGGTCCCTCGGAGAGGATCTAAAGCCGTCGGTCCCATGGTTGCTTACTAACAATCATACATGATTTCTTAGCAGTCAGGTAAAATAACCACCACTATAAAAATAAAAAACCGTTTTAGCAATGTTGGAAACGACAGTAATACGCTCCGGATTTGCGAGGGGAAAAAAGTTAAATGAATAATGATATTTATTAATGATAATAATACCTGTTGTGCAAATCTCAATCAATTAATGGGGATGCTCAAGGCGCCTACAAACAAACGTTATTCCAATAGCTACGACGTCCTCATATAAACCATCAATAAATAAGTTCCTATTACTACTCATGTATGGAGAGTGCCAAAATATGTAGGTTATTATGCCAAAGGAGAACATACGTTCCAGGGATATAAATTAATTGAGACGAAATGAACAACCAAAAATGAAAACAAATATTGGGCGTAAGGGCACTGTCTGTTTAAACATTTTTTATTCTTTAAAAAGAAATCTTTGAAAATCTGTCCACCAATATTTAAACAAATTGTTGAATGATAACACTATTGACTGATATGTGGAGCGCTTAAAGCTTAATTAGTTCCTTTGCAACTCTCTAGAAAAATCTGCATATTAAAAGTCGGCCATTTACTACATGTACTCGCGGGGTATACCAGACTGCTCACATTCGCAATGAACTTTAGAGAAGAATCATTAAAATGTGATTATTTACGACCGTCATCGTCTTGTAAAGACGTCACTGAATTTTATCGGATTATCCCTGACAGATGCTAGGCTGAAATACGACGGTCTAAAGCCGGTATGCCACGCGCGATGCTGCCGAGGAGTGTAAACAGTGGCGTAGCGTCGTCGGGATGGGCACTTTGCCTCCGTAAAGGGGCTATAAATCAAACAAAAGCAAGAAAGAAATGGAAAGAAAAAAGAGGACTACAGTGGCGTAGCCAGCGTCAGGGAGGGCACTTCCCCTATCAAATGCCTAAAAATGAAGCAAGACAAGAGGAAGGAGGTCGGAGGAAAAGAGATAACTATATGAACAGTGACGTAGTGATAGGGAGGGGCACTTTGCCTCATCAAGTGGCTACACAAAATGAAACTAGAAACGAGAACAAGTTTGAAAGGTAGGGAAAATATCGAATTGGAAAGGAATGAGGGTATACTATTACGAATATAAGAACAAGATAATATGCTACATCACTCCCTGTTTGCTGCAAATCCGATTCATGTATTGCTAACATCCCACTTACGAGTGACATCAAAAGCGATGCAGTGGACTTTAATCGTCCAAGATATTGGGTTATAACCAGGCTTGCGATTGCGTTTTTCGTTGGGGTTAGGGTTAGGGTTGCGATTGCGTAATTGGTTGGGGTTATGGTTACGGTCAGGCTTAGAGATCCAGGGTTGGAACTGAGTATAAGGATTCGGTTTGAGTAGGATTTATTGGCCGTGGAGCAATTATCGTAGAAGCTAGCGTGTATCGTAAAACCTAACAAGCCCCCCCCCCCCCCCCCCCGGACCTTCTGTCGCAAAGAGCTGGCCCAATGCCAAGGCTACGTCACGACTGTATACTATACAGTATTATAAACATCCTGAATGTGCATCTGTTATGTTCCCTACCCGCATGTTCTGCATACGCAGACATCGCTGCATGTGTTTCATTTAAAGGTACTATGTTCCCTTTTGCAGCCAACCTCAAATTCTGTAGAACCTTGCAGGAGTTATGAACATGTCATGTATGTCCTATCTGTGAAATTTAAACGTTAGCAGTGTTCTAATATTCAAATTATGCAAAGAAACCCGTTTTACTTGCTAGACTTCACTGTCAGACACTATTGAGTGACTGACTGGCTTCTTTTCTTCTTTGGTAATAACATACATAAAATGAGCTGTAAAGGGTACATGAGCATTTGTCTACATCAATAACCCTCTTCTTATGATGGCCAAAATTAAACTCATTGAATCTTTGCGCAGCATAAAACGTATGCCCATTCGGTGCAATGGTCTGAAAATCAAGACCATTACTTATTGGCTTTATAACTCCTAAGTCGATTTGACAACTAATAGTCGTTATTTTCCCACTTGAAGACATTTTTAAGCCCCACCTTTTTTAGGGAAGTTCTTAATTATTATTGTATTTCAAATGCCGTTAACCTTTTCATTTCGTGGGCCTGCAAATGGGACATAGTACCCTTAAAGATGAGATTGAGTTCGAGTATATGAAAAATGAAAATATATATATTTATTTTTTGTGCCAGTTCTTATTCTGTTAATGTTAATTTTGTTCTGAAAGAAATGTGCCCTTAGAAGTATTGCTCTTCAAATTTCCTCATATTTGGAAATAGTAGGAAAAGATCGGGCCAAACTCCTGGAGGGGGAGGGAGGAGTACTCACATATTATTCTTATTCTGTTAATGATAATTTGTTCTGAAGAATATCTTGGAAAGAAATGTGCCCTTAGAAGTATTGCTCTTCAAATTTCCTCATATTTGAGAATAGTATGAAAATATCGGGCTAAACTCCCGATCGGGGGGGGGGAGGAGTACTACTCACATATTTAGACATATTTACAAACATACCACTAAACATGGGACCGTTTTTCAACAAAAAAAATCAAAATCGAGAAAAATCTGCCAAAATGACTCTTAAAGGGATCGTTTAACAATGTTAAATCTGAGATACACGGCCCTACGTGTTATCAGTGTCTGTGATATGATGTAATATTGAAGCCCTACAAAAATTGCGCTTCAAAATGATCAAGAAGTGCCTCAAAAAAGTAAAAATCTTTGAGTGACCGGTTTTACCATACTCGTTTTCCCCAATAGACTGTAGTGTTATGAAAACCGTCAGGCGAACGGTTTTCAAAATTTGTAATTCCAATCATAAATATCTTGATAATCAGACAGGCGATCGGCTTGTAAAAGTCACGGGGTTCCTGACTGACCTAAAGGTTTATAATTATCATTGCATCATGAGCTAAATCCAGAATATGTTTTCAGAATCTGAGACAAAGTTACCGGATCCCTTTAAAAATGGGTAGGGATTTCAAGACTTGGGTGGTACACCCCTGTCCAAACCAAGTCTGAGTACCTCCTCCCCCCCCCCCCCCCCGCTCCCGAGACCAAACGTGCATGCCATTCGTGTCTGTAGTCCCATTATAATAATGTGCAGAGCATGTGATCTTCGGCTAGACTGAGTCAATATATTTTCCTTTTGATCATTCCAATACCACACGCGGTATACGCCTATTATGTGCCGCATAATCAACCCTTTTTAATAGGGCTTCCAGACATTTTTTTTTTGTTCACAACTAAAAATCAACTTTATGTTTAAAGGTAGGCCTACTAAGTATGTCCGATTTGCAGGCCCCCCCCCCCCCCCCCAAATGAAAAGGTTACATTCCAACGGCAATTGAAAGATAGCACTGATTTAGAACTTCCCTCTAAACAAAAGGGCTTTAAAATATCTTTTTCGGGGGAAAATAACGACCGTTAGTTGTCGAATCGAATATAGCGATCTCGGTCATTTAAATATCTAGTCTCAGTTTTAGACCATCGTATCGAATGGTCGTACGTTTTGTGCTGCGAAAAAGATTCAATCAGTTCAATTTTGGCCATTACAAGAAGTGGGTTATTGATGTAGACAAATGCGCATGTACCCTTTACAGCTCATTTTATATAGGCCTATGTTATTACCAAAGAAAACAAGATCTCAGTCAGTCAGTCACTCAATAGTGTCTGGCAGTGAAGTCTAGAAAGTAAACGGTTTCCTTGCATAATTTAAATAATAATAGGACACTGCTAACGTTAAAATTTCACAGGTAGAACATAACGTGACATATTCATAATTCCTGCAAAATTCTACAGAATTTGATGTTGGCTGCAAAAGGGAAACATTACCTTAAAGATACTCGTGTCAGGTTCAGTTTAGATTTGATCGACTCAGAACCAAAAAAAGTATGTAAACAAACCGTAGTTTGTATACCTGTTCATGGTGAAAGGCAAATATCGCTACACCCTTTAAACCCACACACGACATGAAAAGCGTAACTCTTATTAGAAAATGTAAATGCAAATGTTTAATGTTTTATGATGTGTATTTGTATTATCGATTCTTCAGAGAGTGTGAGAAAATGAGAGTGTTTGCTATGGTACTTCGATTTGAGCAAGTCTGGCGATGTACTTGTAGGGGAGGGAATTTTCACACAGTATGGTAAGATGCCCGGGGATCAAAAATCATGACATATTATTGATCAAGGCTGTATATTAAACAACACAACTTTGGATTTCATATTTTTCTAGGCCTAAATGTTCCACGCCGGGGCTCCACAACGGTACATCATACCGGTTGACTAAAAAACACGCAAAATGAGATCGAATATTAGACAAGCACGAAAATGAATCTGACTCGAGTTACATGTACTACGGATGCATGTACGAAACCATTTCTGAGATGTAAGAGATTTGCCCCCGTCGAATACGAATTACTACGAATTCCTTCGCGTTTGTCAACAACCCTCTTCCCGTAGCAACATAGCGGAGGTCAAAGGTCACCCAGTGAGCAGCTGAATGGAAATAAAATATGAAAAGGTTTTATATTTGATGACGTCATGTTTGGGATGGTTACATGATATGAGACGGCGGGAGTGCTGCCGGAGTAATTGAAAAGGCGGGTGCATAAAAGACATGGAGACATGCAGACAATGGTTAACTAAACAACATTAAAACGTGTCTTTACTACAATATGGAAGCATATTGGCTTATTGTTCCCCCAGTTCTATAGGCTGTGCATGCGGAAATACATTTAAATAGCACAGCTACTATACTCTACACTACAGGTCTTCTTAGTGCATGTCGAGTATCACCCCAACCTTTAGACGAGCTATTACATGATTTAAGGCTCTTGAACAATCTTCTTTATATGGTTAGCCATAATTATAAGTCACCTGGATGAAGAGCGGCAAGTGTAGATTAATGTCTTGCCAAAGGATCAATGAATCATTTATAAGTAAATTTAAGATAATGACCAAAAGCTAGACGTAGTAGTGGTGATTATTTTTTACCTGACTGCTAAGTATAAAGCATAAACGCTTGTTAGTATAAAACAAATATATAGGACGGACGGCCTTAGGTCCTCTCCTTTGGTTCTCTCCTTTGGAACTGGTAATGAGGATGAATGCTTTATCAAAGGGCACTAGCGCATCGACTTGGTTTCGAACCCGGGTCGCCGGATTACGAGACCACTGCTCTACCAAATGAGCCATCGCGCCTCCCACTATGAAATTCCAACTCAGAAATCAATCATTGTTAATCAACAAATAACCCATCTGTGAATCGGCCAGCCAACTAGTACTGTAGCTAATAAATCAACAAAATATTCAATCTGTCATTCAATCGATCACTTACTTAATAGATCACAATCAATCAGTCAATTAATTAGTCAATCAATTAAGCAAGTTAATCAGATACTCATTATTTATCTTTCGTCATATTTCTGTCTGCGAGCTTCATACCCGACAAAATAATGTCACACGTTCTTGTCCGTAGTCATAGAGGGAATATTCACATGGACAATTGTTTCTAGTGTCAACCAAAGTTACTCATTCTGTCCTTACTCATATTAATTATTATCAAACATTAATTGAATCCATTCATTCATTCATTTTTTGTTTGTTAATCAGTCATTCAACAAATCATTCAATTGAGCATTTCATAACTCATAATATAGTCATAGGGGAACATTGACATGGGCCGCTCTTTGTGGTATCAACAAGGTTTGATAATAATAATTTATATGAAAAGCATTCGATTAGTAGGTCAGTAGGTCAGTAGGTCATTCAGTCAGTCAGTCAGTCAGACCATCAATCTAGTAAGCATTTAATAAGTCAATAAACCATTCAAAATGTATCTTATCAAATTCTTATTTCTATCTTCTTTTCATTCTTGCGAAGCAGATTGTTTCGAAGATATTTTATTTTTTTATTTATTATAGTTTTATTTTAACAGGGTGGTCTCATTCAAGTTCATTTCTGAACCTGCTCTCCCAGAGAGCCCTGCATCACATAAAAACATGTACAATAATAACATGAATTCAAAACATACATACAAAGGTAAAATATACATGGTATATACAATAATTAAACATAGGTAACGAAAAACACGCATTAACAATTATAAGGACAAAAAATACAATTATCAAATTGAGAAAACTAGATGAATGAAATGCAATAAATAAAGGTCAAATTAACGTGAAAATATGTTTACAAGGGAAACTGAAAGGTTTTGATATTCTTTTTAAAACTTTGCAGCGACTTACAATTTTTAATATGATAGGGTAATTCATTGTATATTTTAGCTCCTGAAACCGCTTATTTAATACAGTGTAGCTGCATGTAGCTGTATCAACTTAGCCAATTATTCATTCTTTCCTTCCAGCTTCAACCCCGACCCTAAGGTCCGTCACACGTTCTGGTCCGTGATCATAGGAGGGACGTTCACATGGACAGCTGTTTACGCTGTCAACCAGAGTCAGGTTCAGAGGTACCTCACCTGTGGGAACGTGAAGGTGGCCCAACGGTAAGTGCCCCGCCCCCCCTACCCTATGAAATTCCCATACGTAGGCTATAGGGGATCCACATCGGGAAAAACAGTTACCCCTAGTACTCCCCGAAATGGCGCTGCATGTTATGTTCCGCATGAATAATGGACATCCAAAAATTGCCCTTTTCAAACATAGCAATTTCACCCCTCTTTCACTCCCCTCCCCCCCCCCCCCCCCCAACCTCTCTCTCTCTCTCTCTCTCTCTATCTCTCTCTCTACTTCTTTCTCACACGAACTCTCTCTCTCTCTCTCTCTCTCTCCCTCCTTTCGTCTTCATTTTCTGGTCTTGTTTTTTTTTTTTTTATCCCTCTTGTATGAGGATATGAAAATAATGCCATTTTCTAATTATAAAATGAGTTTGCAAAATTCAAATTATGGTGGAATCACTTTTACAGCAACAGCGCATTAACAAGTAGTGCTAGTTAATTACAAGTAACTTCTGTATTGCATTTCTTTGCAATGCATACTACCCCAATAAAAACCCTCGTTTTCGATTGCTTGCTTTCCGTCACTTTTTAGAGCTGTTCTCTACGCCATCATCGGCATGCTGTTCGTCGTCTGTTTCGCCTGTCTCTCCGGCATCGTCATGTACGCTTACTACGCCGACTGCGACCCGTTTACCTCGGGAAAGGTCAGCCAGACTGACCAGCTCGTACCCTACCTCGTCATGGACATCTTCGGCAACCGGCCGGGGTTACCAGGTCTCCTTGTATCGGCAGCTTTTAGTGCCGCCCTCAGGTATACGAATTTTATGTCAAATGCAGTGGCGTAGCCATTTTATTTCATTTTACAAGCGCCGGGGGAGGGGGGGGGGGGGGGGTGTCGCCAATGTTACTTTGCTTTGCGAAAGTGCTGGTATGAATATGACACTGTTATTAGCACCAAAGAAACGTTATCATGATAGTAGAAATATTATTAGAAATATTTTTTTTTAATATAATAGAATCAATAAAATAAAATAATGTTACTTTGCTGGTAAGGAAAGGAAGTAGTAAGGAAAGTGCTGGTATGACACTGATATTAGCACCAAAAAGTGTTATCATGATAGTAGAAATATTATTAGAAATATTTTGGTTTTAATAGAATAGAATCAATAAAATAAAATGAAATAAAAAATAAATATTTCACATAACTTTATGTGCGCTTAACTAGATGTGGGATGGAAATTATCCTGACACTCCTTCAAAATAATTGTGCCATTTTTCGGCAATTCGTGAAAATTAATATTAACTTTTTGAAATTATCGTTGAATGTTATTTTAGAACCTCTGTTATGTCTGCACAACAGCTTTATAATCCTTTACCGGGAAATTAAATATTGAGGGACCGACAGATTTGGTTTGTCTTCCCCCATTTTCGATGGGAATATACATGTATAGATATAAGGCCTCATGATAATAGTTCAAAGTTCAAACCGTGACTCTGTTGTCATCTCGTCCATAGTACTGTATCGTCCGGTCTGAACTCGTTAGCTGCTGTGACCGGAGAGGACATCGTCAAGTCAATCTATCCAAATATGCCCGAAGAAAAATACACCAAGATCACAAAATTACTGGGTAAGTTAAAGCCCCGTTGCACTTCTTATAGCTACTTGCGCCCTCTATATAGCAAACAATGCCTAATCGGTGCCTGTTTGTCCCCCATGATCCCCTTTTTCTTATGTTAGTTGAGAGCTGATTTTATGAGAAAACCACCTGTCAGTGACCTTGCATGAAGGTATAATCCCCCCTGGCCAAACTAGTACAGACAGGCTTAAAAACAAAAAAAGGAAAATACGATTATTGTCATCTATCAGGGGTTGAAACGATAAAAAAAAATTAGTATAAGCTATATTCATACATTCATGATGAGAACCTGTTATAAAATATTTATAAAATATTTATAAAATATTAATAGTATATCTGTAAAGCACTTTATAGAGACTTCATAGATACTTCATAGATGAATTAAGCGCCGCAGTGGCTGCCTTGCTAAAGCCAGGGTAATAATCGGGGCAGCGCCAGGAGTGTCACAACGTGACGGACATGTGCGCTTTAACCCTATTTAGCCCGGGGGGGGGGGCTTGAGAAGCCCCCCCCCCCCTCGACATTTTTCGCGATAATTTTTTAACGCAAGAAAATCTTGCACTGAAATTTTGTGACTTTTTTCTTTCGAGTCTTGCGCAACTTTTGAAAGAAATTTTTCGAAAATCGGACCTACCATTACAAAGTCACGTGTCCTTTTGTCTTCGCATGTCAGCCCGAAAATCGCTCATTTTTGTGATTTGTGTACAAAACATATGGAAATCTCATTTTTCAAATAAAGAGGTAAAACATTGGTTATTTGGTCTTGTTTAGATTTTAGGTGTTTATTTTGGGGTCAAAATAGTTGAATTATAGTTGGAAATGAAATAAAACAACAAAAACAATAAAATACATAAGTTAAAAAAACAAAGAAATACATAAGAAATTATCAAAACAATAGATAACATAAGGAATAACCCTGGTTTTTCAAATTTTTGTGCTGTATTATTATTCCAAATGGTCTAACAAATATATGTAGTGAGAAAGAATGCTTAAATATGAATAATGTCTGATTTATGGGCAAAAATGTGAATTTAATGACCTTATTTGCATAAATTACCATAAATATGCAAATGAGTGAATTTTTCAAAAAATTGAAATTACCATAGTATTCTATACACTTCACTTGACATGTATGCAAATTTTCGCGGCGATCGGGCTTTTCACGGCCGAGATCATAGGGGGGGGCCTGAGAAGCCCCCCCCCCCCCCCCGGGCTATGCAGTTTCAAAATAGCCCGGGCTAAATAGGGTTAAGAGAAGCCACCATTATTATTATTATTATTATTATATAAAAGCGGAATTATTATTAGTATTATACTACAAGATCACAACAAAAATTGTAGATCACAAGGGCTATTTTAATACCCCATTGTTTATCTCATTCATGTTCGGATTACCCTAATGCAGCACTACACTGTAGTGTGCGCATGTTTCAGTGGGTGATGAAAAAGGATATTGAAAGAGCACAGTTTTTGCGATAATAGAGACTTTTAGATTTGCACGACGAGAACCTGGACTTCGACGTGCGACATCCTTTTAAGGCAATGTGACGTCCTTTTAAGGCACTGCCGAGCACTGCCAGTGCCTTAAGAGGACGTCACACGTGGCAGTCCACGTTCTCGTCGTGCAAATCTAGAAGCCCCTAATGTTATGTTGCTGGAAATTGATGAGAGTGAAATCCATTATCCTCAATTCTTCACCCGAATCATGACTGGATGGTTTCGATCTGCCGCAGCATGTTCCTATCAATTTCAAAGTGAGCCATGACTTTCGCAGCGTGCGAGTTTTGTACTCAATTAATTAGTAATCCCATTGTGAAATACGGAAAGTCATGAGAGTTTTGTCTCTAAGCTCCGACTTAGAATTCAATGTGCGTGAGAAAATTCAGGCAGTGTGACCCCGTTGATAATTCCTTGTAAATTAATTTCCTTCTTATTTTTTGGATAATCAATTTATATATTTTTTTCCTTCTATTTTCAGCTGCATTTTATGGTGTTCTGTGTATCGCCATGGCCTTCCTAGCCTCCGTTATGGGAGACGTTTTGCAAGTACGTTACTATGTTTCCTTATTGTCATTTTGTATAAGTACATTATTGGCATCCGTCAGTTCGTGTTGTTTTATTAATCTGTCACTGGAAGAAATTGAATAGATAACGGTAAAAATGATTTGATTTTTGTAATCGGGAGCTGTGTGTGTTAAAGAAGAAGAAGGAGGAGGAGGCGGGGGGGGAAGGAGGAGGAGGAGGAGAAGAGGAGGAGGAGGAGGAGGAGGAGGAGGAGGTGGTGGTGGTGGTGGTGGTGGTGGTGGTGGTGGTGGTGTGGGATTAATCTGTATTGGTATAAGATTTCAGCACTGTACACCAGTGTTGTTTGTGCAGAACTATATTCACATAATGGCAATCTTAAGTATTTTATTTCAAACTATTATTCATATGTTTTGTTTTTTCAGGCTGCTCTCAGTATATTTGGCATGATTGGAGGACCTTTACTGGGACTGTTTAGCTCTGGAATGTTTTTCCCTTGGACTAACTCGATCGTAAGTATAGAGTCACTTTTATGATCGTTAGGATGATGAAATATTAAAGTGGACATCATTTGTGCCAACCCTCCCCTATATTTCTCTGGAATGTGGAATACATGTATGTGGAGCAATAAAACAAGACAAATCCAAATCTGGGTCTATACTGTGGGATATTCCGAGATAATGATACACTAGGTGGATTATCCTTTGGCAAGACATTAATCTTCATTTACCACACTCCACCCAGGTGAGGTAAATGGGTACCTGGTAGGATTATTCCTTGAAATGCACTGTGCGCTGATAACGGCTGCCGGAGCTAAAGCTAGGGTAATAGTTTCCAAAGCTTTTGGGAAGCGCATAGAGATGTTATTTCATAACGCATTATGCGCTATACAAGTACTGAATATTATTATTATTATTATTATAATTATAAGTAGTAGTATTATTATTATTATTAATCTCATTTTTCAGGGTGCTTTAAGTGGGCTTTTCACCGGTCTCTTCGTGACCTTCTGGATCAAGATTGGCTCCCAGTTCTACCCTCCACCGGTCTCCAAGCCGCCCCTCTCCACCGCCGGCTGCCCCGTCGACAACTTCACCATGTACAATAATTATACCACAGACGTGATGGAGACCAGCGAAATGGTGACGTACACATTGCTCAACGCGACCACGCCCATGATGGATGACCCTGACAGGTATGCATGACGCCACGGCAGGAGGCGATTCCATTATTTTGTGATGAGTGGCATAATTATGAAGAAGAGGGGGAGGGGGATCTAGACTGCAAATACAAAAAAAAAACAGAAAGCAAATTAAATTTTGAAAACATTTATTTAGGTGCCTTTGGGTCAAAGATTTAGGGCACAGTTCTGTTCACATCTTGATAAGTTTTATTGGTCAGAAAACACAATGATTTACAAAATATGCATTACTTTTCTCTGCAGAAAATTTAATGAATAATCATATTGTTTTACATTACAGTGTAACATGAAAAATACATAGTGCACAGTTGACACAGTTATGGCACAGTTGACATTTGGGGAGACCTACTTGACATTTTGTTTTAAAGGGGGCGGTAGGTCAGCTGTTTCCCTCCTCTAAATCTGTCAGTGGTGTCTTTGATTTTGAAGCATTTCATTTGAATCATGTTCAAAATCTTAGTGTGAGATTAGTGATAACAATTTTGTTTCTTTGTTTGTAATGTAAGCTTGTTAAGTGGTCAAAGTCTTGGACCAAAATATGGTGAGATCACATTTCAATTCGGAAAGAAATAATGAAAGTTTGAAGACATGACTATCATTCTACCTTATACCACCTTCTTTTAATTTTTATTTTCAGACCTGCCATTGCGGATTTCTACGCCCTCTCGTATTCTTGGTACAGCGCCGTTGCTTGGTTGGTAACAGTTTCTGTCGCCCTCATCGTCAGCTTCATGACAGGTACTTTTGCGATTGACCCAGATATTGGGAAGAGAATAAATCTGTCAACAAGTTGAGAATAGGGCAAAGATGAAAAGTGAATTTCCAAAAATTATCAAAGTTCAAGTTTGGTTCAAATTGTGGTTTCGTATTAAAGAATGCATGAAAACATAACTTGAGGAATACCTTCTTCTATACCAATGGAAACCTTGTCGCCCTAACTAGTTAAACAATATGTTTAGATTTTGCATGGATTGAGTATTAACTTTTAGTTTGAATTTCCAAACGTTCGTTCGAAAATGTTAACTAAGCCAAGAGAAGCGAAAAATGTCACCTGAACATGTTACAATACTCGCAATCATAACGCATCGGCTATATGCGGGGATAGGTATGACGCAGACGTGAATTCAACGAAAAAAGGCTGAGCAAAACTTTGAATCAAATTTTCTGAAATCACAGATTTGTCTTTACTTATTTAATTAAAATATGGATCATCTAGAGACCTTACAAACACAACACATGCTTTATATAGGAAGAACTGTTTCATGATGCTATAATTAAAGTGACGGCTAGCAATACCAGAGGACATCTGTGCTTGCTATTACGTTTACATAACTAGAGCACTAGACTATTTTCAACAAACATTGACTGATGTTGTAATTTTTTAGGTCCAACAAAGGCCGAGGACTTGGACCCCATGTTGTTCTGTAGCGTCATAGATACCATGTACTGTTGTCTACCAGAGAGGGTTAAGAAATTCTTCAGGTGCGGGATGGAACATTATCAAGCCCCAGTGGTATGTAGAGTTAAACAAGGTTCAATTCATTCCCCTCTCCTTTAGTTTGTTTTCTCTTGCTCTGTAGCCCCCTACAGTGGCGGATCCAGGGGGGCCCGGCCCCCCCCCCCCTTGAGAAAAAAATCATGCAAAATCACGCGATTTTTACCTCTTTTGGGGGTTGGGCCCCCCCCCCCCCCTGGCGCTCAAGGGGGGGTGCAAATTTTAAAATTTTCGAGGACCAAAAAAAAAATTGTGCTCACTACCCCCCCCCCCCCCCCCCCCCCCCCCCCCCCCACTTTCCGACTTTCCGGCTGGCTGAGTCGTTGCGATTCAGCCAATCACTGTCTCTTTCTCCCCTTTCTCTTTATCTCTAACAAATAATAATTTTATTGAATTATATAAATTTTATTGATTGTTTATTTTATTCATCCTGAACACGACCGCAAGTCGAAAAAAAATAACTTTGCAATTTCAATCATATCACTTCTATTTTGTATGTCCCAAATAAATCATATTTGTTATACACCACTGTCGTCTGCACACGTTTCAAGTTTCAACTGGTGAGGCATAAGGCTCTTGAAATTGCGTTAGGTTGATTTGTTTAAGTAGTTGCTATGGTGATTCTGATTTGTTTGCATTTCTCTTCACCGTGCAGGATATCGAGGGCGACGAGGAGAAGGACGAGCAAAAGTATGCCCCAGTCCAAGGAGATAACGGCGTCGAAGTCGAGAACGAAGAGCCCGCAGCCAACGGTAAACCCCCTGTTGTCAGTGATGATGACGACACCAAACTTTAACCTTTGACATCGCGTCTCATTAGCATAATGATTCGGAGCCATCAGTGTATTTGGTTGGTCGTACAAAATGAGATTGAAAATGTATAATGCCTTTGTATATATACAACATTTTCAGGGTCGTATGTAGAAACGAGTTAGATATCAAGAGGTTTCATTTTTTTTCGATGTCATTTTGCAGTCAGGTAACGGTGTGTAATATTTTACTGTAACCCATAACTTTTGAGAAATCAACTAACGAATTATTCATCATGACCTTCGTCGCACAATTTTGAAAACAATTTTACTAATATTTTTTAGGATATTTGGTCTCTGTTTGCAAAGTTGATAAATGCTGTTGTAAATATAATTACTACGTTGGCGTTTTCATGACACTTTACAATGTTCCTCCAATTCTACGATAAGAATTTTAACAAAATTGATAAAAGTCCAGTATTATATTGCACAAATGATAGCGAAATATAATCATTATGTCTAGTTTTGATAATTGATCTGTTTATCTAGCAAGAGGTTTCATTTTTGCTTCACTGTCAATTTTCAGTCAGGTAACGGTAACTCAAGGGAAATGTTTGTATAACGTATTGTATATTCCATTTTAAAATCATGTTTGGTTTACCTAACACACACATTGTGATGGGCAAAGTTATTGAAATTGCTTTAGGTCAATTTCTCGAAAGTTTTCGCAATCCTCGAGTAACAACAAATGTATACAATACTGTTTGGGAAAGAGCAAAGTAGATATTAGTTGCTGTTCAAAAGAGTTTGAATTACGGCTCTTTTCAACTCGTTTTTAAGCCGTCATTAAAACTGATTTTACAATCGTAACATTGTGTTTATGATGAAATTGCATATTAGTCAATGGAGTATTCTGAAATGTAGGCATTATTTTTCATGACCTTTAGCGCACATTTTTTAAAACTATTCTACTAAAATTTCAGAGGATATTTGGTCTCAGTTTCCGCAGTTGATAAATTCTTTCGTAAATATATTTTGCTACTTTAGCGTTTTGATGACCCTCTTTTTATCATGTTCGTTCAATTCTACCAGAAGAATTTTAACATATTCCGTTAAAAGTCCAGTATTAGACATTAAATGTTTGCACAAATCATATAGAAAATTATCATTATTACGCCTAGTTGTAATAATTGATGTGTTATTATCTACCATGTACCTATTATGTTTGGAAATGAAGTGAAACATGAACAAAATTGCAGTGTATTGATCATTTAAAGGAGGATTGGATGTAAGAGAAATGTCATTTAAGAAGAAAGCAAGATATCTTTGCAATTGTTTGCGTGTGTGACTGTAGGCGATAAGTTATTTCACACCACTCACATTCCATATGTACAGTTGTATGGACGTGTCAGGCACTTCCCCAGTGTGCAGAAATATTTTCAAAGTAGAGGGAAAAAGAAGTATGCGTTATAATTATGTTATTATAACTTAAAGGTACTTTGTCCCAATTGCTGCCAACATCAAATTATGTAGAACGAGGGTCTGAAAATCAGACTTTTACTAAATGGATTGCAATCATCAAAGTCGATTTGACAATTAATGCTTGTTACTATCTTATTAAAAGACATTTTCAAGCCCTTTCGTTGTTAGGGAAGTTCTAATTTAACCTCTTCATCTGTTTGGCCTGCAAATGGGACAAAGTACCTTTAAAGCAGACACAAGTATATATACTTTGAATAGTGACCCTATTACTCATGGCAGTCGAACAGAGCAACTGCACAATAAAGAACTTTATTGATTGGTTCATTACACGTCATGTGACAAGATATAATTCACTCTGGCCTTCCGGGTTGTCCCCCCTCAGGAAAATAATCCGTTTCACCTCTGATACCTAGGATTCAGGCCAGAGCCCCTCATGGCAGTACATATTTATGTATATTGTAGCAAACCTTTGCCAAATTAATGTATAATAGCTTCTGTTTTTATGTCTTTATTTTCAATAGATTTGTCAATATATTACAGGAAACTTCTGTCGCACAAAAATTAGTATGGCTTTAAAAAAAAATCATGTATGGGTATTCTCTAACAGAAATGAAATGAGTATCGTATATAGGACTTCTTATATGAAACAGGGTCAGTTTTGAACAACTTGAGAGGAGGGTTATACCTTTGATCAGGCGCGTACACAGGGGGGGGGGGGGGGGGGGTTAAACCCCCCCTTTGGTAATTTTTTGTGTGTAAACCCCCCCTAAATTTCCCTAACCCCCCCCCCCCCCCCCCTTTTGGATTGTTTTTTTTTTTTTTTTTTTTTTTTTGTTGTTTTTTTTAAATTAAAAAAATAAAAAATAAAAAAAAAAAGAAAAGAAAAATTCCCATGGCCGACCTCAAATAGATGACCTTACCCCCCCCCCCCAACGGAGCAAAATGTCAAATTTGCAAATTTCGATACCAAAAAAAAAAAAAAAAAAAAAAATGTCCTCTTACCCCCCCCCCCCCCCCCTGAGCGACTTTCCGGCCGGCGCGATTTTTAAATTTTTGGGAGCAAAATATTTTGGGCCAGATTTTAAACCCCCCCCCCCCCCCCTTCAAAAAATCCTGCGTACGCCCCTGCCTTTGATATTTTTGATGTACAGCGTACTAAATATTCTAGCACCGCACAATACAATACGTTCTTATCAAGGACATGAAACGCACAGCTCCTTAAATGTTAACAAGTAAATAATCTATTTATGATTTTGATTAATTATTATTATCATTATTATTTTGCTCCTATGTAGTCGTTTCGAGTGTCCGCCCAGAAACAAACTACCTCACTTTTGTGATCGTGCAGTTTTATGGAGATTTTATGAAGATTTTTATCGAATTTATAAGAAGTACAGTTTATCGAAATCAAGGGTTCTTTATTTTATATAAAAAAAAATCATGAGCTTCTTGAAGTAAGTAAATGTTGTGCATGTTATACATTCTTCGTACGATTGAAACGTGTTCGCCGCTTTGGAAAGCGCATAAACTTGCAAGAAAACATCCCTTTGAACTGGTGATGAAAGAATTTTGAAGGTGATATTGATGCAGAATATAAAAATTGGTAATCGCCCCCTCCCTTTCAATTACACCAAACAATAAGTAACAAAAATATAACGACATAATTATGCGGTCATTGCATATCACAAATCGAAAGGAGATATTTTTCATTTTATTTTCTTTTGTTATTATCACAGTAAGAAAAACGCACATTGGACTTCTCATCTTATTGATTGATGAAATAACAAGTTATTGAAAATGTATCGCAAGTAGAATATGAATAAGATTACATTCATTGCAACTGAGAAGCTCTGAGAAGCTCAGTGCTCTTCTGGTAGTGGCGAATCTCTCTCAGGGCGACTGTGCCAGGCCTGTATCGATGATCATGTACTCTTCCTTATGAATTCGATTATGTTTGTCCTCCCATTTCATAAAGCAATACAATGCGACGATGGATATGTAATCCTTGTGATATTAGAATATTTTCTGGTATTCGTTTAGAGATTCATTGTGCGGGAGACAATACGGACAATATTAAACTCATGATATACTGTGAATTGCACAAACCAATTGATGGTACTTTACAGCAAAATGGTAATAAATATTACTTTGTAGATATGATGTATAAGAAATGGAATTTAATTTGAAGTTTGGACATGTCATCGTATTGTATTCTGTAAATATTGTATCATGATGCTGTATATCATTTCAACAAGGTAGTTAGTTGGTGGTAGTGTACGTCTCGCTCCTAATTCATTTAGTTGACTCTTCTTCGTGACCAAGTTAATCTAATACAACCCATGGAATATTCATTGTGTCGAAATTTTCTTGCAGTTGCATGAAAAATACTACTCACACTGCTCCACTCGTTAAGGCCTCATCATTTCAAGTAACCACTTAGCCAATACAATCCATATAATGGAACAAACTGAATGGCACTTCCAGGCCCGCTATGATGTAAGTATAAGAAGTTGCAATTGATCGGTATTGGTCACAACTCAATTTAAGTTTGATATCAATCGCCAATATGAAGGGGGGAAATATGAGATTGTCATTTGCGATTGATTGGATGACTTACGATCAAATACATCAACCGCAAATCGATGCCCCTTTTACAGGCCTACTGAGCTGCCGACCGGGGCTGCCGATATTCTTAGATACAAGTGATGTTCAACTGATGTATTGTATTGGTTTCTAAAGTGCTGCATTCGAGCTTATACTAAGCACTTGCAATGTTTTTGCCAGACAGGGTATGAAACCGAATGACTCAGGAAATATCACTGCCTACGAACCATGCATAATTAACTCCAAATCTTCCAAACTAGCTGCGTGTCACTATAGACCAGCGTTTTTCAACCGGGGTGCCGCAAAAAATCTTTGTAAGGGTGCCGCGAGAGAAATAAGTTATATATTACAAATATATATATTTTGGAATAGCGTCATTTTCATGAAAGCGACATTTTATACACCTTTATGGATTTTCATGAGGAGATAACATTTTAAAGATAATAAATTGTTTTTCTTCCTCGCTCGCTTCGCTAGCACAAAACATTTAGAAGCAGCATGGTTTAAGGGAGCAACATGTCTGAATACGTTCATATTTGGAGGTGCCCGAATATTCCTTTATTCGACAGTGAGGTGCCCGAATATCGTCATATTCGGGGTGTCCGAATATATCTTATATTATATACACCTTTAGTTATAGAAATTACAATTATACCACCCTCGTTCGTTTCACTCTCTCGCAACATTTAGAAACAGGATAATTCCGGGCAACGACATGTTTCAATATTTTCATATGCGTGAATCAAGGTGATTGAATATATGAATTTGTATTGGTGTATTCGGCAGCAAGATGCCAAAATACATAATTTTACATCTTACATGTAGTGTGCTTTGATTACATTTCTACCATATTCAAGTTTTCTTTTTGCTCGCTCGCAAAATCTAGAAACAAAATAGTCTGTTAAGTATATTGCCCAGAGCCAGCTAGAGTGATGCAAAATGTATAAGTTTGGGATTGCTTATTGGGGTGACGCGAAACTATTCATATCTTAGAAAGGTGCCGTGACTAAAAAAAGGGTTGAAAAACACTGATATAGACAATGTGGTTTGTGATTTGCAGTACGTTTTTGTTAGTTTGTGCATACGGTGATTTCGTCCGTCAACCGATGCCTCATTATGAAAATAATTTAGAACGATTTTGAGCTAGGTTGTTTCGAAGTACATTGTTATTATCACAAGTCAATTTATACTATAAAGTTTTATCCTGATAATGAGCGTTACTTTGAAGTTGGTAATAGTACAACCCTTAAAAAGAATGTATATAATTTTATGATGTCATTATGTCACTTTATTCTTTTATTAATTCAACATATCGTTTACTTTTGCAGTGAGACATAAACAAGAAACTCTTATCTGTGGTTTAATTAAAACATGTGCATGTTTCATATTTGATATTGGATTTATGAATAACGATGATGACGATAATGACAAATAAAGGAGTGCTCTTTCTTCATTTTCTACGTTTTAGCTTGCCTTGTCTGCTTCATTTCGTTTCAAATTAACCAAACTGAGAGCGAAACATATCTTAATTGCATAGAAGAGCAATGTATTCGTAAACAAACAAACAAACAAATATATACAGGCCATACAACCAATGAACACTTAGCGGGTCAGTATTTTTGTTTTTAAAGGGGAGGACAATACGGTTCGTTTCAGGAACTCCTATAGATATTAGATAACGAAAACAAACATTGACTTTTTATAAAGTATCTCTCTCTTTTTTCTATTTTTTTTTTCTCTCTCTCTCTCTCTCTCTCTCTCTCTCTCTCTCTCTCTCTCTCTCTCTCTCTCTCTCTATCCGTCTATCTAACTATCTATCTATCGCTCTTTTATTTCCCCTATCTCAGCCCCCCCCCCCAAGTCTCCCTCACTCTTTCTTTACCTCTTGCATACTTATTCCAGTCGTCTACAACCTTTGTTTTCTCACTTCTCTCTATCTCTCTCTTCCCCCCCCCCCCTCTCTCTCTCTCTCTCTCTCTCTCTCTCTCCCTTCCTCTTTCTCTCTCTCTGCAATTATTAATATGTAGTCTTTGCAGAATTTGGATTAAAATTGTAGATATTTATTTCAAATATATATATATATATATATATCTATATATATATATATATTTATTTCATATGTATATACAATATTCTATAGCTTTCGAGGTAATCAATAGTGAAAAAATGAAAATAATTTATTTATTTACAAAAAGTCAACGTGACCGCCAGCAATCTTTTAAAAAACAAATACATGTAATGATGTACAGTAAACGTATATCGACAAACAAGCGCGTTCATGCCGTTAATGGTATATACCCGTTGCATATGTTGTGTATTAGGATAAAGTGGTATTAATACATATTAATTATTCCTAAAAACCTTTCGATACAATTAATCAAATAAACAGACAAATCCAATACGATTATAAAGTATTTATAAATAAGTGAAATATATATGAAACATTCAAAACAATTTATAATATTGTCTGCTGGTACTATCAGATATTTCAACCATAAATTATTTAACTTTTAAAGTAGAATAAAATAAATGAAAATAATACTTTACACGGTATTGACACTTTTAATGCACAACTATTTAGTTTGTACATTAAAAAGTCATCGGGGTATGAGGAATAAACAATTATCACAGTTAAGTGAAGCAAATTCAGCCATCATATTGACTGAATATTTTGTAAGTACGCTGCTTGTAACTCTTATGTTCCTGTACCTTATGGCCTGGTACTAGCCATTCACAAAACCCTCTGAATGGGGGGGGGGGGTGCGGCTAACAATGTTAAAAACCAATGTTATATGTACAGCCTTTTCGAAATCAAAAGAGTATATTGCTTATTTTTACGGAAGTTTCAGAATAAACCATCGTTTCGCTGAGTTCCTGAAATACATTATAAAAGCACTTACTAGGTTCTGGGCACTTTTAGAATTGTCAAGATATTGTATTCCAAAACTCCCAAAACATCGCATCATTATTTCGGCAAAGTTCGGAAAATCGTATTAAAATAATTTTCAGTGAATGACCCTGGCTCACATTAATAATGATAATAATAATAGGCATTTCTATAGCGCCATCTATCTAAAAAATTCTATTCCGAGGCTATTATAACCCCCGCTTTAGCATAGCTGCCATTACAGCGCTCCAGCTTTCAAGGAATTAACCCTGCTAGGTACCCATTTACTTCACCTGGGTTGAGTGTGGCGAAGGTAGATCAATGTCTTGCCAAAGGACATTAGTGCCGCGGCGGGACTTGAACCACGGACCTTGTGATCGACAGTCCGGCGACGTATCCACTCGACCAAAAACTTCTACATTGGGCATCTTGGAGTGAAATCCTGTTCAAAATATTTTCCTAATCATCTGTTTAGAAGCATTTTCTATGAACGATCCCTGGTCCACATTCGTCGTACTCCTGCTTGCTGATCCACATGTCCTGAAAGGTGGAGAGAGAAGCCAAGATGGAGCCCCCGATCCACACGGAGTACTTCCTTTCAGGAGGAGCTATAATCTTGATCTTCATGGAGGGTGGAGTCAGGGCGGAGAGCTCCTTGTGCATCCTGTCCGCGAATCCCGGAAACATGGTGGAGCCACCAGACAACACCGTATTGGCGTAAAGGTCCTTGCGGATATCTATATCGCATTTATTGACACTGTTGTAGACTGTCTCATGAATTCCGGCCATCTCGTGGCCTAGGAAAGACGGTTGGAAAAGACACTCTGGAGCACGGAATCGCTCGTTGCCGACGGTGATGACCTGACCGTCGGGGAGCTCGTAGCTCTTCTCGAGTGACGATGACGACGCAGCGGTTTTCATCTCCTGGTCGAAGTCGAGAGCGACGTAGCACAGCTTCTCTTTGATGTCGCGGACTATTTCTCGTTCGGCTGTTGGTTGAGAGGTGAAAAAGACGAACACGTTTAGAACCGAGGCAAAATTGTTATTATGAGGTTATCATGGTCATCTTCATACTCGAATAGCTCGTGAATGATTGTCAAGTGCCTATACAAAATGACACAACATACAACTATACTACAAACACGATGCATAATTTTTTTTATTTTTTTTTTTATGACAAAATTATTCGTAAAAATTAATGATGCTAATAAGCTAATCAAGTACGAATTATCATACTGAATTTCATAGGCGAATCTATTTCCGAGATTTTAGAAAATGGAAGGGCAAATCCGATTGGTTTTCAAGGGGGTGGCCAGTTGTAGCCAGTTGTTCGGTGCCACTAATCAGTTCATCGAATTGTCTTAAATTTACAGTTCATTAAATAATGTAATTGCAAGTAAGATCCCTTTTAGGGGAGGGGTGTATTTTGCCCGTCATTCCTCTACGCTTTGCAATTGCTAAAACCTCTTCCAAATAACTAATACAAAGACATTTTTGTGTAACTTACCGGAAGTGACCATTCGAGTTCCTCGTTCAGCGAGAACCCCCATCAAAGAATGCGTAAGATCACGCCCAGCAAGATCAAGACGATGAATGGCATGCGGGAGGGCGTATCCTTCATAGATCGGCACTACATGGGAGACGCCATCACCAGCATCAAAGACGGTTCCGGTTGTCCGACCTGAGGCGTAGAGGGACATGACAGCTTGGATAGCTACGTAGAAAGCTGGAGTATTGAAGGTCTCAAACATTATCTGTAGGTGGAAAGAAATGAAGCTCATTGAAAAAAAAGTTTTCATTTCATTTTTTTTCCACATGAGATCTTTCCAGATAGATATAGCAGCTTTCGTGATGACATATTTTTTTTTTAATCATATGACCGAGAAAGCAAGTCATAACAGAAAACGAGAGAGAAAATGAGAGAGAAAAGAGGGGGGGGTGGGAACTGCATGAGGTACAACAACAACAACAACAACAATAAAGATGAGGTGTAAACGGTCATAGAAAATAATCATAATACAATTTGAAAGTTTAATCGAGTGTGAACAAGAGAAAGAGATTCCTCGGAAAGTTTTCCTTTATAGATAAAGAGGAGTTCGTCTTAATTAAAAATTAATCAGCTACAGCATGTGACCGAGAAAAAAAGACATAACAGAGACCGAGAGAGAGAGAGAGGGGAAATGGATCATTACCTGTGTCATCTTTTCTCTGTTTGCCTTGGGATTCATCGGAGCCTCAGTGCAGAGTATCGGGTGTTCTTCGGGGGCGACACGGAGCTCGTTGTAGAAGGTGTGATGCCAGATCTTCTCCATATCGTCCCAGTTTGTGACGATACCGTGTTCGATCGGGTAGTTGAGCTTTAGAATTCCTCTCTTGCTTTGGGCCTCGTCGCCGACGTAGCTGTCTTTCGAACCCATGCCAACCATGACCATCTGGGGGAAATATGAGAAAGAAAAATGACTGTCACATTCTTTTTTACTTTTTAATTTGAATTTCATTTAGTTCCATTATTAAGCTCTGGGCCCCGTCTTATACACAATTGATATCAATCGCAACCATGTAAGTACATAAGAGATAGGAGACTGCAAACTGGCGATTGATTGGGGGACTTGCGATTGATTTGGATCAATCGTAACTCTTCGTAAGACGGGGCCCTAGTGTAAATTATTTATTGTGATTAAAAAATAGAGGATACAAGTATAACATAAGGATATACCAGGCATATGCGTTCAAAACCAGGATATGGGGCTTAAAGGTAATACAAAGTTTTGGGAAATTTTGAAAATTGGCTGAATAGTGATTCTTTACAATTTTGATATATTTTGATGCCCCTGTGGATGTATTATAAGCACTAGAAAATTTAGCCTCTAAAACACTTCTGCTTTTGAGACAAATTGAATATCAAAATTTACCGGTGCTCCCGGTAAATTTTGATAAATTTGAAATAGCGCTTACAGCCATACAATGGTAGCTGCGACCATGAAAATCTCAGAATATGTAGTTGTGATATATAATTTCCAACGGGAATAGCCAATCGGTCGATTTTAGTCAAGAAACATTGTTTTATGGCTTAATTAATATCTCGACCTTGAGAGGGAGCTATACATCTTAAAGAGTATATTATTTACAATTGTATAACTTTAGACTCGATTTCAACGGCGACAACGATCACTTAATATTGTCGGATCGCATATGCTTCCAATATGTTCATTTGAACCAAATTCATGACCTTATACCAAAACTTTGTATTACCTTTAAGGCTTCAACCATCCCGCGTCCCCACCCCATGAAAACGTTGAAAATATAAATATTCGGGAAATCGGTATCTTATATTTGGGCACCAATGTGCTACAATTTGTAGTTAACATTGAGAAATGCATACCCTTTCTAGTGTATTTTAAGGATTAAAACAGTATTTTTTTACAGGAATATTGGATTACTCGCTTCGCTCGTGCGTAACATTTAGAAACAAGACAATTCGGGCAAGATCTGCAACCCCCTGGCGAAAAGTACAGTTCTCCTTGAAAATTATTGAAATGGTTAGAAGAAGGACAAATTCTTTTTCTTCACTTTATTGGAAAGGCAATATTTCACCCTTTAAAAAAAGTGATTCAAAGAAATAAAACAATTTTTATCATTCCTAGTCTTACCTGATGTTTAGGTCTACCGACGACAGATGAGAAGACAGCTCGTGGTGCATCGTCGCCTGCGAAGCCAGCCTTACACATACCCGATCCGTTGTCAACGACCAGGGCTGCAACGTCATCTTCGTAGGTGGCCATCTTGGTTTTTGGTGTTGTTGTTGGGTTCAACTTTGAGAGTCGTACGTAAAATCTGCGTTTGGAACAGATAATGTTGTTTGTTGTTGGGTTCAACTTTGAGAGTCGTACGTCAAATCTGCGTTTGGAACAGATAATGTTATTTGTTGTTGGGTTCAACTTTGAGAGTCGTACAGCAAATCTGCGTATGGAACATATAATGTTTTGATTTTTGCCCCTAGTGTCATATATATCTATATATGTTCACCATGTATTACATATTATGTAGAAAAATAAAATAATAATAATAATAAATTTATATAGCGCAGCTTTTATACAAGATGCATTCAGCTGCGCTGGTTAAGAGCTCCTTTTTTTTTTAGTAAATTCTACAAAATAGGATCTCTCAATTGAACAAGTATGTTTTTAATTTGGATTTGAAGACATTAAGAGATGGATTGCTTTGTATGTCTATGGGCAAGCTATTCCATAGTGTGGGGGCAGCAATAGCAAAAGCACGATCCCCGAGAGTTATTTTAGTTTACCATGGGGAATCTGGAACAATAAGGCCAAACAAAAAATCATTTGGTTGTCCTCGACCGCCCGCTCGTCATTTTCGGGCCGCTCGTATTTTTTTTTTTTTTCTTTAAATCTATTTTTTGTTGTTGGGGGGAGCAACATTTTAAATGCCTAAAATACCATTTTATGCATTTGCAAGGATCAAAATGCGTCCCGATGCCAGTTTGGTCTTTTCAGTACGCAATTCTGTATTATTTATTAAACTTGCCATTTTTATTTTTCTATTTCAAAATGCCGTTAATTCAAATCAGGTTCTGAGCATTCTTAAACTCATTTTAAAGCCCATCTGTACTAGTTTATAGGAGGGATTAGACCACCCTGCAAGGTCACTTAACAGGTGGTTATCTCATATAATCAGCTCTCAGTTAACATAAGATAAAGAGGATCATGGGGGAGCAATGGTCACCGATTAGAGGGCGCAAGTAGCTATAAGTAGTACAATGGAGATTTAAAAGGTGCTGTATTTCAAAGCCAAAAATACTTTCTGTGTTGGTCTTGATATTCATTGTACATTAAACTATTCTTTTACCATATTAAAGTGTTTTATAGACTTTGTTTGTTTAATTGCTTGACATCCCAATGTTTTTTTTTTCATGGAAAAAAAAATTATTACAAAAAAAAATTAAAATGGGGGGGGGGGAATTCAAAAAAAGACACACAAAAATAGGTTAAAGAAAATTCGCCCGCCCGCTCCTAGTCTAAAAAAGCAGTCGAGGACAACCAAATTATTGTTTTTTTTTTGGCCTTATTGTCTATGGAACTGCGCAGACTACGACTATGGGACTGGACTTTGAGTTGGAGTAATCCTGTTGACCCAAATGTTCATTGAGGCAAACAGTACACAAAAGCTACACAGTGAGGTACATACATCATGGAGATCTCTTCTTATATCTCCATGCATACATGTACAGTAATGCACAGATGTGTACAGGGAACATGCATGGATTCTTATAAATTGTACTAGTTACCGACAGCAATAAAAAAAAAGTAACATTTAAAAACATATGAAATCATCACATATAAGGCCATGTAAAAAAGAAATATACATGTTTAGCGTCCCCGCCCGCTTCCTTTTTTGGGGCCGCCTCCTATTTTTCTTTTTCTTTTTTTGAAATTTGTTGAAATTTGTTGATTTTTTTTTTTTTTTTTTTTTAAAGAAAAAAAAACATGAAAAACACTGCTAAAATGGATCTATTTCTGATTTTTAAAACAAAATTTAAATAATGTCGGCGGCCATCTTGAAAAATAGCCCGACTGTCAGGGAAAATGTACCGAGCGGCCATTTTGGGCGGCCATTTTGAGAGAGAAAAAAAAGAAAAAAAAGGACCTCCTCCTTCCTATTTTTCGAAAAAACAGGACGCTAAACATTTTTTTTTTAATTTGGCCTAAAACTTACAATTTGACCAGCTGATGCCATGTAACACAATCATATTATAGTAATAGTACAAAAGATCAAATACAGCAAAATCAAGTAACTAAGAGCTCCTTCCTGGGGAGCAGCATAAGCATGTACATGTAAATGCTCGTGCGCTCAGCCCAATCAGGGTGTTTAAATAGGATTACAAAACAACAAAGTGATTCATAGTTTCCGACTCATGCAATAGAAAGTAATTTTGAATAACTGATAACACAAACTTGCTTGAATAGTTTTAGAATTATAAAGAACCAATTAAATATGAAACAATCAATTAAGGAGAATTATAAATGGGATTAAAGGTAAAAAACAGTTTTGGAAACGCCCCCCTCTCAAAAAATAAAATGAAAGCTCTTATTACCAATCATGTGAAAGAATATGTTTTGACTAATACGTGATAATACAAGATTTGCCGAGAAACCGCCTACTAATTGATATATTTGGTAAATTATTATATCTATTTGGACCTGATAGATATCGCGCCCGTTTCGTGCACGTGTCGCGTATTCCTATATACATCTTTCTGTGTACAGTGCTTGTAACTTTACCAAGACTGGGCCAAATTTCTTCTTATTTTGATGATTCCAGAACCTTGCAGTACACACCAATACTTATATGCTAGATGATCAACCTGTTCTTAACTAATTGATTCCACAACGTTTCTTTCACAATGAAATCGCATGACCAGAACTGGTCTTTATCTTTAGAGAAAATTAATGATCTTACCTGCCAGTAGCTCGTAGTATATTTAATACCTTTAGGGTTATCAAAAATTCAAGACGAATATTGATATGCGAAATATGATGTACATGTAGGTTTCTTGCAAACCGAAGTAGATAGCAAATTTTGTGAGTTTGTTGGTAATAATTCTTCTCGGCTTGTCAAGATTGTTAGAAGAATGCAGATGCACCTGTAAGTTTCTGTGAGGGGTTGAACCGTCGAGTTCTGATGAAAATGGGAGACTTGCTGAGCCCTTTTATACATTTAGGAACAATCCCACTCCCCTCTGAGATATTAGCTAATAGTCCGAAAAAGGGATAATGTATTACTCACTGGGCGGTCACTTTGTATAGTATATAAATAACAGCACGGGCTGTTAAATAAACATGAGGTGATGCGCGCGCATGCATAAAGTTCGGACTGCGAACTAAATTTGTATGACACATCGCGATTGTACAAAGTCCAAAGATAAAAAGGGGTATAGACAATACTTGCATGAAGCACGTCTCTTCGTGTATGCAAATTCAGTGATATTTATTATGTAATTCTCATGAATTATGGGTTTCAAATATCAGCACACTCTTATAATATGTCCATATTAAAAATGCGCATATTCGCACGCAGCAAGTCGAATAGTTAAACGTTAGAAGCTATTTACGGCGAAAATTGGCAATGACGATTGGACAAATATAATTAGTCGGGTGGTTATCAGTGTATTATATTGTGCAAATTTTCGGAGAACTTGACTTCTATATGTGGGAATAATAACACTAGGAGAGTATTGTTGTAGCGAATGGGAGTGAGAATCCCATGTTTAGACCTCGCATTCATAAATCGCCTATATGGATAACTTATTATTTACTTGTTTATTTTTATGTTTTATTTTCTCTCTCTCTCTCACTCTCTCTCCCTCTCTCTTTCTCTCTAATTACCCGCTCCCTCCCCTTATCAAAGTTGCGTGCCTCTCCTTATCCCTCTCCCCAATATTTCTCTATATCGCCCTTTCTTTCTTCTCTCCCTTCCTCTCTCTCTCTCTCTCTCTCTCTCTCACTTTCTCCCTCTCTCTCTCTCTCACTTTTCTCCTCTCTCTCTCTCTCTCTCTCTCTCTCTCTCTCTCTCTCTCTCCAATTACCCCCTCCCTTTCTCTCTCCTTCTCCCTCTCTTTTTTTTTTAATCTTTATCTATATCTCTATCTCTTTGTCTCTCAATTTCTTTCCCTTCTCCCCTTCTCTCTTTCATCCGTCTCCCCTTCTCTCTTTCTTTATCCTCTCATCTCTCTTCTTTTCCCTATTTTCTGGTTCTCTCCACGCTATTCGCCCCACTCTTTCGCTTTTCTCATTTTCCTCTCTGACTCTTTTTCTTTTGACTCCAAAAGATCTCGAAGATGAAAAATTAAAAAAAAATGAAAGCAGAAGATAACGAAGGTAAATACGGCACAAATTAAATTTAGAATGGGTAAAATGAAATATTGGAAAGAAAAGTATTGAGAGTTTGAAAATGATGGGGAACAGATTTTTTTTTTTTAAATCATGGCAAGGATGATTTAGACATACTCCAGAGGAATAGAAAACTGTGAATAGTACGACTCACAAAAGTAGGCAAAAGTTTAAACGTTAAAGTAAGAAAAAAAAAGGCCGGAAGTTTTGTTCTTTACTCTATCGATAACAAATGCTATTTCAGCTAATATCTGAACCCTATCCTTAAAAAAAAGGCCATGGTTTGAAGATTTGTTGATGTTTTTGTTTTACATGGCACACGATGCGTCAGTTTGTTTGATAACAGATTTAATTGTATGGTAGGGTAGTCATTTTGTAAGTTCAAAGAAATCGCAAAAATATATATAGATTATATCTTGTTCAAAAAGCGTACCATACTGTCAAGTTTTACCTAGGCTACTGTTGAACAAAAAAGTTTAAATGAGTCATTAAGAGTTAACAAAATAAGGTCCACCAAAAGTAAACACTTGCACCTCATTACCATATGGGTATTCCCCTTGTTGATGGTCAACAGTTGCTGTCTTATATAATAGACCCGTCCTGTGCTCACGCGAGTGCTGTATGCGTAATTAGTCATCTTTAGAATCGGGGGAATACCCTAAACCAGCAAATGCAGTGCATTACCCGTTGAAGAATTTAGTCTCAATTTACAGACCTATTTGCACTTATGAAAGTCCCAAAATTATCCATCAATATCTCCACAATATTTTGAAGATACTGATTTTTAAATTAAATTAACAGTGCAAATGTAAATTCAAAGGTAGATTTATTTTCGGATATATTATTGGGGACAACTTATCTTGAATGAATCAACTTGAATCAACGTGAAACACTTGAAATAGTAAACGTAAGCGAAATATCGTAGGGCTTTATTAAATCTCCTCCCAATCTGAAGGCATAACAAACAACGACAGTAGCATGATGACACGTAGCATTATTTTTTCGTCATTATAATTAACGACATCACCAAATAAAAAACATACATACTCTCTCGCTCTCTCTCTCTCTCTCTCTCTCTCTCTCTCTCTCGTCTCACTGTATGAAATCGTTGAAACTAATGCGACTTAGAGTCTTAGATGAAATGTGTGAGCGCATAAAATAAACTCATTTGCTATTTAAAGTCTGTTTCTAAGACTACTTATTCTTGTTCGTTGCGGGGGATATTACAATAGCGGAGGGTAGTAGGGCAATATACCACTGACCAGTGCAATATACACTGTTTATTATGCAAATCGTTTTGTGTTTATCGACTGTTCCAGTCGGCCACCACGTAGAGGGCCAGTGTAATGCGAACTTACTATTCTGCGATGAACTTAGGATTTGTGAGGTGAAACTTTTTATATCTCAAAGTACCGGCACTAAGACTACAAAAAGGTTGACAAACGCTGAATCAGATATAGATAATAGATAAGAAGCCCTACATGTAGAAACGACTGGCAAAATAAGCAAAATTGATGAATATGTTGATCGCCCCATTGCACAGCGAACAATGTACACAACGATGACAATGTACAACCCCAATGTAAACACTAGACAGAGAATAGTCTTAGCCAAAGCCTGCATAAATTTATTATTGAAGTCTGCGTTTATCATACCCTAAAATAGTGAAGCTTATTAGTGTTATTTTAATTGTTATCGCAAAATGCTGTTGTTATATTCAATTTGGTCTCGGAGGTACATGTATAACATTAAAAGTCCGATGTTTTTGCTAAAGTTATCTGTTTCAATAATCGTTATATAAATAGTCTTTAGAAATCAATGGTATTTGCAATAAATGTGGGGAAATAAATTGTTCCCATCAAAAAGACATGAAACTAAACATTTTCTTGTTATAATATACAATTAATTTGGTGTATTTATAATGTAACAATACGGAAGTACTGATCAAAGCATCTATCAACTTCATTCATTTTTGGAATAAATCGGATGTGTTATAAAGCTTCTGACCATTTTTATAAAAAATTCTTGAAAACTGATGAAAATATTGATTCTAATGTTCAGAGATCTTTCATTTCAATATTAATATATCTATGTTTACTGTTTAGTACAAGGTTTACCGGAAAACACTCCCGAATTATCTTTATCGGAATCTTTAGCAGGAAAAAGGGGTTACGTCGTAAGTACAAGGGGTCTGTAAATTAGAACTATCTCTTCACTCTTCCTATTTTTACGTAACGCGCTCCATACTGGTATAGGGGTATTCCCCGTTTTCATGATGACTCATAATACGCGTACTGCCTAACACTTAGTAGGCCCACAACGCGCATGACAAGGGTTTGTAAGACAGTTAATCATCATAAAAGGGGGTTTACCATATGCTAATGAGGTTCGAGGTTTGACTTTTGGTAGACTTCTCTTAATCACGTTTAGTGAGTCATTTAAACTTTGTTTTTTCAACAATAGTCTAGGTCAAACCGAAAAGTACAATACGGCTATTGAACAATTTTTTTTTTTAAATATAAACTTACGAGATACAGAATGACTTACCCTATTAAGCAAATAAATCTTTTAACAAACAAAATGATTAGATTAAAGTAAATGATACATCGATTGTCATCTAGAACGAATCTTTTAAAACTATTAGTGAATTTGTTTATACATTCATTTATTTATTTATTTTGGGGTAAGGTAGAGTTATCAGCCGGAAATGAATTTCTTATCAAAATAATAAAGAACAAAGCTTCCGGCTTTTTTCTTATACCAACTCAACTTTGGCTTACTTTTGTGACTCGCAATATTCCCAGTTGGTCTATTCCTCTGGCATGTCTGCCTTAGGTCGAATTCATCGATTCTATGATGTTTTCATAATATATTCCTTCAACTCATATTTTCAAACTTTTCGTTTATATTTTATTTTCTTTAAAATTGTTACTTAATTTCCACCTGGGTGAATATAATATGTCGCATCAATTCTTGTTGATCTTCTTCTGTATTAATAGTTATTATTTGTATATCTTTTCTTGTGTAGGATATTATTGGGGGTATACTATGTCCCATTTGCAGGCCCTACAAATGAAAAGGTTAATTTCCAACGGCATATGAAAAATAATACTAATTTAGAACTTCCATCAAAAGAAAAGGGCTTGAAAATGTCTTTTTGTGGGAAAATAACGACCGTTAGTTGTTCAATTGAATTTAGCGAGCGCGATCGTTTAATCAAATAGTCTGATTTTCAGACCCTTGTACCGAATGGTCGCACGTTTTGTGCCGCGCAAAGATTCAATCAGTTGAATCTGGCCATGTCAAGAATTAAGTTATTGATATAGACAAATGCCCATGTAACCTTAACTTCTCATTTTATGTACATGTATTTTATTACCAAAGAAAACAAAAGAATTCAGTCAGTCACTCAATAGTGTCTGACATTTAAGCCTAGAAAGTAAATGGACACTGCCAACGTTTACTTTTGACAGAAAGGACATAGCCTTTTTACGCGAAATAATCATGACTCCTGCTAAGTTCTACATACTTTGATGTTGGCTGCAAAAGGGATACACTACCTTTAATGGCATTAAAAATGAATTAAAGCAAAATGAAAGACATAATAGAGAGAGTGAGCATCATGGGAGAAAGTGAGGAAGCAGGACGGAGAGTGTAAACACGCACGAGAGAGAGAAAGAGAGAGCGAGAGAGAGAGAGAGAGAGAGAGAGAAAGAGAGGGAGAAGGGAGAGAGAGAAAGATAGAGAGAGAGAAAGAAAGAGAGAGAGAGATGGAGGGGGGCTGAGATAGATGAAGATAAATGAAACCAATCGAAGGCAGGCGCGGGGGGGGGGGGGGGAGTAGAAAGTGACAAATATAAATTATACTAAATTATATACATCCATGTAAGGGTTGTACTAGTATACCAACTTCAAACGCTCATTACCAGGATAAAACATCGTAGTCTAAATTGAGTTGTGATAATAACGATTTACTTCGAGACAACCAAGCACAAAATCGTTCTAAAATGTTCATTATGCAGCATCTGTTGACGGACGAAATCACCGTATACACAAACTAACAAAATTCTACTGCAAACCAAACACCACATAGTCGCCTATTTCGACTATTCCAGGCGGCCAACACTTGACAAATCATAAACGATCACTAAAATATGTCTTATTGGTAAATTATGTTTAAAAAATGGTCAATAATATTTCTTTTTTATGTACAGTTCAATAAATAACAAGCTTGTGAGAGGTGAAAATAATTTGTGAGCATTATCATTGTTATTATGCATGGCTCTTCAAATGGCTCAAAATTAATTCTGAATATGACAAGTAACAGTTTAAAAATGGGGGCCGATTTTTATGTCTGATGTTTGTGTAGTCCTATCAAAGAGTAATATCTCTTTGGTCCCATGTACATCCTTCTGTGTTAAGTACCTGTTACTTTTAATCAAGACTGGGCCAAATTTATTTTCATATTGATGATTCCAGAACCTTGCAGTACATACCAAATACTTATATGTTACATGATCAACTTTTCCTGATTGATGCCACACCGTTTCTTTCACAATGCAAACGCATGACCAGAACTCAACTTTTTCTTAAAGGGGAAGTCCACCCTGAAATTAAGTTAGTTTTAATAGGAGTAGAAAAATGAGAGAAACAAGTCAGTGAAAGTTTGAGCAAATTCCGATTAAAAATAAGGAAGTTAGGATTTTTGAAGTTGTGATCAATCAAACACAAATTGGCAACTCTATGACGTATCATGCGAGCTCAACTTCCATTTGCTCAGTACTAAAAAAATCTAAAATTTTCATTTTCCCTCAAGAAAAATTTCAACCATACATGCACCCTAAATATAATAATTGCAAATATGTTTCTATACTCCCCCTGCAAGGAACAAATATATATCCCGTCATCAATAACGAAGAAAACATGATTTTATGGAATATTATGCACAAAGCAAATGAAGGAGAGCTCGTATGATAAGTCACAGAGTTGCCAATTTGTATTTGATTGATCACAACTTCAATAATTCATAATTTTCTTATTTTCATTCAGAATTTGCTCAAACTTTCACTCACCTGATTTTCTTATTATTCTGCCTCTATCGAAACAAACTTATTTTGGGGGTGGACTTTCCCTTTAAAGAAGTGTTCTTTTCCCACTCTGTGTCTGTTTTGTTTGATTTTGTTGTGTTGTGTTGTGTTGTGTTTTTTTTTTTTTTTTTGGGGGGGGGGGTTCTTTCTTTTTTCGATCCCCCTCACCTCTCTCTGCCCTTCTCCTTGCCCTCTTTCTATCCCACTCTTTTTTTTCTTTTTCTCCCTCTTTCATAACTTTCCTTCGCCCTACTCTCTCTCTCTCTCTCTCTCTCTCTCTCACTCTCTCCCTCCCTCCCTCCCCTCTCTCTCTCTCTCTCTCTCTCTCTCTCTCTCTCTCTCTCTCTCTCTCTTTGTGCAGTAGAATATAAGGAGTCTTTGCAGAATCTGGATTGAAATTGTAAATATTCATTTATATATATATATATACATGTATATATGAATACAATATTCGAGCTTTCGAGGTAATCAATAGTGAAAGAATAAAAATAATTCATTTATACCTGTATAAAGTCAACCTGAAGGCCAGTAATCTTTAGATATATAGTAAAAAAAAAAATAAAAAAAATTAATCTATCGACACACCAGCGCGTTTATTCATGACGTTGGTGGTATATACACTTTTCATGTATTGTGTATTAGAATGAAGAGGGCTTTAATTGTTATTAATAAATAAAAATTATTCCTAAAAGCATTTCAATATAATTAATCAAATGAACAGACGAATCTAATACGATTATAAAGGATAAATACGTGAAATAAATATTAAACATTATATTGTCTGCTGGTACGAAAAGATATTTCAACAGAAAAGTATTTTCACTAAAGTAGAATACAATAAAATAAAATAATACTTTACATGTTATTTACACTTTTAATGCACAGCTATTTAATTTGTACATTAACAGGTCATCGGGGTATGATAAATGAACAATTATCGCAGTTATGTCCTAGATCTGGGCCCTGTTTCATAAAAGATGTAATCAATAACAAATGCTAAATTTATATGTCAAATTTGCTCTCAGCCAATCAAATGCCACGATTTCAGTATAGTTATAACAGTTATCGTTATTGATAACAAGTTATATGAAACAGGGCCCCGGGGTTCTTGGCCTGAGATTTACTTCGACTCGTTTAGGGGGCCTTGATGGAAGAAAAGATTATTCAATTCATTCTATGGTCAATAGGATATGTAAGATATGATTACATATTTCACGTTGAATTCACTTACAAAGTGAGGCGAATTTAGTCATCATGTCGACTGAATAGTTTGCGAGTACGCTGCTTATAACTCTGGTACTTACCATGCACAAACTCCTCTGAAGGGGAGAGAGGATGCGGCTAACAATGTACAGAATATGTAAGGACAGAGTATTTTTCTTATATTTAAGGAAGTTTAAGAATAAACCACTTTTAGAATTGTCAAGATATTGTATTAAAAAACTGACCCTGGCTCACAATGCACGTCTTGGATTAAAATCCTGATCAAAATATGTTCCTAAATTATTATTCTGTTTAAAAGCATTTCCTATGAACGATCCCTGGTCCACATTCGTCGTACTCCTGCTTGCTGATCCACATGTTCTGAAAGGTGGAGAGAGAAGCCAAGATGGAGCCCCCGATCCACACGGAGTACTTTCTTTCAGGAGGAGCTATGATCTTGATCTTCATGGAGGGTGGAGTCAGGGCGGAGAGCTCCTTGTGCATCCTGTCAGCGACTCCTGGAAACATGGTGGAGCCACCAGACAACACCGTATTGGCGTAAAGGTCCTTGCGGATATCTATATCGCACTTCATGACACTGTTGTAGACTGTCTCGTGGATGCCAGTCATCTCGTGGCCGAGGAAAGACGGTTGGAAGAGGGCTTCGGGAGCACGGAATCTCTCGTTGCCTATAGTGATGACCTGACCGTCGGGGAGCTCGTAGCTCTTCTCGAGTGACGATGACGACGCAGCGGTTTGCATCTCCTGGTCGAAGTCGAGGGCGACGTAGCACAGCTTCTCTTTGATGTCGCGGACTATTTCTCGTTCGGCTGTTAATGAGAGATGAAAAAACGATCACGTTTAGAACCGAGGCAAAATTATCATTATGTGGTTTTTATGGTCATCCTCATTCTCAAATAGATTGTGAATGATTTCCAAGTGACTTTACAAAATGTCACACGATCCGACTTTACTAAAAGGACAACAGTACTCGTACATGATACTAAGCTCATCAAGAACGAATTATCATACTGAATTTCATAGGCAAATTTTTTTTCTTAGGAGGGGCACATTCCGAGAAATTAGTAAATTGTTTTTTAAGGATAGCGGCCAGTTGAAGCCGCTAATCACCTAATCGAATTTTCTCAAATTTACAGTTCATCAAATCATGTAATTGCCGTTTCAATGTGTTCCCAATACGAAATTTGGGGTGTTTATTTCTCGCCTTTCCTTCACACTTTGCAATTGCTAAAACCACTTACAAATAACTAATAAAAGACATTTTGTATAACTTACCGGAACTGACAAATGAATATCCTCGTTCAGCGAGAATCCTCATTAAATAATGCGTAAGATCACGTCCGGCAAGATCAAGACGAAGAATGGCATGAGGGAGGGCGTACCCTTCATAGATCGGCACTACGTGGGAGACGCCATCACCAGCATCGAAGACGGTACCGGTTGTCCGCCCTGAGGCGTAGAGGGACATGACAGCTTGGATAGCCACGTAGAAAGCTGGAGTGTTGAAGGTCTCAAACATTATCTGTAGGTGGAAAAAAAATGATATTTAATATAAATTAAAGCTTTTAATTCATGATGAAAACATTTTTAAAATGGAGAATAATCGGGGAATAATTACAACATTGAAGAAAAAAACTTGATTGCCCATTATAAACAAAGCGTTATCATTTCATGCTCATTTTTATCGGAAATTTTTCCTGAAGATAACGAGACGCCTGTTATAATTAACAAATAAATAAGCTTCAATATGTGACCGAGAAACGCAAGACCGAACGGGAGAGAAAGAGAGGCGGAGGTGGAAATTGTGTGTGGTCAAGAAAAATAGTAAGAGAGAGAGAGGAAATGGCTTATTACCTGTGTCATTTTTTCTCTGTTTGCTTTGGGATTCATCGGAGCCTCAGTGCAGAGTATCGGGTGTTCTTCGGGGGCGACACGGAGCTCGTTGTAGAAGGTATGATGCCAGATCTTCTCCATATCGTCCCAGTTGGTGACAATACCGTGTTCGATTGGGTATTTTAGGGCTAGAATTCCTCTCTTGCTCTGGGCCTCGTCACCGATGTAGCTGTCTTTTGGACCCATGCCAGCCATGATTATCTGGTGAAAATATAAGGAAAAAAAAGAATTTCATATACAATTTACTTTTTAATTTGAATGTTTTATTTAGTATGATTACAAAATAGAGGATATAAGTATATAAGGAAATACAAAGCATAGGCCTATGCGTTCAAAACCAAGACATGGGGCTAAGGCTTTTAAAGGCCCACTGCACATGTAGCTACTTGCACCCTCTATATAACAAACAGTGACTAATCGGTGACCATTGGTCCCCCATGATCCTCTTTTTCTTATGTTAACTGAGAGCTGAGTTGATGAGATAACCACCTGTCCAGTGACCTTGCAGGGCAGTCTAATCCCTCCTGTAAACTAGTACTGATAAGCTTTAATAGCTACCCGCTCCCTGAAAATTTTGAAAATATCAATATTCGGGAAATCGTTATCTTATATTCGGGCACCAATCTGCTACAATTTGTAATAAAGTTAACATCGAGAAATGTATATTCTTTCTAGTTTAAGGATTAAAACACAATTCGTTTACAGGATTTTTTTCTGCTTGGCTCCGCTCTCGTGCAAAAAGTCGAAACTAAACTATTTGGGCAAGAGTTGTCAGCCCCCTGGCGAAAAGTGCAGTTCTTCTTGAAATGTATTGAAATGGTTAGAAAAAAACTGCCTTCATCCTTTTCTTTTTCTTCTTCTTCTTCTTCTTCACTTTATTGGAAAGGCAAATATTTCACCCTTCAAACAAAGCGATTCAATGAAGTAAAACATTCAACCTTTTTCATCATTCGTAATATTCTTACCTGATGCTTTGGTCTACCGACAACAGATGGGAAGACAGCTCGTGGTGCATCGTCGCCTGCGAAGCCAGCCTTACACATACCCGATCCGTTATCAACGACCAGGGCAGCAACGTCATCATCGTAGGTGGCCATCTTGGTTGTTGGGGTTGTCGTTGAGTTCAACTTTGAAAGTCGTACAGCAAATCTGCGTTTGGAACAGATAATGTTTTTTTGAGTATATGTTTATTGCAAAATAGTGTTTCTTGTTCGATTCGATTTAAAGTCAATTTTCAATTTGATCGGTTTATGTTTTGATTCCCCCCCCCCACCCCCTAGTGTCATATCAATATATACCGTGTATATGTAAAAACATCAAAACGTGTTTAAATAGGATTACAAAATATGAAGTGATTCCGACTAATGCAAGTAATTGTGAATAATTGATAACTCAAACTTGCTTATTTCAGAAACACAAAGAACGAAATCAAATAACAAACAATTAAGGGGAATGGTAATTGGGATTAAACAAAATTAATGGTCTTACCTGCTAGTAGCTTGTAGTTTATCGAAATTTCAAGACGAATATTGATATAAGGAATATGATGCAGGTTTCTTGCAGACCGAAGTAGATTGCAATTTGCATCTGTTTTTAATTTGCTTCTCGGCTTGTCAAGATTGTTGAAAGAATGCAGATGCACCTGTTGATGTAAGTTTCTGTGAAGGGTTGAATCGTCGAGTTCTGATGAAAATGGGAGACTTGCTGAGCCCTTTTATACATTTAGGAACAATAATCAATTTCACTCTCCTCGAAGATATTAGCTAATTGTCCAAATAAGGGATGACCTATTACTCACTGGGCGGTCACTTTGTATTGTAAATAACAGCAGGGGTTGTTGAATAAACATGAGGCGATGCGCGCGCATACAGCTCGGACTGCTTACTAAGTTTGTATGACACATCGCGATTGCACAAAGTCCAAAGATAAAAGGGGTACAGACAATACTTGCATGAAGCTCGCCACTTATGTATATATGCAAATTTAAGAATATTTATTCTATATTTCTCAAGAATTATGGGTTTCATTTGTCAGCACACTCGTATACGTCTATATTCAAAATGCACATAATTTATTCGCACACGGCAAGTCGAACAGTTAGAAGCCATTTAAGGCAAAAATGGGCACTGACGATTAGACAAATTGTATTAGTCGGGTGGTTATCAGTTTACATAACGTATGCAAATTGTCGAAGAACGTGGCTTCTATATATGGGAATAATAAAGAGAGTATGGTTGTAGCGAATTGAAGTTAGAATCCCATGTTTGGGCCTCTACATTCATGAATCGTATATTTGTATATACTTATCATTCAACTTGACCACTTTCATATCTACTTTTTCCCTTCTATTCTCTCTCTCTCTCTCTCTCTCTTTAATTATTTCCTTCCCCCTTCCCAATACTGTCTAGATTATCTCTTTCTATCCCCTTCCATCTCTCTCTCTCTCTCTCTCTCTCTCTCCCTATCTCTCTCTCTCTCTCTCTCTCTCTCCCTCTCTCTCTCCCTCTCCCTCTCTCTCTCTCTCTCTCTCTCTCTCCGTATCTCTCTCTCTCTCCCCCTCTCTCTCTCCCTCTCTCTCTCTCTCTCTCCCTCTCTCTCTCTCTCTCTCTCCTTCCTCTCTTCTTCTCTCTCTTACCACTACACTCCTTCCCTCTCCTTGTTCTCCATTTCCCTATTGTTTGCACCTGTTTGCACTCTCCCAATTTCCCCTCTGCGTTCTTTCCTCTGACCCCGTATAGATCCTGAAGATGAAATCATGTCATAATGAAGAGGAGAAAGGGTGAAAACTATGATGACAATGAAACCAGAAGATTAAGATGAAAAATAGCATAAACACAGAAAAAAAAATGAAACAATAGAAAGAAAAGTCTTAAGAATTGGAAAATGTAGGGAAAAGAATAAGAGAAAATCATGGCTATGATGACTTTGACCAACTCCCGAGGATTAGAAAACTGTGAATATCGGGAGTCACAAAAGTAGGCCAAAGTTTAAATAGTTGAAGTATGAAAAAAGGCCGGAAGTTTTGTTCTTTACCCTTTCGATAAAACGAAAAACAATTCTAGTTGATATCCCTACCGTGCCCTAGAGGAAAACAAAGTTAGACCAAAGGTTTGTAAGATTTGCTTTAGATGAATCATGATGCGTAATTTTATTTCTATGTAAGCATTTTGTTTGATGAAAGATTTAAAGGGTAGTCACTCTCCATTTCGTAAGTTTAAACAAATCGCACAATACATAAAGTATTAATTTGGTTCAGTAGGTGCATACGATGTTGTCCAGTTTGACCTGGGCTATTGTTGAAATAAAAAAAGATAAAATGAGTCATGTCCACCCAAGTTAATTCCTCGGATCATTAGCATATGGGTATTCCCCTATTTGTTATATAATAGACCCATACTGTGCTCATGCGAGTGCTGTATTCACAATTAGTCATCTTTAGAATCGGGGGAATACCCTAAACCAGCAAATGCAGCGCATTACCCGTTGACGAATTTTAGTCTCAATTTACAGACCTGTTTACACTTATGAAGTTCCGACAGTAATGTTATCCATTAATATCATTATATACTGAGTTTATAAAATAACAGTGCAGATGTAAATTAAAAGATAGATTTATTGTCGGATATTTTATTTGGGACATCTTATCGTGACTGAATCAACTTGAATAAAATTGAAACACTTGCAATAGACTAGTAAACGTAAGCGAAATGGCATAGGGCTATAATCTTCTTCCATTCTGAAGGCAAAACAAGCAAGGACAGTACTAGCATGATAACACTTAGCATTTCTTTTGTTTATAATAATTGGCAACATCACCAACACTCTGTTTATTTCTCTCTCTCTCTCTCTCTCTCTCTCTCTCTCTCTCTCTCTCTCTCTCTCTCTCATACGACTCATATAGATGACATGTTTGAACCCAAAAAGTAAATTAATTTGCTATTCTAAGTCTGTTTCTAAGACTAGTCATTCTTGTTCGTTGCGGAGAGTATAACAGTAGCAGAGTTTAGTAGGACAATATATAATTGTTTGTTATGCAAATAGTTTCTGTTTATCGAATATTCCAGTCGGCCACCACTTAACAAAAACTATAAACGAACGCTAGAATAAGTTTCCAAAGGATTGTTAGTCTTAATTGGTAGATTATGTAAAATGGTAAACAATATTTCATTTTTTTATGTACAATTCAGTTTTATTTTGTTTTTTTAATGTGTTTTGTTTGTTTGTTTGTTTGTTTGTTTGGTGTTTTTGTTTGGTCGTGGCTTTTCGACCCCCCCCCCCCCCCCCCAACCACCCCCTCTCTCTCTCTCTCTCTCTCCCCTTCTGCCGTCGCCCTTGCCCTCTTTCTATGCCGATCTTTTTGTCTTTTTCTCCCTGTTTCATAACTTTCCTTCGTCCTTCTCTCTCTCTCTCTCTCTCTCTCTCTCTTTCTCTCTCTCTCTCTCTCTCTCTCTCTCTCTCTCTCTCTCTCTCTCTCTCTTTCTCCTTCCCGCTTCTTCACTCCACATCATGATTTCTTCTCCAATACGTCTTTTCTTGTGCCCCACATTAAATGTTAAATAACGTACGATAAGAACCCGAACAATATCCTACAAGAGAAGAGATATACAAAATAATAACTATTAATACAGAAGATCAAAATACGTTCGACATAAGTGAATTCGACAGGTGAAAATTAAGTGACAATAATTATGGGAAAAAAAATTAAGAATTGGAAAATATGAGAGAAAGGAATATAAAAACATCATATGAGTGATGAATTGGACCTACTGCATACGTGCCAGAGGAATTTAAAAACTGAGCCAAAGTTGAGTTGAAGTAAATAACAAGGCTGGAAATTCATTTCCGGCTGATATATCTATCCTTATATCCGAAATATAAATAAAATTAATAAATAAATATTTATAGTTAGGCCATAGTTTAAAAGTACTTTTTTTAGATGACAAGCGATGTGTCATTTCAATTCTATCTAATCATTTTGTTTGAAGACAGATTTATTTACATAATAGGGTTGTCATCCTGTTTTTTGTAAGTTAAGTTTAAAAAAAAATACAAATCGAGATAACGATAACTTGTTCAATAGCCGTACCATGCTCTCCGGTTTCACTATTGTTGAAAAACAAAGTTTAAAGTGACTCACTAAACGTTAATAAGAGAAGTCCACCAAAAGTAGACCCTCGAACCTCACTAACATATGAGCAACCCCCTTTTATGATGACTAACTGTCTTACATGCCCCTGTCATGCGCGTTGTGGGCAAAACAAGTGTTAGGTAAGATGCGTAATGAGTCATCATAAAAACGGGGAATACCCTTATACCAGTATGGAGCGCGTTATACGTAAAAATACGAAGTGTGAAGAGATAGTTCTAATTTACAGACCCCTTGTACTTACGAAGTAACTCTTTTCCTGCTAAAGATTTCGATAGAGATAATTCGGGACCGTTTTCCGGTAAACCTTGTACTCAACAGTAAAAATAGACATAACATTAAAATGAAAGATCTCTGAACATGAGGATCAATATTTTCATCAGTTTTCAAGATTTTATTTTAAATGATCATAAGCTTTATAACACATCCGATTTACTCGCCAAAATGAATGAACTTAAAAGATACTTCGATCAGTATTTCCATATATCATGTTTTACATTATAACTACATCAAATTAATTTTATATTAGAACAAGAAAATGTTTAATTTCAGGTCTTTTTGATGGGGAAAACTTATTTCGCCATTTGAGGTATATTTGTTGCAAATACCATTGATTTCTAAAGACTATTTAATATGTAACAATTTCAAGATAACTTTAGGAAAAAGAAATGAAGACTTTTAATGTTTTACCCCCGAGAGAGAATTGAATATAACAACAGCATCTGGCAATAACAATTAAAATGACATCAGTGAGCTTAACTATTTTTAGGGTATGATAAACGCAGACTTCAATAATAAATTTTGTACAGGCTTTGGTTAAGACTATTCACTGTTTTGTGTTTAAATTGGGGTTGTACATTGTCATCATTGTGTACATTGTTCGCTGGGCAGTGGGGAGATTAACATGTTCGTTTTGTTTAGTTTGCCAGTCGCTCTACATGTAGGGCTACTTATCTACTATCTATATCTGATTCAGCATTTGTCAACTTTTTTGTAGTCTCGGCGCCCCTTTAAGAAATAAAAAGTTACACCTCACCCAATCCTAAATTCATGGCAGAATATTAATTTCGCATCACACTGGCACTCGACGTGGTGGACGACTGGAACAGTCGATAAACACAAAACGATTTGCATAATAAACAATGTATATTGCCCTACTACCCTCCGCTACTGTAATCCCCCGCAAGAACAAAAATAAGTAGTCTTAGAAACAGACTTCAAATAGTTACTGAGTTTAGGCCTACCTTATGAGCTCAACCTTTTCATCTCTGAGTCGCATTTGTTTCATACAGGGAGACAGGAGAGGGAGAGAGAGGGGGAGGAAGGGAGAGGGAGAGAGAGAGAGAGAGAGTGTGTGTGTTTGCGATGTTGTCAATTATAATCAACAACAAAAATGATACGTGTCATCATGCTACTGTTCTTGCTTGTTTTGCCTTCAGAAAGGAAGGAGGTTATAGCCATATGATATTTCGCTAACTAATACTATTGTTTCAATCTTATTCAAGTTGATTCAGTCACGATAAGTTGTCTCCAATAATATGTACGAAAATAAATCTACCTTTTAATTAACATTTGCACTGTTAATGTCATTAGCTAGTATGTACAAAACAATGTGGAGATATTGATGGATAACTGTGTGAACTTCCTGAGTGTAAATGGGTCTCTAAATTGAGACTAAAGTTCTTCAACGTGTAATGCGCAGCATTCGCTGGGTTAGGGTATTCCCCCGATTTTAAAGGTATTACAAAGTTTTGGTATGGGGTCATGAATTCGGTTCAAATAAAAATATTGGAAGCATATGCGTTCCTACAATATTCATTGATCGTTGTCGCGGTTGAAATCGAGTCTGAAGTTATGAAATTATAAATAATAAACTCTTTATGTTGTATAGCTCCCTCTCAAGGTCAAGATATTAATTAAGCTATGAAACAATGTTTCTTGACTAAAATCGACCGATTAGCTATTCCCGTTTGGAAATTATATATCACAACTACATAATCTGAGATTGTCATAGTCGCAGCTATCATTGTACGGCCATAGGCGCTATTTGAAATTTATCAAAATTTACCGGGAGCACCGGTAAATTTTTATATTCAATTTTTTCTCGAAAACAGAAGTGTTTTAGGGGCTACTTTTTTTAGTGCTTACAATACATCCACAGTGGCATCCAAATATATCAAAATTGTAAAGATTCACTATCTACCCAATTTTCAAAATTTCCCAAAACTTTGTATTACCTTTAAGATGACTAATCACGCATACAGCACTCGCCTGATCATAGTACGGGTCTATTATAACAAATAGGGGAATACCCAAATGCTAAAAAGGTTCGAGGGTTTAACTTTGGTGACTCAACTTTTTATTTCAACAATAGCCCAGGTCAAACTGGACAACATCGTATGCGCCTACTGAACCAAACTAATACTTAATGTATTGTGCGATTTGTTTAAACTTACGAAATGGAGAATGACTAACCTTTCAATCTGTTATCAGAATCTTTCATCAAACAAAATGCTAAAATAGAAGAAAAATGGAATGACGCATCATGTTTCATCTAAAACGAATCTTACAAAACTATGGCCTAACTTTGTTTTCCTCTAGGGCACAGTAGAGATATCAACTAGAATTGTTTTGTTTTTATCGAAAGGGTAAAGAACAAAACTTCAGGCATTATCCTTATTTCAACTTTTTGAACTTTGGCCTACTTTTGTGACTCCCGATATTCTAATCCTCTGGAGTAGGTCAAAGTCATCATAGCCATGTTTTTTTTTTTTATATAAATTCTTTTCCCCCACATTTTTCCAATTCTTAAGACTTTTCTTTCTATTCTTCCATTATCACATCTCTGTGTTTATGCTTTTTTCCATCTTTATCTTCTGCTTTCATTTTCATTATAGCTTTCACCCTTTCACCTCTTCTTTCATATACGACATGCTTTCATCTTTATGATCTATACGGGGTCAGAGGAAAGAACGCAGAGAGGAAAATGGGGAGAGTGCAAACAGGAAATGGGGAAAGGGAGAACAAGGAGAGAGGGAAGGGGTGTAATGATAGGAGAGACAAGGAGTGAGGGAGAGAGAGAGAGAGAGAGAGAGAGGGGGAATAGAGAGTGGATAGAGAGAGAGAGGGAGAGAGAGAGAGCGAGAGAGAACGAAGGGGCGCCTGAGGAGAGAGAGAGAAAGAGGGGGGAATAGAGAGTGGATAGAGAGAGAGAGAGAGAGAGAGAACGAAGGGGAGCCTGAGGAGAGAGAGAGAGAGAGAGAGAGAGAGGGAAAGAGACATAAATAGAGAGAGAGAGAGAGCGAATAGGGATGGGAAGGGATTAAAAGAGATAATCTAGACAGCATCAGGATGGGGGAAGGACATACTGGAAGAAAAAGAGAAGAGAAGGGAAAAATAGCTTTAAAAATGATTAAGTAAAATGATAAGTATAATTATACAAATGTACGATTAATTAATGTGGAGGCCCAAACATGGGATTTTAACTTCCATTCGCTACAGCAATACTCTCTTATATTCCCATATATGGAAGTCAATTTCTCTGCCAAGTAGCATAATATAATAAACTGATAACCATCCGACTAATACAGTTTGTCTAATCGTCATTGCCATGCAATCTTGCCTTAAATGGCTTCTAACGTTTAACTATTCGACTTGCTGTGTGCGAGTATATGCATTTTGAATATGGACGTATAAGAGTGTACTGAAAAATTAAACCCATAATTCATTAGATATATATAGAATAAATATTCTTAAATTTGCATACTTATTAAAATGACGAGCTTCATGCAAGTATTGTCTATACCCCTTTTATCTCTGGACTTTGCGCAATCGCGATGTGTCATACACATTTAGAGCTTTATGCGCGCGCATTGCCTAATGTTTATTCAACAACCCTTGCTTCTATTTACAATACAAATTGACCGCCCAGTGAGTAATAGATCATCCCTTATTTGAACAATTAGCTAATATCTCCGAGGAGAGTGAAATTGATTATTGTTCCTAAATGTATAAAAGGGCTCAGCAAGTCTCCCATTTTCATCAGAACTCGACGGTTCAAGCCTTCACAGAAACTTACTACATCAACAGGTGCATCTGCATTCTTTCAACAATCTTGACAAGCCGAGAAGGTTTATTACCAGCAAACACACAATATATGCAATCTACTTCGGTTTGCAAGAAACCTACATCATACTTCGCATATCAATATTCGCCTTGAAATTTCGATAAATCTAAAGGAATTTAATATACTACAAGCTATTAACAGGTAAGATTATTAATTTTCTTTAATCCCATTTAACATTCCCCTTAATCAAATGTTTCAAATTGGATTTAGTTCATTGTGATTTTAAAAGTTTGAGTTGTCCGTTATTCACATTTATTTCTATGACATCAGTCGTAAACTATGAATTACTTCGTTTTTGTATAATCCTATTTTGAACACGCTTCGATGTTTCTACATGATATATATATATATATATATATATATAATAATAATAATAATAATATCGAATATTTAGGAGCGCTAAAAACAATAAGTACCATAGCGCTTACAAATACAAATATATGTAAAGAGGACAAGAAAGTACAGTACAGGAAGTATATCACATAGATCATTGGGGGAAAAGGTGAGTTTTATATATATATATATATATATATATATATATACATGGTATATATATATATATATATATATATATGACACTAGGGGCAAAAATATAAACATAAAACGATTAAACCGTAAATAGACTTAATCGAATTGAACGAGAAAAACTATTTTGCAATAAACATACTCAAAACACATAATCTGTTCCATACGAAGATTTTGCTGTGCGACTCTCAAAGTCGAACTCAACAACAACACCAACATCCAAGATGGCCACCTACGAAGATGACGTTGCAGCCCTGGTCGTTGACAACGGATCGGGTATGTGTAAGGCCGGCTTCGCAGGCGACGATGCACCCCGGGCTGTCTTCCCATCTGTTGTCGGTAGACCAAAGCATCAGGTAATATTAAGAATGATAAAACAAAGATTGAATGCTTTGCTTCATTGAATCGCTTTGTTTGAATGGAGAAATATTGCCTTTCCAATGAAGTGATTAGAAGAAGTTTTTTTTTCTCCAACCTTTTCAAAAAAATTCATGAAGAAATGTACTTTTCGCCAGGGCGCTGATAACTCTTGCCCAAATAGTCTAGTTTCGACTTTTTGCACACGAGCGAAGAGAGTAAGACAAACAGAAACAATTCCCGTACAAAATAATGTTTTAATCCTTACAATACACTAGAAATGGTATGTATTTGTTAATATTTACTACAACTTGTAGCACATTGGTGCCCGAATAATTATAAGATACCGATTTCCCGAAAATGTATATTTTCAACATTTTCATGGGGAGGGGTGGCTGAAGCCTTGAGCCCCATATCCTGGTTATGAACGCATGTGCTTGGTATATTCTTACAAATTTGTACCCTCTATTTAGTAATCATAAATTTCATAATAAATAACTTACAACAGAGATTAAAAAGTAACTGAATAACGTTCAAATGAACTTTTCTTTCTTATATTGTTACCAGATAATCATGGCTGGCATGGGTTCGAAGGACAGCTACATCGGTGACGAGGCCCAGAGCAAGAGAGGAATTCTAGCCCTCAAATACCCGATCGAGCACGGTATCGTCACAAACTGGGACGATATGGAGAAGATCTGGCATCATACCTTCTACAACGAGCTCCGTGTCGCCCCCGAAGAACACCCGATACTCTGCACTGAGGCTCCGATGAATCCCAAAGCAAACAGAGAAAAGATGACACAGGTAATAATCCATTTCCTCTCTCTCTCTCTCTCTTTCTCTCTCTTACTATTTGTCTTGCTCACACACAATTTCCACCTACCCCTCTCTTTCTCTCCCGTTCTCTGAAAATGTCTTGCGTTATTTGGTCACATGCTGAAGCTGATTAATGTGTTAATTAAAACAGGCGCCTCGTTATATTCAGGAAATGATTGTTTTCTTTGTTGATAATTGTTGATAATACGTGATCAAGTTTTTTTTCTTCAATATTGTTATTATACCCTGATTATTCTTGATTTTAATTTTTTTTTCATCATTACTTAAAAGCTTTAATTTATATTAAATATATATTCATTTCTTTCCACCTACAGATAATGTTTGAGACCTTCAACACTCCAGCTTTCTACGTAGCTATTCAAGCTGTCATGTCCCTCTACGCCTCAGGGCGAACAACCGGTACCGTCTTTGATGCTGGTGATGGCGTCTCCCATGTAGTGCCGATCTATGAAGGGTACGCCCTCCCTCATGCCATTCTTCGTCTTGATCTTGCTGGACGTGATCTTACGCATTATCTGATGGGGATTCTCGGTGAACGAGGATATTCATTTTCCACTTCCGGTAAGTTATACAAATATGTCTTCTATTAGTTTTAGCAACTGCAAAGTGTAGAGGAAAGACGGGAAAATGAACACCCCAAAATTCTTACTGGGAACACATTGATACAGTAATTACATTATTTAAGCTAATTCGGTGAACTAATAGGTGGCTATAACTGGCCCCACCCTTAAAAAACAATCGACTAATTTTCTCGGGATGTGACCCTTTAAGCAAACAAAATTGCACACGATATTCAGTATGATAATTCGTTCTTGATTAGCTTAGCATCATTTACGAACACTGTTGTCCTTTTAGTAAAGTCGTATTGTGTGACATTTTGTATAGTCACTTGGAAATCATTCACGAGCTATTTCGAGAATGAGGATGACCATGATAACCTCATAATAATAATTTTTCGGTTCTGAACGTGTTCGTCTTTTTCATCTCTCACCAACAGCCGAACGAGAAATAGTCCGCGACATCAAAGAGAAACTGTGCTACGTCGCCCTCGACTTCGATCAGGAAATGCAAACCGCTGCGTCGTCATCGTCACTCGAGAAGAGCTACGAGCTCCCCGACGGCCAGGTCATCACCATCGGCAACGAGCGATTCCGTGCTCCCGAAGCCCTCTTCCAACCGTCTTTCCTCGGCCACGAGATGGCCGGAATCCACGAGACAGTCTACAACAGTGTCATGAAGTGCGATATCGATATCCGCAAGGACCTTTACGCCAATACGGTGTTGTCTGGTGGCTCCACCATGTTCCCAGGAGTCGCTGACAGGATGCACAAGGAGCTCTCCGCCCTGACTCCACCCTCCATGAAGATCAAGATCATAGCTCCTCCTGAAAGGAAGTACTCCGTGTGGATCGGGGGCTCCATCTTGGCTTCTCTCTCCACCTTTCAGAACATGTGGATCAGCAAGCAGGAGTACGATGAATGTGGACCAGGAATCGTTCATAGAAAATGCTTCTAAACAGAATGATTAGGAAAATATTTTGAACAGGATTTCACTCCAAGATGACCAATGTGAGGCAGGTCGGTCACTGACAAATGATTTTCCAAACTTTGCCAAACAATGCGATGTTTTTGGAGTTTTTTAATACATATCCTGAAAATTCTAAAAGTGGTTTATTCCGAAGCAAAATACTCTGTCCTTACATAGTCTGTACATATAACATTGGTTCTTAACGTTGTTAGCCGCATACCCTCTCCCCTTCAGAGGGGACTTTACTCTCTCGCAAACATAGCGAAGTACCAGAGTTACAAGCAGCGAACTTGCATAATATTCAGTCGATATGATGGCTGAATTTGCTTCCCTTTGTATGTGAATGCAACTTGAAACATGTAATCATATCTTACATATCCTATCGACTATAGAATGAATTGAACAATCTTTTCTCCCACCAAGGCCCCCTAAACGAGTCGTAGTGAATCTTAGGCCAAGAACCACAGGGTCCTGTTTCATAAAATTTGTTATCAATAACAACTTACAATTATTGTTCATAAGCTACACTGTTAAAAATTTCACTGTAGAAATTACAGTAAATTACTGGCAACTTTGTTGCACAGTAAATTACTGTAACTTTGACATTACAGTAACTTCCTGTAAGTTTTTCAACAGTAACTTGCTGTAAGACATTAAAATACTGTAAGCTTACTGTAAAGAAATTTTCATGTATAAGGTTACAGTATTTATTGTAAGTTCTTCTTACAGTTAATTAATGTAATTTTATTCACAGTAATTTAAATGTATTTACAGTTATGTACTGTAAGTTTTTCTCTACAGTAAATTAATGTTATTTCTCTCATTTACATTAAGTTAATGTAATAAGTACAGCTTTTCTACTGTGACTTTAGCAGTATCATCCTGTTAATTTTGTATCTATTTCTCTCATTTACATTAAGTTAATGTTATAAGTACAGCTTTTCTACTGTGACTTTAGCAGTATCATCCTGTTAATGTTGTATCTATTTCTCTCATTTACATTAAGTTAATGTAATAAGTACAGTATTCTACTGTGACATTAGCAGTATCATCCTGTTATTTTGTTATCTATTTCTCTCATTTACATTAAGTTAATGTAATAAGTACAGTATTCTAACTTGACATTAGCAGCATCATCCTGTTAATTTGAGGAAAAAACAAGCTTTCTGAACACAAAAATCATTATTAAAGTCTTTATTGGGTAATCAACGCTCCATAAAACAAGTTTCTCAAATAGTGTAACATTATGAAAATGCTTGCAAAGAAACTATCAAGTAAAACATTAAAACAAGTAAAACCACTAAAAACTGCAAAAGTTCAAGTACTCAAGAATCTACAGACCCATAGTCATCCTTCCAGTATCTCAAAAATTCTTGAAAAAATTGTTTAGATTATACCAATTCTGAAATACACATAACTTGCTTAATCCCAACCAATATGGCTTTAAAAAAAATCATTCACCCGACCTAGCATTAATTTAATTATACGACAGAATAACACATGCAATTGTGCAGACATAGCGGCTTTAAGGCATTGATATGCTAAATCACAACGTATGGCTTAGGGGCACTGCACTTTCTTGGGTCAAAAATTATTTGTCGAACAGACAACAATATGTTCACTTTAAAATTCTGAATTGTAAAAAACTATTGTAAAGAATTATCTTCAATTGTAAACAAGACATATTTTATACACTTTTATCTTCCTTTAAAGCCACTATTAAACGACAACTACTATCAGAATACAATCAATGAAAAGTCTCCATATACCTGGCAGAATCAAGGAAAACTCTCTATACCTGGTAGAATCTCTCCAAAAGACATTACTCACTTTATCTTTGTTTAATTTATCTTTTGAACTAATACCCCATTTAATTTGAGTTGCTCTGTTATATTAAACTTGTAATCTTTAATACGTGTTTCATATTCTTCTGTATTTTTGTCTCATTTACATGCCAATTCTGCACAGAAACTTGTTTCAACTTCATGAGCTGTCATTCAATTGATTGATTGATTGATTTATTGACGGTAAAAGCCCTATTCAGCTACTCGGCTGGTTTACAAAGGGGCTGTGCAAAATAACAAAAACCGTAAAACATACTTGACAATAAGAAAATATACATGATATACAGAAATTAATGAAATAGAATTACCAATGTGCACAATGAACAAAGAAAATAGAAAATATGATCAATTTGTGTACATGTAAAATGAAAACATAAAATTATGAAATTCGTTTAGCTACAATATTGCTACGTATTAAATATGATAAAAAAACATATTACCATATGACGTAACATATATCGTAATAAAATATAAGTTACTTAAAAAAAATATATTATTATATAACTTGAAATATGTCGAAATAAAATATAGGTTACTTAAATATAGGCCTAATATTTGGCAAATTCATTTATTTCATGACTTATTAAATTTATTAAAATAAAGGTGTATTGCATGTACAGACTAAAATATATGAAAATTCACTAAGGTAAAATAATGCTAAATTGCAAGTAATGTAAAACATATTTTGGAAAACAGTAAGTAAACAATCAAGCAATGCTTATGATGACAAGGCTGCACACATGCCAGGCTCACAGAATACATGTGCTAATGCTTTGTCTAGGAAGTTCAATGACCGCTAGACACAATTTATTAAAAAAGTTTGGGCTCCCTGTAGTTGGTCTCTTTGCATCAAGGCTAAACACACGGCTTCCTTAATACCACGAAGTTACGTGACTTTTTTAACCTCCCTCACTAACAAAATATTTGATTTCAAATTTCAATTTTCACTTGTGATGTTTCATATTAAGTTCAATTGAAATGCATATTAAAGGTACATGATCCCTTTTGCAAGCATAACATTTGCAAATGTCTAAAAAGGGCAAAAAGACACAAATAAAATTTTAAGAAAGTGTGTGAAAGTAAAGGGTTCAGATACTCAATGTAAGTGGGATTTTTTTTTATTGATAATTTTGAAATTGATGTAGTATGTAGGCGCCCCTGTAATTTGTTCTGAATGTTAGTCTGTACTAAGATACACTTCTTATAATTATACAGAACATGTTATAAATTTTGCAAGAAATGACATTTCCAGTATATATATCTTAAGGCGTATTCAGACTGACTGGAAGTTCGAGAATACCAGGTATTCTGTGATCGGGAAATTTACCCTGATCTATCCCCATCAGTAAAGTACCTAGAGGGGAAACCCCCTTTTTTTCCAGAACAACAGACATGTTGCGATATAAAAAGTACCCCTATATGAGTGGATTCCATGGCCCATGACAAATCTCACTAGGATGGACTACTTTTCCGAACGACTGCACGAGGGTCATCCACGGATGGCATAAAGTTGCCCCCTTACATAGCTTACAAACGTACATGGGTATATGATGTCCATGTAGAGCATCCGTCTGATTAGTGTTTCAGCATGCACACTGTGTGACTTCAGCAGTAATCCATGGCATACTGCAAGAAAGAAGAGCGGAAAACAATACCTTTAATATGCATACGTACACATAACTTTTTATGTACAGCATTGACAGATTAAAAGTTATTTAAATGATAAATGAATAATAAAAAAAAAGATAAAGGACAAAAAATACAAAAGAAAATCGAAAGAAAAACATAAATTCATCAAATATAACCAGTTGTCACGAGCCTCCTGATGATGACTGTATGCGAAACCTTCAGCAAAAAAACATTTGATTTCACGGCTATGAATGTTACTATAAGTGAAATTAACATTCATTTGCGGTAAATGAAACTACAATAGATTTCTGTAAAACAAATTTACAATCCTTAAAGACAAAAATTACTGTAATTTACTGTTAGTATTTGAAGAACCTACGGTAACAGCAATTTACTCTAAGAAATGCAGTGATTTACTGTAGGAAAGTTTACAGGCAGATACTTTGAGTAAAAATTGATGGTAACTTACTGTAGATATAACCTACAGTTACTGTAAATTAAAATTACAGTGAATTACAGTAGACAAGTACTCAAAATTAATATGAAATAAAATTACTGTAATTTACTGTAAACTAGCAGTAAGTTACTGTAAATTACAGTAATTTTACAGTAATTACTCAGTAATTTTACAGTAACTTACTGCCAGTTACGGAATGGCCTATTTGGTTGCTATGACAACGCTGCGACCTTCAAAAAAGTAAATTACAGTAATTTTACAGTAAATTACAGTAATTTTAAAGTAACTTACTGTAAATTACTAAGTAACAGTAAAATACTAAGTAATTTTACAGTAACTTACTGTAATTTTATTTCATATTTTAACTTTTAAGTAAAATTACACTATGCAGCAGGATTGCCAGTACTTTGCTGTAATTTCTTCAGTAACGTGCTGTAGACTACACTACATGAGCTTAGACTTGTGCGTATTCAACTGATCACGCAGTGTGCTCATGATGGACTGATGCTGTAGTCGATCGTAGTGTGTGCGGTGTCCTATAAGTTATAAGTCTTGATGGTCTTGACGTTAGACATTTCCAATTTAACGTGAGCATGCATATCCATGTGCAATGGCATCGCATTGACAGTGACACTGTACGCTGGTACTGCAGTACAGTGTCATGTGCTGCACTAACACTACCGACTCTGTCCCACACACCACAGCACAGCACGTACAGTACACATATACCGTAGACGGAACAATTACAAACACAATCCCTATACTTTCCACAGTCTGACAATTCTTCACTTCAGCGGGATACAAATCAAATCATGACTCTGATAATTGGCAATCTGTAACTTACCTCGGATCCCCTTGGAATTGACTTATTGGTCATCAATATCCCAGCTCGAGGATCAGGACCAGGAACAGAACAGATTCAGATTCGTTGCTCAGGATCAGGCCGGCCAGCTCAGCTATATATCTCAGCTCAAATCTTTGCAGAAAATTAAAAATGGCGGCGCGGCGTGGCGGGCTAGCGCGGGAGCCAATCACGTGCAACGCATACGCGCATATGCAGCCGATCCGCCTAATGCGCATGTGCGCTGTATCCCACAATGCTTTTTGCACGCTCCTTTACACTAGCTTACTGTAGATATTTGTTCCCATGCTCTACGACACTGATGTTTACAGCAATATACTGTACAGCAACGTACTTATACAGTTAATTATCGTAAAATCGTTATTACAACATATTACTGTTGTAAATCACAGTATTTTACTGCATGAGTTACAGCAAATTTTTACAGTGTACTGAAAACGTGGCATTTGATTGGCTGAGAGCGAATTTGACATAAACTTAGCATTTGTTATTGATAACATCTTTTATGAAACAGGGTCCAGATCTAGGACATTACTGTGATAATTGTTTATTCATCATACCCCGATGACTTGTTAATGTACAAATTAAATAGATGTGCATTAAAGTGTAAATAACGTGTATAGTATTATTTTCATTTATTTTATTCTACAATTAGTTAAATAATTTTGGTTGAAATATGTTGTAGTACCAGCAGACAATATTATAAAATGTTTTGAACATTTCATATATATTTCACTTATTTATATTTGATAATCGTATTGGATTCGTCTGTTCATTTGATTAATTATATCGAAAAGATTTTAGGAATATTTCCTAATATGCAATACATGCAACGGCTATATATACCACCAACGTCATGAACGCGCTTGTTTGTCGATATACATATACTGTAAATGCTTTTGTTTTTAAAATATTGCTTGCATATACGTTGAATTTAGGCCTAAACAAAAAAGATGTTGTATTGCCCTTTAGGTGCCAAAACATGGGTCGGTCGGTCGGAAATCTTATTTTGTTTTATTACTTTTTTTCTTTCTTTTTTTCTCCCTCATTGGGATGATATTCTTCAGTTTTAAATGCTTTAATATTTGTTTTTCTATACAAAAAAAAGTAAGAAAAAAAAAGGCTTTTTTAAAAAGCCGACCCTAGATATCAAGATTTCGGGGTCGATCGCAAAGGGCAATACAACATCTTTTTTGTTTGTCAGGCCTTATGTGAATTAAATTATATATTTTCATTTTGTTTACTATTGATTACCTCGAAAGCTAGAATATTGTATATATTATATTTATGAAATAAATATCTAATATGTTAATCCGAATTTTGCAAAGACTATATATTAATCAACTGCACACACAGAGAGGGGGGAGTTACAGAAAGAGAGAGATAAATAGAGAGAAAGAGAGAGAGAGAGAGAGAGAGAGAGAGAGAGGGGGGTAAATGAGAAAGAGAGAGAGAGAGAGAGAGAGAGAGAGAAGAAGAACGAAAAAACAAGTCTGTAAATCAATTTCTTTGAACTGCATTCTCACTATTACTGGATGAATTAACTTTTTTCAAGTACATTTTTAATTTGGTCGGTCGGTCGGAAATCTTTTTTTTTTAAATACTTTTTCTTTTCTTTCTCCCTTTTTGGGCTGATATTTCTCAGTTTTTAACGATTTTTCCTCGTACGGAACGCAGTCACTGCACAGTACCATACCAGCATGGTAAATGCATGTCCTGCGCAGATAACCTCTGCTAATTGTTGATCTGTTTCAAGTACAGTGTCATTTTAGTACACTTTAGACTCAAATATTCAAATACACTGGAAATCACAGTTTGGTTGTATACATTTTACACCGCTCACAACTCACTAGTGTGTAATAGATTTATACTGCTTTAAATGGAATTTCATCTTTACTGTAACATCAATATCATTATCTACTAATCTAGTGTTTGCACAAAGTAATATTTGCCAAGATAATTGAAGTTTTATGCCAGATATGTGCACGATAGTTATATTGTGATATTGTTTGTTTATTTTTGTTTATATGCAGTTCTTATACTTACTGAATTGTCTATGAAGATACAGTCTACAGAGCTTGAATAAAGACTAATATCTAAGCAAGCTAACAATGGAAGTTACAAACTGATTCAGCCGAGGTCGCAGGTTCTATTTTCGGTTCGGTTTATAGGTCGGTCCCCAGACGTAAATAATCATATCAGATTGAAACCGATTTAAATCGGTTTCCCGATTTTTTTTATTTTTTTTCCCGATTTTTTCCCGATTTTTTTTTCTTCCCGATTTAAAAAAAATAATTAAATCCTGATTTTACAGATTTCCCCGTTATTTTCTCTAATCTGCCCTATTTTGCCCTATTTTTTCCCCAATTTTCCCAAGGGGAAATGCTGTTAGGGGAAATGCTGTTAGATGCCACTTTCCCCCGCGAATCCTCTTCTCTTTTTTTTACTAAAGGGGGGCGTGGTTGAGGGGAAAACAAAAAACCTATTTTTTTTTTAGTGCTCACTATCACCCCTGATTGATACATGTCTGTAAAAACCCAATACACACACACACACTGAAACACAAGAGAACTTGTTATGACTGTCATCTTTGGTCGTTGTTTATGAATACTCAGCACTCAGGGAAGGCACATATGGAACAAGATTATTACATTTGCATACGTTTGTGACGATGCACATAATGTATAACTATTGTCTATAGACTACACCCCTTTTTAATATATTTGGACTTTGCGCAATTTGCGATGTGTCATCCATATAGCGTGCATCGCCACACGTTTATTCACTAGCTGCTGTTATTTACCATACAAAGTGTTCGCCCTAGTGAGTATTAAATACAGCGTGTTTCCACACAAAAAAAGTTACACGGTATTACCCGTGTAATACCGTGTAATACCGTGTAACTTACCTGTGGAAACACAAGCAACACGGTTTATTGGCGACCCGTGTCGACCGAGATACGGATTATCATAACCACCTCTGGGAGGTGGTTATTGCCGTGTCGATCCGTGTGAAATCGCTGTGGAAACACACAGATAGATTATCCTTTATTTGGACAATTTGCTAATGTCTCTGAGAGTAGTGTAACTGCTCAGTCTACAATTTGTGTTAGAACTCCACGGTTCAGCCCTTCAGAATAACTAATATGACATCAACAGTGCATCTGAATTCTTCCAGCATTCTTGGCAAGCAAACTATAATAGATGCAATCTACTTCGGGCACATTATCTGTTCCATACGCAGATTGGTTGTACAATATTGTCAAACTTGAAGCCAACAATTGCAACAAAACCAGCAACCGAGATGATAATTGAAAATAATGTTTCAGTCCTGGTCATCGACAACGGATCGGGTACGACTAGGGCTGGTTTCGCAGGCGACGATGCACCACAAGCTGTCTTTCCATCTCTTGTCGGTAGACCAAGGAATCAGGTTAGATTAGGAATAAGGATTTTTAGATCGAGTGGACGAGAACGGCGTGAACGTCCACTGATCATGCGTGTCCATGGCAAGCCGTTTTAACATTTATTTCTATTTCTTGATATCAAGAAATGATTTTCTGTTGTAAAGCAATGGTAATCCTTGATATCAAGACATGTTTTTCTGTTGTAAAGCAATGGAAATCCTTGATATCAATGAATGTTTTTCTGTTGTAAAGCAAAGGTAATCCTTGATATTAATGAATGATTTTCTGTTGGTAAGCAATGATAATTCTTGATATCAAGAAATTATTTTTTGTTGTAAAGCAATTGTAATTCTTGATATCAAAAATTGAATTCGCGATATCAAGAAATAGGAATAAATGTTAAAACGGCTTGCCATAGATACGCATGATCAGTTGGCGTTTACGTCGTTCTCGTCCACTCAATCTAAAAGTCCCTAATGATAAGTAAGATTGAATGTTTTACTCCTTGAATCGCTATGTTTGAAGGGTGAAATATTGCCTTTCCAATAAAGAGAAGAAGTAGAAGACGAAAACGTAGCAATATCAATAACTTTCAAGCGAGTAAACCAAACATAATATAATTATTACAATAATATCTTATTTAATTTTAATCTTTAAAATGCACTAGAAATGGTTTAAAATTGCCAATGTGAATTACTCATAGTAGCCTCTTGCGGCCCGAATATAAGAATTTAAGAATATAAGAATTTTGGAATATTTAAGAATATAAGAATTTTGGTATCCCGTGCGTTAAGCTATATCAGATTATAAAATGAACGTTTTCAATCAATTTTTGCACGGTTTCTTCATTTGAATAAGTGGTTATCATCTATTCTTGTTTTAATTTTTATTTAACAAAATATTTAAAAATTATTTTTAATTTGAACATTCCATTCACCTATTTCTTGTAAATGATCAGTCATTTCAGTATTCAAGTTTTATTTCTGCATTTTCCATAAACAATAACAAAAATAACAATGAATACATTTTAGCAATATAATGATAAGTAATACAAGTAGTAATTCACAAATAAATAAATATAAATAATCAATAGTACAATTAATCGTATTTGAAAAGAAAGAAAAGGGGAGAATGCAGAAGACCGATATCGTAAGCAGAGCTTGAAATGATACAAAAGGAGGAGAGGAGAAAGGAAGAAAGAGCGGGTGAAGAGAGTGCTGTGCAAAGTGAAGAGTGCACTGCGCGAGCTCCTCAATCTATCAAATAATTTCCTTTTTATATACAAATAAACAATGAATATTTATATTAAAACAAAGTACATGTAGTATATTATGACCAGAATCTAATTTTCATACCTTATCAATAAATATTCTTTCATCTTCACTTTAAAGGAAACAAGTGTTGTACATAATTTTAATGTTATAAGCAAGGAGTTCCACACATCGGGTCCATTGTGTCTTATTGATTTTTCATGGGGATACCAATTAATTTGTATTTACCTGTTGATAAGCTTGAGTATTTATCTATGTTGTTTTTGATGCTGTGATTTGTTTTATTCTGAGCAAACAGGGCCTCATGGAAGACCACCAAATTGGTGATATGTGCCACCCTGTATAAATATCAGAAATAAATAAATAAATAAATAAAACGATTTCCCGAATATTTATACATGTTGTAACTTTAAGGGGCGGGTGCCGGGTGATGTGTGTGTGTGCGTGTGTGTGTGTGTGTGTGTGTGTGTATTGTGTTTTTACAGACGTGTATCAATCATATTTGTCTGTGGACCGATCTTAAACGCCACCAACCCAAAGACGTGACTCAGTTTCGAACCTGCGTTCTAGTTTGTAACTTCCATTGTTAGCTGGATCTCGAACACATATGCCTGGTATCCTCTATTTTGTATACATATGAAATAACTTGCGAAACAATTGAATACAATTCAAATTGAAACGTATGTCGCAGGTGGCAGACATTTATTTTCCCATATTTTTTTCACTAACAAGGGCATGCCTGCCAATGGTTTGAAAGACAGCTACGTCGGCGACGAGGCCCAGAGCAAGAAAGAAATTCTAACCCTCAAATACCCGATCGAACACGGTGTCGTCACAAACTGGGACGGCATGGAGAAGATCTGGCATCATACCTTCTACAACGAGCTCCGTGTCGGCCCCGACGAACACCCGATACTCGTTTCTGAGGGTGCGATGAATCTCAAATCCAACAGAGAAAAGACGACACAGGTAAATTCTATTTTTAACCGAGCTCTTGCCCCTCTTTCCGATTGAAATTTTCTTTAAAAACAATAAAATCCTCAAATAAGCCATAAATGTTGATTCTCCATCCCATTTCATTTTTATTGGTTTGCTCCTTTTTCCGAGTTTCTTTAATTTCCGTCCCCGTCCCCCCATCACCTACAATGTAAGTGTTGTTCATTTGCTCTCTACCTCTCTTTCCACCCCTCCCCTCTCTCTCTCTCTCCCTCTCTCTCTCTTTCTCTCTCTATCTCTCTCTCTATATATCTTCCTATTTCCATCTCTCACACTCTCAATGTCTTTCGACTTTTTGCTCTTTGTCTAACGTCCATTCCTTCATATATTAACGATTCTATACTTTTTTATCATGAACATTAATGTCAAAGTGAAAAAGTATATGGTTATATTGGTTATTTATGTTTTGATATACTTCTCATTTTATGTTTATCCTCTTTAAAGGTACTATGTCCCATTTGCAGGAAAAACAAATGAAAAGGTTAAATTCCAACGGCATTTGAAAGATAGGGCCTAATACTAATTTAACTTCCCTCAAAACAAAATGGCTTGAAAATTTCTTTTTGGTACTAGCTAGGACACTGTTAACGTTTACATTTCACAGATAGGACATACGTGACATATTCATAAATCCTGCAAATCAAAAGTTCTGTAGAATTTGATGTTGGCTGCAAAAGGGGTACACTACCTTTAATAAATATGAATGTTGATATGTTAATTTCTTTTTCTCTGTTTTCACAGATAATGTTCGAGACATACAACACCCCAGCTTTCTACGTAGCACGCCAGGCTGTCTTGTCCCTCTACGCCTCAGGTCCGATAACTGGGATTGTCTTTGATATTGGTAGGGGCATGTCCCACGTAGTGCCGATCTATGAAGGCTTCGCCCTCCCTCGTGCCATTAGTCGCCTTCCTCTCGCTGGGGACGATCTTACACATTATCTGATAAAGATTCTCGCTGAACGAGGATATTCATTTGTCAGTTCCGGTAAGTTATACAAAAATATCTTATATTAGGCATTTGTATTAGTGGCTTTTACATTTGCAAAATGTAGAGGAAAGGCGGGAAAATACCCCCCCCCCCCCAACAAAAAAAAAGTCTCAATGGGAACACTTTGGTTCTGTAATTGCATTATCTGATGAACTGAACATTTGATAAGTTGATAAGTGGCGCCGAATCTCAGTGAGGGGCTACAACTGGCCGCCCTCTTCCTTAAAAACCGATCGGAATCGCCCCTTCATTCTCTCATTTTTTGAAAAGTGCCCTATTAAAAAGAGAACTACCTTTTTCATTCATGACGGTAATATGTATTTTATCAGCTTAGTTTAATTTAAGAATACTACTGTACTTATATGTATTAGCTTTTCATCATGCCTATAGTATTATTTGTATGCTTTGGCATCCCCCCTTTGAATAGTCACTTTACAATCATTCACGAGCTGTTCGAGAATAAGGATAATGATAAACACATGAGAATAATTTTGCCTCTTCTTTTCACCTATCACCAAACAGCTGAAATAGAAATAGTCCGCGACATCAAAGAGAAACTGTGCTACGTCGCCCTCGACTTTGATCAGGAGATGCAAACCGCTGCGTCGTCATCGTCACTCGAGAAGAGCTACGAGCTCCCCGACGGTCAGGTCATCACCATCGGCAACGAGCGATTTCGTGTTCCCGAAGTCCTCTTCCAACCGTCTATATTCGAGTTGCCCGGCATCCACGAGATGGTCTACCACAGTGTCAAGAAGTGCGATGTCGATATCCGCAAGGACCTTTACGCCAATACGGTGTTGACCGGTGGCTCCGCCATGTTTCCAGGAGTCGCTGACAGGATGCACAAGGAGCTCTCCGCCCTGGCTCCACCATCCACGATGATTAAAGTAATACCTGACAGTAAGTATTCTGCATGGATCGGTGGCTCCATCTTGGCTTCTCTCTCTACCTTTCAGAGCATGTGGATCAGCAAGCAGGAGTACGACGAATGGGGACCAACGATCGTTCATAAAAAATGTTTCCATTAAATTTTACGAACTTTGCCAAACAATTGTAAAAGTGCCGAGAACCTCAAGAATCGCAACGTTCTACGAGACAACATCCAAGGCATTACCAAGCCTGCAATCCATCGACTTGCTAGAAGGGGAGGTGTCAAGAGGATCTCTGGTTTTATCTACGAAGAGACCCGCGGTGTACCGAAGTCTGTAAAACAATGGTTTATTCTGCAAACTTCAGGGAAAAAATAAGCAATATACACCTGTACTTCTCTGCAATCGAAATGTCTGGTCATATAACATTGGTTCTTAACGTTGTTAGATGAGCACGCCTCGGGCAATAGCACGATTGTATCCTCCCCTTGAGCGTATAAGCAGTCATTATTACTATACCACCAACGTCATTTATAAACGCGCTGGTGTGTCGATAGATGTATATTATATCTGTATATAAAAGATTACAGGCGTTCAAGTTGAATTTATGTAAATCAATTATTTTCATACTTTCACTATTGATTACCTCGAATCCCTAGAATATTGTATTTATACATGTATATGAAATAAATATCTACAATTTCAATCGAAACTCTGCAAAGACTACAATAAGCTACTGCAAAGAGACAGACAGAGAGAGAGAGAGAGACATAGCGAGTAGGGAAAAAATGTCGAATGACGACTGGGAGAGTGAAGGAGTAAAAGAGTGGGACCGAAATAGATGAAGAGAAACGAAATTTATTGAATACAGGAAAAGAAACTGCGGGGGAAAATAGGCAGGAGAAAAAGGAACTAGACGAGAAAGAGATTCTCATCTCGCTATAAATCCCGTTCACAAAGTTCAAAATTCTAAATCACATAAAATGAATGGAAAGGAACAGTCTATTTTTTTATCTCACTACACACTGCGACTTACTATTTTTCATGATTATATTCAGACCATCGCCAACAATAAATTTTAAAAGAACATAGATAATTTAAATCTAGGCAATACTTAATAGTCTCACGTAAAACCAGAATTTTTCTAGACAGTGGTTTGACTTTGGAAATCGTATTCTCATCTTCATGTAGGTCAATGGCTCTTGAAATGAACAAAATATTTTATTAGTACAGTTCAATGTCGAAGAAGAAAAAGCGATGTAAACTACTCGAGCACAAAAAGTAGTAAATTAAGCTGACACCATATTTGGACATCAGTGTGAAACGCTCCTTGCCCGCCCGGTATTAGAATATTCAAATGCGCCCGCCATTGATAACCATAAAAGGCGATTGCTAGACATGCCAATAGTAATACCAACATGGATTGCTTGCTCGTCGGAGAACTTTGGACATGTGACGACTCTTTCAATTTGTCTTTAGTGATTAATCAATTAATTCATTGATATATTTGCTTATTTGTTTGTTTGTTTATTCATTTTTTATTTATTTACTTATTTGGTAATGTTATTATAATTATTATCGTTACTATTAGTATTACCACTATTATGATTATCATAGTAGGCCTACACATGTAGTAGAAGTAGTAGTAGTAGTAGTAGTAGTAGTAGTAGTAGTAGTGGTGGTAGTAGTTGTAGTAGTAGAAGTAGTAGTAGAAGTAGTAGTAGTAGTAGTAGTAGTAGTAGTTGTAGTATTTTTATTTATTTGTATTGAAATATATTTATTCAGGATAACAAGAATACATTGTAGATACAAATCTGTTTTACATCATGGTCCTGAACAGGATAAAAATGTAGAACACGGAAATATAAATAATGAGTATCACCAAAGCTCAAAAGCAAAGGTAAGAACAGTATAAAACTAATATATAAGAATAATATGCATTAAAAGTAGTAAAAAGCACAAAACAAAAAAACAAAAACGACAATGTAATAATTGAAATTAACAGCGGAAAAAACATCAAATCACTTTAATAAAAGGCATTCAAATATCACCAACAAAATTAGAAGTGGAGAAAGAGATAAGGAAACTGGTAAAAAGTAAAGGAGGAAAGATGAAAAGAAAGAAAGAGGGGAGAGGGAAATGGAGAGAGAGAGAGAGAGAGAGAAATGGAGAGAAATAAGCCATTTCAAGAGCAGTAAGTGAATCGGCATTTTATCACACAGGTTTAAAAAAATTGTCCTTGTACATACGTTTAAAAACATCAATGATTTAGCATTTAGCATTTTGAAAAAAGCAGTAGTAGAAGTAGTATTAGTAGAAATAGTAGTAGTAGTAGTAGTAGTAGTAGCAGCAGTACGGTAGTAGTAGTGGTAGAAGTAGTACATGTAGTAGTAGTAGTAGTAGTAGTAGTAGTAACTAGTAGTAGTAGTAGTAGTAGTAGTAGTAGTAGTAGTAGTAGAAACATGTAGTAGTGGTAGTAGTAACTACTACTAGTGGTAGTAGTAGTAGTAGTAACTAGTAGTAGTAGTAGTAGTAGTAGTAGTAGTAGTAGAAACATGTAGTAGTGGTAGTAGTAACTACTACTAGTGGTAGTAGTAGTAGTAGTAACTAGTAGTAGTAGTAGTAGTAGTAGTAGTAGAAACATGTAGTAGTGGTAGTAGTAACTACTACTAGTGGTAGTAGTAGTAGTAGTAGTAGTAGTAGTAACTAGTAGTAGTAGTAGTAATAGTAGTAACTAGTAGTAGTAGTAGTAGTAGTAGTAACTAGGAGTAGTAGTAGTAGTAGTAGTAGTAGTAGTAGTAGTAGTAGTAATAGTAGTAACTAGTAGTAGTAGTAGTAGTAGTAGTAGTAGTAGTAGTAGTAGTAGTAGTAGTAACTAGTAGTAGTAGTAGTAGTAGTAGTAGTAGTAATAGTAGTAGTAGTAGTAGTAGTAGTAACTAGTAGTAGTAGTAGTAGTACTAGTAATATGTAACATTACAAGCACATCCTTCAGACTAAATTAAAATACGAACAAAATCCATTGCTTAGTAGAAACGCATGAGCCCAGTGCAGAGGTCGTGTTTCGTTTGTCCATATTAGGTGACAGGCCGCCGTAGTAATAAGTAGATCCACGGGTTAATCAATAGTATTGATGATTTGCATAACAAACACATTCGCTCGACCGAGGTACATTGAACCACTGTGATAGTGTCCACGTTTGGAATGGGAGCACCTTTGCACACACAGGTAACAATGAATAGTCTTCCGCGTAGACCGTTTAAACATATCAGCGCAAAATGATTTAGAGAGAAGCAATAGAGACCGTTTACTACATGTATTAACATATTCAAATGTTATGCATACTTTTTAAACAAAGGCTGTACTTGACAACATGAAAGCTTGCCCGTAGCTTGACCGGCATAGCAACAAGTAATGTATGCAAATTGGATTCCAATTTAAAGTTCATTTATTAATAACATTAAATGTTAAAACCTCGTCACTATTATAGGTCCCCAGGAAAGAAAAAATCCATACATTTGAATATGTCAGTGAACAGGTCTACTGAGTGACTATGATTGTACAAAGTTGACTCTTATCAGTTTGAAATGTGTCAAATTGTGAATACTGGCACTGGAATTAACCTGAAAGGATCGTAGAGCAGAAAGGCGAGAATAGTATTGTTATGATAAATGACAAGAAAATGACGAGTGATGAAAGCCTGAGAAACTTCTTGTAAGATACCTTTTGTGACAGTAATGTTCACCTTTCCTCTCATTGGCTATTGCTCTCGTGTACATAGTATGATTTTCGTTTTCGTAAGGTGACGATCGGTCAACTTGGATGTTCCAATCTCTAATAGATCTGCAGAGATGCAAGGCTAGGCTTAGACTGGTTGCTTTTAACACGTTAATTAGCTTCTTCTTTTTTTTAAAACTTATTAGCATGGTTTATTTTCTAAAACTTCTTTGTAGACAGAATACCTGAGGAAATTGGCATTATTCATGAAGAGGTCAATACATTATTATATGGAACCACGAAAAGTACTTGTAGATTGGTCTGAAAATAAAGCCTAATAATTCGTCATTCTGTCGCGCATGCGCAGCTTTTAGGGGAATCCCTCGATTCACGATGATTATTAAAATTAACAATATTACGCACTGCGGAGTTGTTTTCAGCTGTTATATAACCGTCTAAAATAAGGGAATCTCCGTTGCTGTAATGATTTATAACGGCTGTATGATTGAATGGAGTTTATTTGAAAAGTTTATTATAAGAAAAGGGGCATCTATGATATTTTAATAGAGGCATTATCAGACGTGGGAAAAGGGGCATTTATGAAAAAGTTTTGATTATTTTATTTCAAGTTGTAATCACGTTACGTATATTATAGGCAATTCAACACACACAAAAAAAGAAGTAAAAAACGTCAATTTGTCAAATATAAGATTGGAGGTCTATAATAATATGCTATTCAAAACATATTTTTAGTCAGAGGCGGTGCTCGAATAGGCGCCCATTTTACTTTGGAAAGTGCCCCTTTTCCTTTGTAGTAAATTGCACCTTTTTCTTTGACACGTGTCCCTTTTACTGTCTAATAAGTACCCCTTCCCTTTTTTTATAACCTTTCTTATAAATGCCTCCTTCCCACCTCTAATAAGTGACTCTGTCCAAATCTAATAGGTTCTTCATTTACTTTTTAATAACTGAATTTTCCCTTCTAAGAAGTGCCCCTTTTCAGCTCTGATGAGTGTCCCTTATTAGGTATGAGAAATGCCTTTTTAGTATTTCTTTTACTTTCTATAAAGGGTGCCCCTTTTCCTATTTAATAAGTACCCCTGTTCTGAGTAGCTTTCCAAGTGAGAAGGCACTTAATACGGGAAATTCCGATATTATTGATACTTTTGTAACATCTAATTTTTCAAATTTATTTAAAACGTTCTCCATTCTGTTTCTATCATTTCTTGCTTTGAAAAATTAAATTGTTATTATGGTTGGATTGCCCTGTAATGCGACTCTGTTGCACAAAAGCTCTTCAGTGCAATATACATGTACATGTATATGAAATTGATGTCAAATTCAGACTGGATTCGATATGAATCAACATTTATTTGGTAATCAAAATAAAATTATTTACAATACCGCATGAAAGTTTGGATGGCTAACATATTATTGTTTGTTGTCTTATACCCGGAAAAACAGAAAAATGATCCACATGTAGTAAGGAGAAAGGTTCAAAGTCGTGCTAAATTGTGAGGAAGAGGGAATAACGACTCGATCAAAATAGACATTATATCTGCATAAGAAACCGGAGTACATTTCATATATAACAGTGGTATAACTATGGTGCACAAGCTCCCTCTATCGTAAAAAGTAAAAACTGCTGCCCCCTTTTATACACACTTGCACGCCCCCCCCCCTCCCCCACTATTAAAGTTGATAAAATTATATTTAAGGGGGTGTTCGTCAGATAATATGACTTGTGCCCCCCCCCCCCCCATCTCACCTGCAAATTATATTGTAGACACTACATATTTCATATTCTGTTTCGTAAATACACTGTACATGTCATCAACACATATATTGGTACTATATACTATGTGGTGTTAATAGCTATAGTTTTGTTTCAATCCAATTCAATACATCATTGCAATTTAAGAATAATATACAAACGTGTGCATGGAATAATAAATTGTTACACAAGATTAATAGAATACATGTATATGCATCGGTACAAAATATCAAAATTACTTGGTAGATAGCAGCCAGAAAGAAATGACCCTTATAAGTGGCCGACCTAAAAAAAGAAGAAGATATAATTAACAGTTAAATACATGTACCAGATTATAATGACATGACAAAACAAAACATTCCTACCACCAAAAAATACACATCACAGTGCATCACATAATATTACTGATGATAAAGTATATAGCAAACCGTGATGGAAAAACAAAGTTATTACCCCTCATACACAGACTACTCCTTGCAGTCTTGCACAGCCGAAACGAAACATGAGGCCAGCATTTCATTAAACCGTCATTAGCGCAAGTTCGCCGAAATCCAGTGAAATGCGTGTATTATAATTAACACGCGTTCAAAGAGTTGTCGGCGAACTTGTATTTATGACGGTCTTGTGAAACGATACCAAGAATGACAAGAGGCCGAACAAGATATTACATTGATACACAGAATGGAAGAAATGATCGATTTGGAAGGTTTGTGAGGTTGTAATTCGGCGGTATGACTGCAGTGTCATGGTCTCATGGGGGTGAAAGAATGAATAGACAATATTAAAACAAAGTTCGTCCACTCAGGGCCACTCTTTGTAACGTAAGGGAGGTAAAGGAGTTTATAATTGACAATGAAAACCAAATCAACTGCCAATTGCATATGTCATTGCTTAATAATAACCAAATGTTAAATACAACAATCAGCACTGCATAGTTATCTTTGTGTATTAGCGATTTCAGTTTCCCTAAATTCTTCAGATGTTATACAGATAAGAATCAAATACATGTACATGTATAATGCCATGAAATAACAAATTTTGTATTTTAAATTCTGTTAGATTAAGTATGAGCAAAGGTTTGATGATAGTGTATTCGTTTTAAACGCAGGAGGACCTATAAGAACATGCTTACATTTTCAAAGTTCTGTCATATAGCTATGACAAAGAAATTTGCTGGGAGATGTTTAATTAAACCTTTAGCACAAAGCGAACAAAATTAATGATAGCTTTAGAATCACAAATTGTCAGATTGTTCTGAAACTTATAAAGACTAATTTCTCTATTTTGTCTGCATTCGTTGAGGTAAGTGAGGTTCCTTTCTAATACATAGTATTTTATTTGTATGGGTTAAGATAGGATTGATACAAATGTCTATCAACAATATATCCTAAGGACAGAAACTGAAAAAAATTGAAACACAGACAAAACGAAATATCTCCAAAAAGTGAATAAATGAATAGGGTATTTCCGACAAGTTCCATCCCATTTCCCCCATGTACTTTGCCAGACGGAAAGTAAACATAGAAAACAGAAAACAAAACATCACAGTCCTTCAGATAAAAAAATAAACCCTTATTTTGACGATTAGTTTTACAATAGTTTTTGCAACATATATCATACAGTCAATAGGTCGCCTTTTAAAACTCTCAAACTCTTTAGTGCACAACTAGAGAAATTGTAAGAAATAGACATTATTATGAAAACGTGGCATTTCCTCTAATGATTCTGTACAAAATGAAGGCAAAATAAATGGCAATACATACAGAGTCTATTTCTGTGATCATTATATCCTACTGTAAAATAATCTTTTAGTCCACAATTAAATTGTTTCTACAGCATTTACAACAGCTATCAAACAGACAGATTCACAATGTAGAGTCATCAACAACAAAATGATGAAAGAAAACACATCCGAAGTATATTAAAACAAAGGTTACTTTTAAGAAAGGTTCAATCTTTGAAATTGATCTACATGATCTAGGAATATTATTTCGGAAACAGTCACGAAGACTCAAATTCACCTAGTCCAAGATATAACTGATTTCATTGGATGGTATCATACAGTGCGAGTAAGGAGGAGTCATCCATTATTTTCAGTGGAATATATAGAGTCTATCAGGAGTACAAAAAGCGATCTCTCCTGATCGGTACTGCTAGAGATAGTACCAGTGCCTCTCAGGCTTCTCAATCTTGTAATCACTGACGATGTTCTGGACGTGCTTCAGCTCGTTAGTGTACTCATCAATACTGACCAAATCTACATCGTCTTTCAACGTAGCTAGCAGGATTGTATTCCCTTGAGACACAGCAGCGAATAGGGAATCACCTAATTTTACTAATTCATATTTTACAACACCTTGTATATCAATCAATCGTATTGTATCACTAGAAACGGCGACCAGTTGATCATTATAGTAATCTTAGTATTAAGTCCATACCCATCACATGGTATCTCCCTGATAGCCTTCCCACCTGCTGGTGAGAATACCCGGATCTTCTTGGCTTTCCAGTAGCTAACATAAATCTGATCATCGCAGTCTGTAGTGAGGTTAGAAAAACCACCTACATCATGACTCAGAGTCTCAAACATTACATTCAACTTTGTGAGCTCTGGTGTGTACAGTGTGATATTGTTTAAGCCATCAAGTAGAACATATCGATCATCAGAGAGGAACCCTATTTCACGAATGTTAACGTCCTTGAAAACTTTCTGCTTGAGCAGGCCATCAGCAGAGAAGATCTCAACGCCACCTCCACGACATCCAACTGCCATTCTACCGTCATGTGTACCAACCATGGCATTCATGCTATCCTTAGTAGGCAAAGCGATGTTCTTTGCAACTGTATTTACGATCTTACCAAGAGCTATCTCGTCGATTCCAACGTTCCTCTTAAAAGTGACACTTTTTCCTTTCTTGCTCGATTGCCTCGGCTGCTTGTAGTCAGGATCTTCTTGTTTCAATGCCTCCTGTAAGTCTTGACATAGAGTGTCGTGTGCAGCCAAAGCATCCATATCCGACGGTATCTTTGTCCTATTGGTTACCACGTCAGCTATGGTGGTCAAGTGAGTGAAATGCTCCACAGCCGATTTCTTCATTTTGTCCAGTTCTTTCTTTACTCCTTCGATCCTATCCTTGACTTCACCAATGAGGATTTCTTTCTTGTTTGTCAGCTGCCGGACTGATTCTTCAAATGCTTTATTGATATCATCTGTACACTGCTTCTGAACATTGGCCACATGGTCCTTTTGTTCATCAATGAATTCAATGTATTTTTTAAAGCAAGAGCGTTTCTTGTCCGCCTTGGATTTGAGGTCCTCGATACTCTTCATATGGTTGCTTTCATAAACAGCTGCCTCGATGACCCAATGTCCTTCCTTTGTATGTTCCATGACAACACACCTGAAGCAGGCAAATCTCCTGCAGTCGACACAGAAGCATTCTTCATCCTCTTTGGGGTGTTTCCTGCATTTACGGTATCTACGTACTGACACCTTCCCTGATTCGATCTCATTCATGGCTAAGACCTCATGAGTGATGAAGTCTGGCCACTGAGAGTGTTTGTTGTGGCAAGTGCTACAGAAATACTTGCCACAGTCTTGACAGTAGACAGTAGCTTGGGGCTTGTCTTGGGATTTACAATTCGTGCACAATTGATATTGAGTCTTCATATCCTCTATGAGAGACTTCAAAGCTAGACTTGCCGGTAATTTGCTGACTTCTTGGTTTGGGACCTGGGTTTCAGCTCTGCAGACAGGGCATCGGAGCATCTGGTCTTTACCATGGTATACCAAGAGGTTGTCCAGACAGGTCTTGCAGTAGGTGTGAGAACAAGACAGAATCTTGGGATCGGTGAAGGTATTCAGACAAACAGGACACTCCAGACTCTGAGCAATAATATTCTGTAATGCATCAGCCATGATTCGAATTCTACAGGAATACGAGATAAAAGAAAAGGACACAAACATAATGATTAGTGTAGCTTTGATTCATCTGATCATACTAAAGAGGAATGTTTATCATTTTCCTCACGCCTTCGCCCTACAGAATATTAAAAAGATTAAAAATACTTCATGTTATTCATCAACTGAATGTAGTAATGAAAAATGAATTTAACCAAAAAAAAACGTTTCCTTTTTGTCCCTTCAGTCAATGAAAATTTCAACAGGCGTGGATCCCCCCCCCCCTTGTCAAAAAAAAGGGGGGAAAAGAATTTCTCACGAATTAGTCACAAAAAAGTGCTCTAACCGCCCCCCCCCCCCCCGAACATAGGTCTGAAAGGCATCGAAACGCGTCATATGACGCACATAAACCTAGGTTTGTTGACAAACCTCCTTTGTAAATTCGGGCCTTATGGTCTAGTTTCAAATCTCTCTTTTGGTTGGTTTTATTTTTGAAACCTGTTTCTTCATGGGTTAACAAACTGATATCATTCCTTAAGCACCCGTCATTCTCATCTTGGTCTTAGCTCAATGGCTCTCCATTTATCACCTCAAAGACATCTAGACCAAGACCCAGCTATTTCAGTCTAAGGAAAATAATTATTTCATGAACCAAATACAAACAAAGCCTCAAAAGTGTCTGAGAGTCAGCCTGATATATAAGACAATGCAAAACTAAAACATTGAACAATATTATTTTACTGCATTTATTTTGGAACGACAAGGACGTTTTAATTCATTCACCTTTTTTCTATCATTACATATCAGTCTGGACATTATATTAAATCAGAAAACATGTAGATCTTTTGCCTTTACAGTGCCTATTTTCAATGACTGTGAATTCTTATCAACCTATGACAGACAACCAGATTGAGATCACCAAATAAAACCTCGTTCCCAGTTTGTCAAGCGTCTGTACTCTGCACCCCCCCCCCCAGACACAGACACAGGCGCCGGGAGTATGGGGCAGGGGGCAGTGTGTGTGTGGGGGGGGGGGCATAACGCATTTTGCCCTCCAAAACGCCCCCCCCCCCCAAAAAAAAAAAAAAAAAAAAAAAAAAAAAAAAAAAATCAGCAGTGAAGGATTAAAAATGGTCTGAATTTTTTAACCAAAAAGAAAAAAGAAAAAATAATAAAAACCGGAATTTAATCACATACAAATTATTATCCATTCAAAGAAAAGGAGAGTAAACGGCAGTTGCCGCCAAATAGAATTCAAACGTGGTTTATTTCTTATTCGATATCATTAATTTACAAATGTTGCTGAAATAACATACAGTAATTTTCCGGGATGTTTTTCTAAATTTCTTTCGTAAAATATTCTTTTCTTATGATTTGTTGGAGAATCAGAAATTCCCAAATTTACAATCAGGCAAAAAATATGCCTAATTTAGAAGCCTTCATGTCACTTTAACAAAAATATATGTTCAATTTGTAAAGAAAAAAAGAAAGAAAGAAAAAAGGAAAGAATGGGTGACCTGCCAGTGTCACAAATGAGGTACATGTATCAAAATATGCTCATCTGACCGTAATTAAATGCCTAAAACCCCTGAGCTTCAGGGAGCTCTGCCCCCTGGACCCCACGCCCATACTAGTGTCACAAATAAGGTATCTATATATGCTTATGTGACCGTAATTTGATGCCTTAAACCCCTGAGCCCCTGGACCCCAAGTCAATGTATGCTCTACTCGCTTCGCTCACTACACTCCAACTGATCGTTAATACACTTTGAAAAACGTTCCGCGGGGCCTGCATGTAACATGTAAGTGTTGTGGTGATACATATTTTTTTTCTCCCCCCCCCCCCCAACGTTGTTGCTCATTACGCCACTGCTCCTGAAAGGTGAGCCCCCTGGAATTTTTGCCCCCCCCCCCCCCCCCCCCCCCCCCTCCTCCAATCCCTCCGGCGCGCCTGGACACAGACACACTCAAAAATAGTCCAGACTCTGCGCACGGTCCTTTATAATTCCCTACACACTTTCAAGCCGTCGAAGATGGCGTTATCAACAAACTCATAATAATTATTATGCTCACCAACCCGCGTCTTATCTTATCTTATCTTATCCGGTAGGGTGGTCAATAGGGTTGTAGTGACTTGACCTTTGGAGAACTTTGCATTTGTAAATATTATTGTCTTGTCTTTATTGTGTGGCTTGAAGTCTAGCCTTTTATTCCATTGTCACTCATTTCTTTAGTGACACCTGTTGCATTACTAGAGTGCCACAAATACTTACTCTGGCAAGCACATTCCATACCCTATGGGTTGGGATGTGCAACCACCTAATGTACTGGTATAGCTTATACTGTACAGGGACATTACACTTGCTTGCTTTATTTGCCACACCTATTTTCATCACTTCTCCTGAGCTGTTCATATAGAGCACACCTATTCTAGAGAGTCGATCGATCAACAGCAAAGCTAATTCAGCTTCATCTTAATTCTTGTCCTATTTCTTCGCTTGTTTCTCTACTCGGTTCTGAGGCCTTATTACTTTATAGAGATTATAAGTTTCTTCTTTACTTAATTCGCGAAGAAGCGTCATTACTTTGTACATGGTCTTACATATTCTTTCTACGGGTGCTGTGCAATATTTGAACTACTACTTGTGATATAATATATGTTCCAAGTATCTGTACTCAACAGGTGTTTCTACGAGACAAGGTAGGAAAGAAATCTATTTCTATTTCTTTTATTTAGGAGATTAAATTCCCTAAAGGGTCATAGTAATTATACAAATCAATCTGTCATCAACTCACCGTTAGCTCAATCGGCAAGGACAGCGTGTTACTAATAACACTTTGTAGTTGACTTGAAGGTTCAGTTCATTCAGTTTGTATTTCCTTTATAAATAAATATAAATAGTGAGGCAAAGCAATAAATAATCAAAGTCTATGACCTCTTTGCAAGCTTTACGTAGCTTGTTGTGTATGAAAATGAGTTCATACTGGAATCTGGGCTCGCCGTGCTACGAAAAAATAAGACGCCACCGGCGTTAATGATCACGCCATCATCGGCTGGTAGCAAGTAAGTAGGGAGAGGTAGCGTTGGTGGGTGGAGATCAAAATTAAATAGGCCAGATTCTGGACTAACTCAATAGTGACAATCTTCGAAATGACGTTAGTGTCGGGCTGAGATTCGAGAGTCAAGTGAACTCCAATACACCTCCACTACTACGACGCCCATGTAACTCAGCATTCATATCTACGTAACATGTACTAATAATAATTCGTGACAAATTTGTCAATCACATCACAATAAGTGAAAAACGTACCAAAATCGTCACATTTACCCTAGGACAAACAAGCACTGAGAAGTTATTCTCATGACGATATCAATATGATCAGAAGGTTTTTTAATGCGACTTACGTTACTCCAGGGGTCACGATCAAGTAGCCTACATTTAAGTCTTTATATGGTCTGGTTTAAAGATCTGTTTGTTAAATGCTTAAGGGGAGGGGTTGCAGCCTGTTTCTTCATGGTTTACCAAAATGATTCTAAACACCGGTTTTATTCTTATCATGGTCTTACAGTGTAGCATAATAAAATTGTTCTTCAGTAAAGTACCTCAAAGACATCGAGACCACTGAACTACATGTAGCGAAGGGTTCAGTGATCTTGGTGAAAATGTAAAATATGATATTAAAGAGAAGATTCATTGATTTAAAAAAACTATTTTAATGTCATTATTGCAAAGGTGACACTTTGATTGGCCAATGTTATCAAAAGCCAATGCTTAGACAACATTCAAAGTAATGATTATTAACAATTACAACACGCTTAGATACAGCCCCGACATAGCGCCTGAAAAGCTCTCCGGTCGCTGCTGAGATATGACGTCACATGTTGAACATGATGTGCACAAGCAGACGATGTCCCATGACATCTCACACAATTTCACTGCCTGTTTTGTCATCTTTTCTTCAGTTATTTCTCTTACTTCAATACCCTCAGGCGAAATGTTTAATCTATTGCCTCACTTTCAACCCCGTGCATGGTATTATTTGGATGAAAATGCAAGGAAAAAAGAAGGAGAAGGAATCTGTCGCTTGTAAACAAAATAAGACGCCATTGTATTTTCAGCTGCATACACCGCGGCATGTTCGGCGTTTCAAGAGGGAACAAATGATGTCCATGCTATCATTCCGGAGGTTTTTTAATTTGAAAGTGTGGTTTCTTTGATTGTTCATTACCCCCTATCCTGTGTATTTACAAACAAAAGAATTTAGTTTTCAGAATGGGGGTCATATCCCTTTTTGAATGATGTAAAATTCCATCACATTTATATACACTAAACTCATTATAATTTGAGAAATAAAAGCATTGCAATTATGTTCATTCTTTATGGGGTGTCGTCTGCTTGGGCAGGGTTGGTTCATATTGTGACGGCATTAAAACATCGTTATTTTTCCGGCGAATCTCTCGCATATCCCAGATGCTATAGAGGTTGTTTTACTTGTATTTTTATAAATCACCCGATATGTAGTTGAACTAAAACTTGCACGATGGCCATCTGTTAGCTTACCAGTTTCTAGTAATACGCTATGTAAGATACTAATCTCTGTTTTGTGAGGACATTTTTTGTTTCAGTTGACGATCGGAGTATGACGTCAGAAGCGATATTTTTTTGGTTGAATTTTTGGTCCGCCGAGTGGGGGCGTAACAATTTAGCTGCAAATGATTCTCAATTTTGGGAAAAGTCATCCTTCTGATTGCGATCAATATTTAGTATTTCCAGACAAGCCCAATGTTGTGAGTATAATTTGAACATATGATTTTGATAATTGATAACTAGCCGTCAGTTTGAGTTGGGTGTTGGTTTTATACAGTTCATAGTTTTCAGATAATTTGATGTATAACATTTGTTATGAAAGTGATTTGTACGCACAGTAACTTTGTATGCATTACACGTGCAGTTACATAATACGGTTCATGTGTGTAGTGCTATGGGGATAGTCTGTTGTACAGACCGTGTTGTGTTATTTTAATATCATTTATATATAGGCAGTTTTATAAAGTGACAGAATGAAGATAAATTCTGGTAACTGTAGACATGTATATAAAGAGGAATTTAGGGTAATATGTGTAGAGCCAAAAGGGTTATTGTTTTATCATGCACACAAATACAATAGAGAACAAAGGAAATTGAAGCAGCCATATTAGGGTATCTTAAAGGTTTTTATTCATTTGCTATAAGGAAATAGAACATAATATTTAGTGGGCATTGATATTTCATTTTGGAACAGTGTAATGTGTAATTTTAGTAAACGTGCATTAATCATACAACTAATTTGATGCAAGATTGTTTGTAAACAGTTTAAAATTGACATATTATTTATGATTGTTTAATTCTGATTAAATTTCAGGTTGAACCGCCTTTTATGAACGGTATCGCATCATGCTTGAAATTGTCGCTATTTATTGAGTGCAGTCAGTCCGATTGGTTGGTTATACGCTACACGCTATTTGCCATATTTGTGATTTTCTATGAATCCGCACTTTAATACCACAGTGATATCAATATCATGTTACATTATCTTCAAGCCAGTCTAATTATTTCTCATGCTTCAAAAGTTTCTGTCTGCATCAAATAGTTTATATAGTAAATACGTCAATATAAAACGAAAGTATTGAAAATTGGCACCACATTTCTTGTGGAAATGACACAGACATTTTAATTCACTCACCTCTTTTTCCGTCACTGCGTATCGGTCTAGGTGTTATTACATCATGTACATGTATACTCGACTCTTTGCCTTTACGATGTAGTGCTGCATTGATCATACCAGTCGTATGTAGAACTTCATGTATACATGTATGCAGTTAGTTTGGCAGTCTACAAGTCTATTCTATTACATAACATTCGTACAAGTCTTCAGAGGGTTAGCATATTTCCAGGTGCTAGGCAGTGAGATCACACAAAGGAAATTCAAAGAAAAGAATTTCAAATGAGGAAAGGAACCTTATAAATGGGGTTCGCGGGCGCACGTAGCCATCTTTTCTTTTGTGTGTGGCAGTAAGAACACCTATTTTCTTTCGACAGTACATGCAGACGGACTTCGACATGCAGACGGAGATTTTCGAGCAGGGAGCCGATGAGTCGACGGGGACTGATCCGGCGGAATCCCTGGTGGGCAAAGTCGCCGCCCAGTCCGCAGAACTTAGGAAGCTTTCTTCCAAGATGTCTCGGTTTATGGATGTTATGTCCACAAATCAAAATGAGACAGTCCCACGTGCGAAGCATGGGGGCGATTTACCTGATGATGACTTGCTCAGCATTTTCGCTGATAACAGTGTATCTATTTGTTCGTCGCCAAGCAGGGCGGATAGTTACGACCCTGAGTTGGATCTATTGGAGACACCGGGTGTGGTGGAATCGAATGTAGTTTCGAGTTTCTTTCCACCCGATTGTGACCTGTATAAGGGCACATTGGATTTCAGATCGCCTGTGTCTGATAGCCTGGCGGCTCGCATGACCAAAGCAGTAACGCTTCCTCCGAAGAAGGAAAGCATTGAGAAGATTGCTACTCAATATCTTACACCGGAGAATGCTCCAGCGGTTTGCACGCCGAGGATTCCCCAGGAACTGTGGGGCTCAATTCCACCGAATTATCGTGCTGCCGATAGTCGTGCACAGAAGTTGCAGACTCATATTGTGAAAGGTTTGCTTCCCTATGCGGAGATTCTTTCAGAGTTATAGAGCGCGGCTTCGGAGAAGCGCGATGTGGATACCAACCGCATTAAGCGTCTCGCCCTCGACGGTATCACACTAAGCGGTTTTGCCTCCTACGAAGTGAGCATGAGGCGTAGGGAAGAATTGAAGCCCTCTTTTAACCCCAAGTACAAGGGTATTTGCAGCCGTTCAGTATCGGTATCTGAGGGCCTCTTTGGAAGTGAATTTCAAGCGACCCTTAAAGGGGTCGGAGACTCGTTTCTGGTCAGTCAGAAAATTTCGCCTCAGAACTTCAGGGGGCGTGCCAAGCGCAACTATCAGCGACCAGCCCCATATCGGCAGGACAAGCGGGATTATTCTCGTTTTTCGAGGGATCGCAACAGCGGCCCATCTGGATTTAAGGAGTTTCGCGCCCCAGCGACAGTTTCCAAGGCTCCACAGTCCAAGTACAACGCAGATCGGGGCAAGTTTAACAAGCCCGGTTTCCCAAAAAACTAGTAAGTGATCTTTCCCAGTCAGGGAGACTCAGGTTTTTCAAAGATGAGTGGTCGCGTCTGACGTCTGATTCTTGGGTTTTAGACGCAATCGGTGGTTATAAAATTGATTTTTGCTCTCTTCCTTTTCAACGTTGCTCGCCGAGCAATTACGTTGCCTCTCTTATAGAGAAGGAAGCAATTAGTAGGGAGATTGTTTCCCTTCTCGAGAAAAATGCAATTAGAAAAACATCTAGACAGGACCTTGTTTTCTTGTCTTCTATTTTCACGATTCCGAAGAAATCGGGAGAACGCAGACCAGTCATTAATTTGAAAAACCTGAACACTTTTGTCAAGTATGATCATTTTAAAATGGAAACGTTTAAAAATGTTCAAGATCTGATGATGCAATCTGATTTCATGACCTCAATTGATTTGAGGGACGCTTATTTTTCAATCCCGATTCATGAAGATCATCACCGTTTCTTAGGTTTTTCGTGGGAGAAGGCCTATTATTGTTTTCAATGTTTACCATTTGGACTAAGCTCAGCACCTAGAGTATTTACAAAAGTTTTGAAACCGGTGATGGCCGCTATAAGATGCAGGGGCATTCGTTCTATGATTTATTTGGATGATATAATTATTTTCGCTAATTCGAGGCGAGCAAGTCTCGAGCACACTAGTTTTGTGTGTAATTTATTATCATCTTTGGGATTCGAAATAAATTTCGAGAAGTCTTGTTTATCCCCTAAAACTGACACAACTTATCTGGGTTTCTGCATTGATTCGGCTAGTATGTCGATAAGTTTACCTGGTGAGAAGGTGGAGAAATTGAAATCAGTAGGAAGCTCTATTCTAGCTTCGAATCGGGTCATTGTTCGGGACCTTGCGAAGTTCATTGGCATTATTGTTTCTTCCTTTGAGGCCTTTCCAAAAGGGAGGATTCATTACCGCAAATTGGAATCTTTCAAAACTAAAGCGCTTGTATCTTCAGGTGGGAATTTCGATTCTTTTGTGTCTCTCAATACCGACGCATTATGCGAAATTCAATGGTGGCTCTCGATCCCATCGGATGCATTCACTACGCCCGCTAAAATGCCTCCTATCAGCATCACATTACGTACAGATGCAAGTAGCACGGGATGGGGAGCTTTCTGTGAGAATGATTATATTCATTTTCTCAAGGGGTTTGGTCATCTAAATATGCCGATCTACATATTAATGTTCTGGAATTGCTTGCAATTCAACACGCATTATCATCATTATGCAATTCACGGATGAATGCCCATATTCATATTAAGTCTGATAATAGTTCCGCCGTATCTTATATTAAGAAGTTTGGTGGGCGTATCTCCATGTTAGATGGAATCTCCCGGGCCATTTGGTCATGGTGTTTTGAACGTAATATTTGGCTTTCTGCATCTCACCTGGCTGGGATTGCGAATATTGAGGCAGACACGCTTTCACGTAGAGATCTAAACAAAGAGCTTCATCTTTGTCCCGATAGGTTTTTCTCTATTTGTCAGCATTTCAATGTATGTCTCGACGTTGATTTGTTTTCTTCTCGTTTCAACAATCAATTACCATGTTATGTAACCTGGAAGTATGACCCTTGTGCTTTTGCAGTAGATGCTTTTACCATCTCTTGGAATGCATTGAACATATATCTCTTTCCTCCTTTTTGTCTTCTTACTAGGGTCTTGCAGAAGCTTCGGGAGGACGAGGTGGACATTGCCCTTCTAATCGCTCCTTTGTGGCGAGCCCAGCCATGGTATCCCATGATCCTTCAGTTACTTGTCGCCCCACCCCTTCTACTACCTCCGAACTCTCTCGTGGGACATTCAAACCCATTCCCAAACCTCAAGCTAACCGCCTGGATTATCTCAACAAAGGTTGGCGCTCAGCGGGCCTTTCGGAACACGCTTCCAGCCTCATCGCCCTCTCTTGGCGAGATGGAACCAACAAACAATATGAATCGGCTTGGCAACAGTGGCTTCGCTGGTGTGATTCACAATCGCTTGATCCCTTTGACTCGTGTATTGTAAACGTGATTAATTTTCTTAGTGCTCAACAGGGTTTAGGAAAATCCTACTCTACTATTAATTCTTATCGTTCTGGCCTTTCTTCTGTACTACCACCAATGGAAGGCTTTCCAGTTGGCAAGCATCCCATGGTAATAAGATTATTGAAGGGGATATTTAATGCAAACCCTCCTAAACCAAGGTACCAAAGCACGTGGGAAGTCTCCAGGGTTTTGGATTATTTGTGTTCAATGGCAGAAAATTATCAACTTTCTTTGTTTCATTTGAGTAAAAAACTTGTGTCGTTAGTCGCACTTGTTACAGCGCAACGTACACAGACTCTCAATCATTTAGATATCTCTTTCATGCACATTTCAGATGATCGTGCAGTTTTTCAGGTCATGGATGTCTTAAAAACGACTACTCCAAAAAGGGTATTGCTAAGCAAATAGTTGAGCTTCCTTCTTTTCCTTCGAATAAGAAGTTGTGTGTTTTGTTAACTCTTACGGAATATCTTAATCGTACCAAACCTCTTCGTGAATGTCATGGGGAAACGAAGCTCTTTATTTCAACTAGAAAACCTCACAAATCGGTAACCTCCAGTACTTTGGCAAGATGGTTAAAATTCTCTTTGTTTGCTTCAGGCATTGACACATCAGTATTTTCGGCGCACAGTTTCAGGAGTGCCGCTACTTCTTTCAAGGTGACCCCATGAGCGAAAGCAGAAGAAGTCTTCTGCTTTCGCTCATGGGGTCACCTTGAAAGAAATAATGAAGAAAGCTGACTGGTCAAATGCCCGAACATTCAAAACCTTTTACCACAAACCCGTCGTTGAAGATGGAACTTTCGCTTTTTCGGTTTTAGCTCAAGCTTCTTGAAATTTATGTTCTATATCATGACATTATCACGAAAGAGGGCTCTATGTTAAATGAGAAGAAGGTTCGCTTCTCTTTGGTAATCAATTTTTGGTACAGTTCCATTAAAGGAAAATCCTAGGTTACTAGAGATGTATTTACATGATTCACGTGATCGTAGTTTACTTTTAAGCAAGACTGATTTAGTCAAGGAGATCTGAGTAATCCTTTTATGCTTCATTATTTTTGAGGTTCGTGTTATGATTAAAAATTTGATACACCTGCAATTCAAGTGTTGGTTGTTTATTCATGTAAGTTCGTCTTTTTTCAGATTCTGTGATCTGCTCTTTGAATATGCTAACCCTCTGAAGACTTGTACGAATGTTATGTAATAGAATTCCTAAATTATGCAAATAACATGAAGTATAATTAGAATTCTATTAATAATAATGAAGTACAAGTCGAGGAGGGTCCCTCCCTTCAAGATCTTTTGCTGAAGATTCCCTCCCTTCTGGATTTTTGTTATTGTTCAAATCACAGAATCTTCTCTCTTTTTTAATTGGGAGTGTATATATCCTGGCTTCATGTCTGTTTGGACTTTAGCTGTTGTTTGACAGGAGTTATGTTTTGATTGATTGGATATGATCGATTGTAGTTTTTGTTTGATTGATTATGATTGATTGAATGGATTTGATCTATTGTAGCTTTTGTTATGATCAATAATATGATATTTCGGTTTTTGGACAAATATTTACTCTGTTTTGGGGAGAGTTTTTCGTTTGTTGACACCTCTTCCTTCTTTGAAAAGATGGCTACGTGCGCCCGCGAACCCTATTTATAAGGTTCCTTTCCTCATTTGAAATTCTTTTCTTTGAATTTCCTTTGTGTGATCTCACTGCCTAGCACCTGGAAATATGCTAACCCTCCTCGACTTGTACTTCATTATTATTAATAGAATTCTAATTATACTTCATGTTATTTGCATAATTTAGGAATTTTTAGGTACTTGGAATTCCCACCGACCTTTGACAGACAAACAGTCAGGTTTATCGTCCTAAAAGTGATCGCCCAATACAAATTCGATCTCATTTTGTCAAGCGTCTGTAGAGCACAAAGTATGTTCGTGTAAAACTTTGATTCTATTTCTGTTACCTCCCCCCCCCCCCCCCCCCCTCCCTCTAAACCTCATACAAGAACATTCTAATATATTTCGAAGGGGCACTTTTTTAAATGGGGGCACTTATCATTATTGAAAGGGGCAAATATTAGAAAGGAAAAGGAGCACAATTGTGAAAAAATAAGGTGCGCTTATCAAAATTTAAAAAGGGGGTATTTATCAAAAGGGGAAGGGGCACTTCCGATACAAAGGAAAGGGGGCAGTTGTGAACGAAAAAGGGCCACCTCTGTCAGTTGGAAAAGTGGCACTGTTTCCCGGCAATAAGCTGCCCAGAACAGTGAACATTGTCACAAATGGAGTGATTGGAAGACGAAGGCATTGATGGAATTGTGCAGAAGTGACAATGTGCTCCTAAAATCACCTAATTTATTACACCCATTATCATAACCAATACTAGCATGATTATTATGGCTTACTTTAGAGTTTTTGTATTGAAGTTATTTTGTAGTCTCCTTGATCTTTCGAGATGGATAAATATGTGGCTTTATAAATTGTCATTGTTTAATTGTTACCACGACCACTTTACTAGTACTACTAGGGCCTACTACTGCTACTACTACTACTACTACTACTACTACTACTACTACTACTACTACTACTTCTACTACTACTACTACTACAACTACTACTACTCACTAGTACTACTACTACTACTACTACTACTACTACTACTACTACTACCACTACTACCATTAGTGGCTGATGAAAGGGGGGCCCGCACCCCCCCCCCTTGAGAAAAAAAATCATGTAAAAACACGTGATTTTTACCTTTTTTTACCCCCCCCCCCCCCCACTCTCTTTATCTCTCTCTCTCTCTCTCTCTCTCTCTCTCTCCCTTTGCATTTCCATCGCTTTCGCACTGAACCTCACACGTTCTCACATTCCCTTCTCCATCCACCACGCCAAAACTTTCCTTGAGTCGAAAGAGCAACAATGCTATTCATCATTTCGGAATTCAGGAACAAGACGTATTTGTTTGTATATATTTAGTCACTGGAAGAAACATATTATGATTCAAATGTTTTAGGCACAAAGATATATTCTCAAGATCTCTATCAAAATATATGATTAAATTTGTTAGAGTATTACAAATAGGAGCTATTACATTTATGTTCCAAACATAAGGCTGCGTGAGCAACGGCAACAGTGAATACAACTTTGTAATAACATAGATTCAGAAAATAAACACATATTGTCATTTACTTTGGGAATGTACATCTACATCTAGAATACTAAATACTAAATATGTTTTTGTTAATAAGACATTGAAGTTATTGATAACTGCGTCATGGTTATGTACATTATCATTCATTATTTCCTCATTTCATAATTACTTTTAGACTACGCTCAAGAAAATACGAAACATTCATGTATAGAGAGTTTATTTATACATTTTACTACAATTAATGAACGGACACAACGATTATTGTTTATAATTTAAGGAAATTCATAAAATACACTGAAACGATAACGAACCCGCAATAGTATGTACAACATTGACATAAAAATGCCAGGTTGGCAATAAAATAAGCTTATAATAAAAGTATAGCCCGCCATATTTTAGAATAAAACTTGCAAATTGCAGACCATGTCTATCTGAAAATGTCGAAGGAATAATCTGAAAATGTTGAAGTGTTAACAATATATACATGTACAGTCAATAATGGATCCAGAGGGGGCGCAAGGGGCAATTGCCCCCTTTTAAATTCAATCTCACATACCTGAAGTACACAACAATGTGACCCCCCCCCCCCCCCCCAATTCGGTTCTCGACGTACCTCCTTTCAAATATACGCTCCAAACTGAAAATGTCAAACATTTTTCGAAATTGTGCCCCCATCTTTTAAAGAATTCTGTATCCGCCCCTGGAAATAAGTATGCACTTGAAAAGTCTATGAATCAAATAATTACAATCATTCTCATTGTTAGTCAATACCGTAAATTGTATGTTGATTAACGTAAGCAATTAAAAGTTAGTTTACTGCATACAAAATAATTCGCAACGAAACATATCACTACCATGTTAACTGTTTGATTGTCATTATTGATTGCCGAAATCAAAATAACCGAGATTTGATTTCTCTCTAAACAACTCTTACTAGTCCTTTTAATCAGGGCTGTAAACTTTGGGGAACTGCTTCGAGGGAGATCGAATGCAATTCTGTTGGGCTCAACTTAACTGTTCAGTAAAGTTCTGACAAGATTTGGTGCATTTGCAAAATTAGTTGCAAAATTAGTTCAATTAACGATATAACATTTACAATGATTATAGAAAAATACAATATATAGGTAGAGACGAGGTAATACAATGAAAGATGTCATATAAATTACGACAATAATTGTCTGGCAGTTTTTTTACAAAAAGAAAAGGAACATGATTTTCGTCTCCATTGTATATAATCCATTGTGTTGTTGCATGCAATAATATCGCAAAACACCGATGAAAAGATGGACACTGTATTTGTTTATATATTCTCAAAATTGTCTTTTGCGAATAACAAATAGACCTTGTTTCATATAATTATTATACACAGAGTATTTCTAGAAAGTGTTTTTTCCCAGCGCATTTTTATTGATTTACAAAGCTTTACATAAATACGACATTGAGTCGGTATCATCTTCTATACAGGAATATGTTTTCCCTTCAGAAAAGGAGAATAAAGTCTTAATTTATCGTCATTTTCGACATTTATAATCTGCAAGTTCGGAAAAAAAAAGTTCCATCCACGAGATATTTCATAATCAATCGAATCTATCGTATTAAAAAATGCTTAACTTTAAAAATAATTATGTGATTTCTAGAAAAATTGAGGAGTACCTAGATTCAACTTGAAGGTGTGCTCTGCCTTCACAGGTCTATACAAACATAGTAGAATAGTCCTATTAATAGGAAAATATAATTTGACTGGCCTTCGACTTTTAACAATACGTGTATACTTTTCAATTTCAATCGGATTTCTGGTTTTGATAGAAAGAGCGTCTGGGACTCTTTTCTTTCACTTCTTCGTAATCCGTACATTTTATTCCTTTTTGTGGGTCAGGATGAAATCATTCTGGTAGAAGTACTCAACACCCCATGATCGCGTCCAGTCGTTCATTGCATCCACGTGCTCGATCTGCTTCACATCAAATGAATCTATAGAAGATAAGAAAAAAGAAGAAAAAAAGGGGTCAGGTGAGAAAGCATTAAAGTATGTCTGCACTTGGCCAGGAAGGATTAGACCTCCCAACATGGTCACTGGCAGGTGATTATCTCATCAAATCAGCTCTCAATTAACATAATGAAAAGGGTCCCCAAAACATGTTCCGCTTAGGCATTGTTTTGCTGTATAGAGGGCGCAATTAGCTACAAGGAGTGCAGTTCCGCTTTAACAGCTTGCTGTTACTAGCTGTTTTAGGTGTAGACAGAGGGCACAAGGGGCTATGCCACCCCCTCATTTCTGCCCATCTGCTTTAAAAAGAAAAAAAGGGCATCCACAGAAGTTAGGGAGTAAACAACTTTTATCATATTTCTACCAACCCCCCCCCCCCCCCCCAAAAAAAAATAAAAAAATAAAAAATAAATAAATAAATAAATAAATAAATAAAAAAAAAAATAATTAAATAAAAAAATGTAGACCCTGTGTAAATATGATAGAATAAAGGAATAAATAAATAAAAAATATGAGAAAATAATATAATTATAGAAAATATTTTCCTCGCTTTCTTCTTTGTCAATAATTATGGGGAGGTTAAATCATAACAGTTCCTTTTAAAATACGGCTTATAAAACGTTCAATACGGATTGTACAGAGTTCTATATTGTCGTTTAAATAAGAATTGCCCAGCAATGACACTCCCTCCTCCTTCTCCTCCCCCTCCCCTAATAATTATGTCTATGGAACCTGTTTGAATCGATGAATAATATATTACTTTGAGTCAAAATCGCATTTGCTTAACTTTTAACTTAATACAAATTTTCATTGGGAATTGATGACTGCAAAGTTAAAGTAATACATTGTATACAACATCAAAGGGAAAAAAAATTCACAAATGTAAGCTACATAATTCTTACCGAAGAACCTCTCCAAATCTTTAGGATCTGTAGTGTGGGGAGGCCCAGCGAAAACGGAATGTTCAAGTTCAAAGCAGTCGAGAAGATATCGGCCATCCTCTTTGAGTAACTTCGATATGACGTCACAGTACCTTGAATTATAAATAACTGGTGATCAGACACAGTAAGGCAGAGAATGATAGATAATTTCAATAAGCTAAGAGGTGTCTTACCATTTTTTCGGCAAAAGAATAATTATTGGTATAGGGTACATCTGCTCATTAACATTATTTAAATAGCACATTATACATGCTGTAAATGATTATCAACTTTATAATGTCAATAGATTTTCATAATCAATATAAAATGCATACCTAAAAAATACTTCACATTCTTTTTAAAATTCACATTAGTTGAATAGCACATTGTAAATGCTATAAATGGTTATCAAAATTATAATGGCAATAGAGTTTCATAGTCAATATAAAATGCATACCTAACAAAAAATATTCACATTATTTTACTTATCCGTACGAAATAGTCCGGAAATCCGCCTACCTTTGTCTATCCGAGGGATTCATTGCCGCGCAGGAACCGCGGTCCCAGATACAGTCAAACTGGCCGACGAGGGCGGTCGTCACGCTGAAGAAATCGCAGGCATACAGTCGAACATCGCAGTCAACACCCTGTTGGAAAGTAGGATTAAAAATAATAATACTAATAATAAAAACAATTTAAAAGATAATCTGTTTTTGGCTATGGATTGGATTGAATGAGGGAAAAGATAGATCGATTGCAAACGAGAATACCATCTTAAACAAAGAGAGGGAAAATTATTCAAATAAAGTAGAAAGTAGTACATTTCACGAGTGAGTAATACATTTTACGGGAGAGAATCTCAAGGGAAAGAGAGCGAAACACGAATTCCAATTCATTTATCCTTCCATCGAGGTCCAAATGACTGAAATGTCGTGTTTTTGTTTACATAATGTTAAAGATAAAATATAATTCTGGTAAATATAGAAAACAAATTTCACAGAATCCAACGAAACTTACATTGAATGTTCAAGATTACAAATGAATGACATGTGCCAAACACTTTTGGTAGAAAATGTATCGTGGCTGAGTAATGAGCATAGGAAAATAAGGAAATCTGGGTGAGTAGGCCTGACACCATGTGCTTTATTACATGTCGCTGTAATTATGTGTCAATGGGAGTTGTGTTTTTTTATCAAAGATGAAGCCCAGTAAGTTTTTGCGCGTTTGTTTTTTATTTCACTGGTTCAAACAACCAATCTACTGCAGGATAAACAATCCAAAATAAATCATAGCATTTTTCTCTAAAAATACGATTCCCATACCAGAGTTCAAGATAAAGCCCCACTGCACTACTTATAACTACTTGCACCCTCTACACTGTATATAGCAAACAATGCCTAATCGGTGCCTGTTAGTCCCCTTTGATCCTCTTTTTCTTATGTTAATTGAGAGCTGATTTGAGTGAGATAGCCACCTGTCAGTGACCTTGTAGGGAGGTCTAATCCCACTGATGCAGACGGGCTTTAAAACTAAAATCTGCAGTCCCTAAATCAGCACTGTAGCCCATTCTCTCGAGTATCAACGTGATCAAGAAGGGGAAGAGGGAAATGTGGAAGAGCGCCACCTGTGTACGAACCAAAAAAGGAAGGTATCCCCGAACAGGCAAACGCGCATAATATTGTCAGCAAAATTGAACCAAAAAACTATCAAATCCCTTCTCTTTGGAAAGGGTAGCCAAATCCAAATGAAAGGGACTGGCAACGAAAACAAGACCCTGTGTAAACAGGGAGTCCATTGGAAATCTTTAAAATCCAGGGGTGGGGTCATGACCCGCGCCTACCCCCATCATCTACGCTAAAATAAAATAATTATTAGAACAAAATAATTATCCACCGAGAAGCATACATGTATTTACAACTTCCAATTATACAGTAGGCTAACGGTTGCACAATGCAAGCCTACTGTATATCTACATCTCCATGCTAGTCGATACTTATAAGCAGCATCTAACTTCCAGTTAATATCAATTATGTTTTATGAAGGAATTATTTGGCTATTAATGAATTCATGAGGGTGTGTCTGAAAAGGGGCCAATTACCAACGAACTCAGTTGAAGTTGAAGAAAATTATTCAATATTATGAAAACTAAAGATATATTCATTCTATATCTGGTATGTATGACAATTCTTTTTACTAAATGGCAGTCACTTCAACATTTGTTTATATGAACACCAAGGAGAGAAATTTGAAATTATTCTGTTTAGATTGAGTTAAAGAAAGACTTAGTTGAAATTGGTTTTGTCATCATGTTTCAAGCGCAATGAGCTCTCATTTCTGGACATGTCACAGTGACACGAATATACAGCTGCATGCTAAAACAAAATGTCTCTGTATATGTTTTTAGGTATACAAATCTAAAATGATAATATTTCTGGGTTGTTTTCTTCATTTCTTAATCTCCATTTTGGCAAGATTTTCAATCGTTGAATAAATTTGTTATTGTCATCATGCGCATAAGTATGTACTTTTCAAAGCGACAATTTTGTCGGGGAAATAAACTATTAACAAATATAAAAGAATTACACATAGACCTCTACTCTTCCCGATTATGAGGGGACGATTGCCGAAATATCAGATGAGCATTGTCTCGTTTTGGTGATTTCAAATTGCCCGAGGGCTGTAGTCCCCCCCCCCCCCCCCCCTCCCGTCTGGTGCACCTGTGATTATCACACTGATTACAATAATCTGAGACTGAACTATATATAGTTTGCTAATCACGGATGCATGGTATATACTAATCATATCACTCAAAACCGTCAACTAATTGAAACTGACTAGACACACAATTCAAAATATCATTCGCACTCATTTTTATCAGACACTTTAATCCTTCTTAACTGTTTGGTCTTCAGAGAACCCATTCTGGATTTAATAGATGAATTAGTCTTACTAATCGGCCAGGTCCATTGTCATTCATAATCCAATCAGTTTTGTTTCCCTGTCCAGCCAACGACGGCTCATGTCCACAACTATCAACTGATACACATCCAATTTATCAGAAGGAAATCCACCGTTTAAACTCAGACAGTCAACGTGAATAATAGCGGTCAGGCCTGCCCCACCCAACAATAAAGGAGTGGCTACTGGCCATAGATGAATTTGGCTCATGAGCTATCCTATTTTGTATTATTATTATCATGTGGTGCTAGACCAAAGCAGAAAGTAGCAGGAGTTCAATTCTCCCCTGTATTGCTTTCATATTTTATCTTGTAACTTGTAACTTGTAATTTGTAACTTTATATGTTAACTTTTAGCTTATAACCTGCAAGTTTTCTTGCCGACACCCTATTGTCTGCATTGCCATGACGAAGGGATTGTGCGTTTGTAAGGGGTGAGGGGGGGGGGATTTGACCTATAGTCATGTAGATGATAATAGAAATGGGGTGTGACAACTGATCACGAAATACTGACCCTTTGTGGTATTTTATCTATATTATTACAACTATATTTTAGCTGAATTATGTACTGGAATCAAAAGTCTAATTTTTGGTTTCATTTTCAGTGATTATTAGTTTGGTCTTGTTTTGTTTTATTATGTATTGTAATATTTTACTAATTATCAATGTCGTTATTATTTTACATTACATTTTGATAGTATTATGTTATACAGGGCTATCTTGCAAACCATTTTTCAATTTACTGAAGAGACTACCGTGTATACAGAACATAGAATACATATTACTCTTACTATTGCTTTCTAAATATAATTGTATTGGTCACAGTTGAACCAAGCATTTATTGTCACATAGTTGTATTGTCCCATATACCCATACGTGTGTGCAGTGTTTCTCAATATTTGTGATATTCAGCAACATTTGCTTATTATTATTATAGTATTAACATGTAATATGATAATCAGCGCTAAATTTCAGTGCTTGCAAACACTAATTAAATCTTAAATATTTCAGTTTGAAGTTGGAGGTCAGCACCGACGGGGAGATATACACCCCCTTACCTTAATTTATACAAATTGTGGAACCTCTGTCGGGAATTTCTTTTAATATCAACACCCCACTCCTCTCGGCATTATAATGGCCTCTGTTTGCAATATGTATTTCTTTAGTTGTTTAAAATGGTTATGATTGATTTGAAATGTGTTGTTGGAAACAGAAATAAATTGAATTGAATTGAACTGAATTGAATGGCCTCTTAATGCCCCCTGATCATCAAGTATCATCATCTGTCAGTTTCAGAGACCCCTCCCACCCCCCCCCCCCCCTCCGCCTCCGCCTCCTTCTCAATTCCTCCATCATAAGCAAAAACACTCATTCAAATGTTCATTAAAAAAGGAGAAGAAATGAATTACAACGCCCCTCCATGGAGCCCCCTCCCAAGCCGCAACGCGCCTGTGGACCGATAGTCATTATAAACCACTCAGCATACTAACTATATATATATAATACTTTCACCAGCTTTCGCAGAATGGGTGTTGGGAAAAGTCATTGTGCCAAAGTCAACGGTGCAAATATATCATATTTCAGCGGGGGATAGCAGCGGGGGCTATCATTATAATTAATTTTTCCTGTCGCGTAAGCCTGTTACTAGAGATGACTCAGAAAAGGTTATCAACTGATTTTGTCAAAATCTACAGCAGGAGAGGGGCATAGCCGACACCCCTTCCCCCTTTCAGTAATGATGCCTAGGACTATGACAAGGAGGGGGCGGATGGGGGGGGGGGGGGGAAGGAGAGTTAAGGTTGGAGAACGTTGGGAAGAAAAGCGCGAATGAGGAACAAAATTAATATATTGATGTAGATGAGGGAAAAAGGGGGAGTAAGAAAAGGTAAAAGAGAGAAAAGAGAGAAAAGAGAGAGAGAAAAATAGAGATAGAGAGAAAAGAGAGATAGAGAGGGGAGGAGGGACAGAGAGAGAGAGAGTGGGAGAGAGATAGAGAGAGAGAGAAGGGTGAGAGAGAGGGGAGGAGGGACAGAGAGAGGGAGAGAGAGAGGGGGAGAGAGGAAGAGAGAGAGAGAGAGAGGGGAAAGCGAGAGAGAGAGAGAGAGAGAGAGAGAGAGAGAGAGAGAGAGAAGTATAGTGGAGAGGGGTGAGGTGAGCTTTGAGAGGGTGCAAGAGGGAGAGATCGGAGCTGAGGGATTGTTCGTTATACCCCAATTATATCCTCATGCTTAATGAGAGTGCTTCTGTAGTCCCTGGCAATCTAGTATTGCCTGCTATTGTAGCTATGTGTGGGCTAAATGTATTCCGCGCTCATGTGCACATACGATAAGATCATATCATAGACTATTCTGCATATACAGAAATAAGATATTTCTCTTATTCTGAATAAAGTATACATCAACGATGGGCAAGTAAGATACGACCATGTGACACTATGCACATGCTAAACATACTTCTTCGTATTCTTCAATCCCTTTTTTAAGTTTGCTGTTTCTTCTTTCCTTTAACACTTAAAAAAATAGTAATTTATGTAGAATAAAATGGAATTTACCATAATGTTAATGTTCATTTATTGAATTGAAGGGTAGCATTAAATCGGCAACACATTAAAGGTTGGAATACCCGTTTTGCAAACTATACCAATCGGAGAAAAACATTACGACGCAGTTTATGTTCAACTTCATGTATCTTCCTGTTAAGATACAATGCAGGCTGCTAATAAAAGAAAAATTAGTAGTGTTGCCAATTTGATGAAAGAATGATCATCAATCAAGCCATTCGAGAGAAAAAAAACCTCTCTTCTTGGCTAAATTACCTTGAAAAGTTTTCCTTTTGGTCCATCTTTGATCTCCTCCTCCTCGTACTTCAGGTCATTACCGTCGAAGAACTGTCTGCAAGCCATCTCGGCGATCTCGACGCCGACCACCGAATGACCCTTATCGGCTAACCTGCGAACAAAAGATATCGACGTCGTAAGCAGGGACGATGTTAGAGGGGGTGCAACCCAACTTATACATTTCGTTCTGGAAAGTTTAGGATTTTCTTTTTCATCTTAGCCTTGTCAATTAAGCTTTCCAGAATACGGTATTTTTCTTTGATTTATTTATCTATCTTTTTCCCCCTGGAAATATATCATAATCTACCGAAAATACTCCTTTAAAGTCCCACTGCACTACTTATAGCTACATGCGCCCTCTATATAGCAAACAATGCCTAATCGGTGCCCATTGGTCCTCCATGATCCTCTTTTTTTATGTTAATTGAAAGCTGAGTTGATGAGAAAACCACCTGCCGGTGAACATGCAGGGAGGTCTAATCCATCCTGGCCAAACTACATGTAGTACAGATACGCTTTTACAGATGGTAAGGTGTACGCAAAGGTGCCGTGGTAGAGTGGTTATACATTTGAATCTCAATCTAAGGGTTGGGGCTTCAAATCCTTGTCCTGCACTAACTTCCTTTGCCAAGATATTAATCCACATACGCCACTTGGGGTAACAATACTTGCAGGCCCTCCGGGAGAAGAAAATTAAAGATGATGAGGCGTCCCTTTATAAACTTAATTGTTATTACTATCAATATTGTTTTCATTATTATAATAATTACTACCACTAATATTATCATCACTAGTATTATTATTATTATTATTATTATTATTATTATTATTATAATTACTATTATTCATTATTATGATTTCCTTGGTGTATGCGCCCTCTGCCGACAGAGCTTGGACAATAGCAACACAACGGTATTTTGGGCAATACAGTAGTGGAAAGTCAATATTTACCATTTGATGTCGAGTGATTTTCCACAGCAGGGTAAGAAAAATACCGGGTTGGTCTTTCCTTCAACCAGCTTATCATAGTGCTTCACCAGCATTCTACGAGAAGTAAATAGAATAAAAATCATCTTTAAAGGGAGTGTAGCTTGGCAAATACTGGTAAACGCCATCTACGTCTTCTTGAAGAAAACTGCACGTAAACGGATAGACTTGATTAACGGTAGTCAACGACTTAATCTCTACAGGGTCAGCGTTCGCGAAACAGACCGAAGTTCTCCTGACGCTTCGGTTTCGCGTATGTTGGACGCACGTGATCAGGACAGACATTTAGTATCGTCAGGCTACACCCCCTTTAACAACCTTAGTAGCAGCAAATGTCATATAAAATGAAACATTAATCATCATAAACAAATTCCGATTTACAAATCAAAAGCCTGAATACATCGACTTAACAATGGATATCAGGCATTTGTGTTTGACGCATGCTATTGTCTTATTCCCGTTGCACCCTTAGCGTCGTTGTGTTATTGCGCCAATTAAGCCGCTCACAAAAATGGCAATTCAACCTTTAAACTAGAACCATATGGTACAGAACACGGCATAAGAGTAAAGTAGGCCTATTATTTTATTTGTTTGAACTTTTAAGATTTTTTTTCTCTTCACTTGGCATCTGAAGTTCACAAGGTCAAGGGGTGCGCAAAGATGGGTTGGTATTTTAACCGTGACCCTCCCCTCCTTTGCAATAGAATAGGCCTACATAAGTTTCGATCTGAATTTGAACTCTGACCTGTTCGGGACTTTCATGGTGAACCGTGTTTTGCCCTTCTTCCATTGCTCCAGCCAATCCTCTAACGCCATATGACCGTCTGACACCTCCCCAAACTGATTCCTTCTCAATGATTGGTCCTTCTTCTCCGCTCCCGTCTGCCCATTGGCTGACTTTGACTTTGACTCCGCCTTCTCCTCATTTGCATTTTCCGCTTTCGTTATGACGTCACCGTTCACAACTTCAGTCCCAGATACTGATTTTGGTGTTGCTTCTGTTGACGTGTCTCGCTCTTTAGATGTCGTTGTGGTAGTTGCGGTTGATGTTGATGAGACGATGTTACCGTTGTCGACACCCTTTGTTGTGGTAGCGTCTGGGCATGTTGTAGGATGGCTTGATGTTGGCTCGCTGTTGCTGCTGATGTTGTTAAAGCCATTTTCCCGTGATTTTGTAGACGAGTTTTTCCGCCTTTTCGGGCTTGGTTGCGAGCCGTCCTCCTCCAGCCTCGAAATCGAGCTCGGTACCGCCGATGAACCGCTCATAATTTCCAATAGTTCGTGTCCAAAAATGGAATAACACAATCTTGCTGTTTCCTTTAACCTAAGATCCTGCAGAACATGAAGGTGACAAAAAGAGAAGAAATAGTTAAAAACGATGATATACAGCCTAGTCTAAGATAACGTTGAGGTGCAATCGCCCGCAATAACTAAAAAGTACATGTATAGGTTCTTTTTCAACTCATGCAAGATTATAGTCACTATACGTGTCTACCCCCATGTGCAGGCGCGTACGCAGGGGGGGTGTTTGGGGGGTTAAACCCCCCCCCCCCCCCTTTGGTATTTTTATGTGTGTAAACCCCCCTAAAAAATCCCTAAACCCCCCCCCCCCCTTTGGATCTTTTTTTTTTTTTTTTTTTAATTATTTAAAAAAAAAAAAATTACCCGCATGGCTGACCTAAGAAAGGTGACCTTACCCCCCCCCCCCAACGGAGCAAAATGTCAAATTTTCAAATTTTGAGACCCCCCCCCCCCCCCCAAAAAAAAAAAAGTGTCCTGTTACCCCCCCCCCCCCCCCCCCCCCCCCCCCCCCCCCGCTTATTCAGCGGTCGGTTGAGTCGTTGCGATTTTTTGAGACCAAAAAAAAAAAAAAAAGTGTCCGCTTACCCCCCCCCCCCCCCCCCCCCCCCCTTGAAAAAATCCTGCGTACGCCACTGCCCATGTGTAATTTAGTTTTTACAGATGTGTATCAATCATTTGTAGTATTTACCTTTGGGAACCGACTGTTGAGAAGCTTTTAAAAGCTTACATCTCACTCACACAAGCGAAACCGACAACAGACCGAGACATTATTTACATCATGATCCCGAATGTTCGAACATCGGTTTCGGTTAGTTTGTAGTCGGTATGGAGTCGGTTTGGCGATGTGATGGAGGAATTGTTCACACCACCAAACCGACTCAAAACCGATTATTAACCGACCTACAAGTAATCTTGCACGGCCATTCGGACTAATGTCAGTTTTATTCGGCCAGATATCGGTCGGGTTTGTTGTGCCTAGGTATTACTCTGGTAAAATTTAATCATTTTCGTATGGACTGATAATGACCTTTAAGCTAATACATAGTGATAGAACCATGCCCTAGACTAAAACGAAAACTAATCCAAGCCAAATTAAACGCCAATATATCCCCTCACGCCATTTGCTTATATTTCTCTCTCTCTCCCCCTCTCTCTCCATCTCGACAGCAATAAATCGCACTATTTACAAACTCACGTTAATATTATTGGATGAAATATGCATGCACACAGCGGATATCATAAATACGAAATTAAAGGCTAATCAAAATTGTATTTATTGTTCATTAGCCTTTAGGGTTGAACAGATCGAGGAAGCCATAATGCATCCAAAAAGGAGAGGCGAGTATGTTGCCAAACAGGATTATTCCCGTTCAACGGAAATAATTCATCACGAAAATGACAAACCTGTGCTCGGTTTGTAGGCAGGTTATAAAGTATCAATCGACCAGTGCCAATACATTCTATTATTATAATTTGGAGAACAACTGTATTCTCTAATGTTGTTTAAAAGTGGGAAGAAATCCATCTTCTCTTGCCCGAAGTAACAGTAAGCACTTATAAAATGGTTCATCTGAACGTTTGCTACACCATACCCTGCTTTCCAGTAAGTAAATAAATAGTAAATAAATAAATAAATAAATAAACAAATGAATAAACAAATGAATAAATACATAAATAACTAGGTAATTAAAAACATAGATAAATAACAAAATAACTAGATAATTAAAAACATAGATAAATAACAAAATAACTAGATAATTTGATAAATAACTTTTAAAAAACCCGTCTCTTCCTTAAAGCTTATCTGCCGTAGTTTACAGGAGGGATTAGACTGCCCTGCAAGGTCACTGGACAGGTGGTTATCTCATCAACTCAGCTCTCAGTTAACACAAGAAAAAGAGGATCATTGGGGACCAATGGTCACCGATTCTGCATTGTTTGTTATATAGAGGGCGCAAGTAGCTACAAGTAGTGCAGTGGGGCTTTAAGACAAGCGTGGATCCACCTTTGCCGCCCTATTAATATTTTCTGGCTTCGCCACTATATGCTAGCGGACATCCTTCATAACAATTTCTAAGAATGTGCACGTCAAATGTGATGATACCGCTCGCACGTGGGACTGAGAACAAAAACCAAGAAAAACCAAAGGGTGTGAGGGCCCACAAAAGGGTAATACCAGAGAGGGTAAGAATAAATATATTAAATACAGGGGGAAGAAAGAGAGAAAGAGAGCATGGAGATAGGGGAGAGAGTGAAGGTGGACAAAGAGAAATAGGACAGAGAGAGAGAGAAAAGGAGAGGGGAGAGAGAGAGAAACAAACAGAGAAAGAGACTGGGAGGGAGAGAGAGAGAGAGAGAGAGAGAGAGACAAAGAGAGAGAGAGAGAGATGGAGAGACTAAGGAGAAAAGAAATATTAACTGGAATTAAAGGAAGAACATAGGGAAACGAATGCACGGAGGAGAGACTTAGACCGAGAGAGGGGAGAGAGAGACAGAGAAGAGAGAGACAGAGAGAGGGAGGGACGTCAGAGACATAGAAAGCGAGAGAGATAGGGACAGACAGACAGAGAGAAAGAGTGTCGCGAGAGAGGTGAAGGAAAGGATATCAAAAATTGGGTCTCCTCTTTTGACAATTCCACACGCCATACAGGAACATTTCAATTTGACAACGATCCAACACGTGCCAAGCTACCACCGCAAATTGAACGTCTAGCCTTCTTCTTAGCCCAACCTTGATCACATCATCGGTCTAAATCGGTCCCAAATTAGCAGTTTCTAACAACTTGTCAATTTCTCAATTGGCGCTCCCCCCGGTTAATGAGAAAACGGAATCAAAATATGATTGTGACAAATTTCACGACGACAGAGTTATACGACCACCTAGCCCAACCAGCGCTGACGAGTGCGTTACTCCTTCCTGTTAATATCATAATTTATAATCAAATGATTAGTTGAGAGCTTACACGGGACCATGCATTTATTTCACTAATGACCGGTCATTAGTAAAATCATGTATATAAAACATCATTTTATAAAACATATAAAACATCATTTTATAAAACAAATAAAACATCATCTTATAAAACAAATAATACACATCATTTTGTTCGGGCATTAGTAAAATTAACAACACTTGGTATCTTAGAAACAGTCCAAACACCCTCGGCTATCGTCTCGGGCGAGTTACACTGTTCCAAAGGTACATGTATACCTTGTGGGGGTAATTCTTACTAATTTCCTCACTGCTATGTATCATTTTTATACTAATTGACAGTATGTTCATATTCAAGTATAATTATAAGCAGAATAAGGAGGTGAAGGGCGTGCGCCTGTAATCCAGCTAAAAAGTGGAAGTTACAAACTGATCCACGCCAAGAGGGTTACCATCATGCCCAAAGACTCACCAGAAAAAATACCACCACAGTCAAAGTTATAGGTAAAATTTAATTCAATTAGTTTTTAACACCGTTGCTGATTTGAGTATTCATGTATTGTGAGAAACAGGAGAGTTTAATTAAAATTAAATCAAAATAATTAAAATAATATATAATAATGTTATGGTGATAAACATTACAGATATTTCTGTATTTGTATTGGCACCAGTTTCCATTATTATTGGTCCAGTTTTGCTAGACATAGCTTTCAATTTAGGATATATTATGTAAACATCATACAATCATACCAACTTCATCCTCTGAACAATGGTAATTGTATTTCGTAATCCTTCATCAACCTGGATATTATTAATGGCATTTCCTCTATTTTTCGTATAAACTTCGTAAGTTGACGATGATTAATATTGATGAAAATGATATACCTTGAAATGATAATCCATTTCAGCAGCGCCCTAAAACTATCGCAGGACATGGAAACAAAAGCCGTCCATTGTTGGCAATATTTGTGATCAGAATAGTACATGTAGTTTTCATATCAAAATGTACTTTTTTTTTGGGCTTGAAAATCGAACTCATGGTAGCAAATGTTGTGTTTTTTGTGCAAATGGCTTATCACATTCAGTAGGTATTGTACAGTCAAACCTGCTTTAGTCACCATCTGTCTACAAAGACCACCTGTCTACAACAAGCACATTTGTTGTTTCCCTTGAATATGGTTTCTCTTCGAAACATGTACTACAGGAACCTGTTTACAAGACCACAGTCCTGTCTTCAAAGACCACTTTTTGTGTTTCCCTTGGGCGGTCGCTTTAGGCAGGTTTGACTGTATTATGTCCTTGTCGCAGTAACATCCATCATAATTTATGTCAATTTTGTTCATGATATTTCTTATTAAAGTTTAAAAATGAAAGGCTGAAACGAGACTAAGTGGATGCAGTGAAGTTCACGGTTTGTGCATCGCGAGCCAACTGTCATGTGTCCTGCGTAAAGCGCGTGGGTGTCAGCTTCCGATATTTCCTCCGTTATGGAATATGGAGCTGAAAAGGTGCTATCAATATGGATAAATGGGAGTGTAGGGAGGGAGAGAGAAGGGGACGAGAGAGGAGAGAGAGTGAGAGAGAGAGAGAGAGAGAGAGAGAGAGAGAGAGAGAGAGAGATAGAGAGAGGGAGAGAGAAATGGAGGGGAGGGGAGGGGAAGAAGAAGAAATTAATAAGAGTGAAAGGCAGTAGAGGAAAGACAAGCAAGAAAGAAGGGGGTGACAACTGAGAGAGCTGGAGAGGGGCATGGAGAGATGTGGGGGGGGGGGGAGGGGGGGGGGGGGAGAGAAAGAAAGAATGAATGAGGAGAGGGAAAAGACTTAGAGGGAAACATGTGAGAAACAAGGGATGACACGAGAGAGAGGGATAGAGAGAGAGAGAGAGAGAGGGGAGAGAGAGGGAGAGGGAGAAAGAGAGAGAGAGAGAGAGAGAGAGAGAGAGAGAGAGAGAGATAGAAGAAAGAGCGGAGGGGAAAGAGGTGGAGGGGAGGGGGAAGATGTAGAGGAAGAATATTTAATAAATAAGAAATAAAGGATAAAGGAAGGAAATGTGTGAAATAAGGGAATGACATGAGAGAGAGAGAGAGAG